TGACCAGTACTGGGATAATCTCAATGCTCTTGGTCGAGCCGACGGAAGCAGACTCCGCCTGTTAACATATGACATAGTCCTGGTAAGCTGAAACGTTGTCGATTGGTGATTAACCATCCTTTTTCGTTACTGTGTAATTTGCTAACAAATTGTTCCCTCTCTAGATGCTGGCTCGGTTTGCAACGGGAGCTTCTTTTGCCGCGGATTGCCGAGGCGGAGGAAGAGATAGCAATTCCCGCTTCTTGCCTTTCATGCTCCAAATGGCCCGTCATCTTCTCGACCAAGGAGGCCCCACGCAACGCACCAACATGGCTAAATCCGTTTCGTCCTACATATCATCATCGACATCTACAGCAACAGCGCCGTCATCGGACTCGCGACCTTTAACTCCTGGATCTCAGCTATCATCAACTGGAGCCGAGGAAACCGTTCAGTTCATGATGGTAAACTCGCTTCTATCGGAATCATATGAGTCATGGCTCCAACACCGTCGTGTGTTTCTCCAGCGCGGGATTTACCATACATTCATGCAACACGCTCACGGTCGGGCAGCTTCTGATGCTGTGGATTCAACCAGTTCGGGAGGCAAAACCCAAGACACAGAAACCTTAACGGGCGCTGAACTTCTCTCTATCGTCAAGCCAATGCTGGTCTACACCGGTATGATAGAACAGCTTCAACAGTTTTTCAAACCAAAGAAACCGGCCCAAGTCGATCAGAACAAGAAAGAAGGTACATCAAGTGGCGTAGAGCTTGAACCATGGGAGATTGTAATGAAGGAGAAGTTGCTGAATGTGAAAGAGATGATTGCTTTCTCTAAGGAATTGATCTCGTGGCTCGACGACATCAACTCTGCAACTGATCTACAAGAAGCTTTTGATATTGTCGGTGTTCTGGCTGATGTTTTGTCCGGAGGAGTTACTCAATGCGATGAGTTTGTGAGATCAGTGATCGATGTTGGAAATGGAAAAGGCTGAGAAAAGTTTGGTTTTGTCGAAGAGCGCTAGTATGTGTTTTTTGCTTGGCTATGTGTCTCTTTTTTTTAATACTGTGATTGATTTGTACTTTATAGAGAGCTGATATCGTTGTTGTAAATTTTCGAGACACTCCGATTTGTTATGCAAAACACATGCATATTGCTCTTCGTTTAACCTCGCAGCCATCTTAGATTGAATTCGTTACGTTTCACTGTAGAGGTTGTAGGATCGAGTTCGGTTCAAATTCGATTTTGGTTTTTGAAGATTTTTTAATGTTTATTTCGGAGCTGTGTCATCATCAATTCGTCCGGAAGCCCAGTTTGAAAACTCGTGCCAAAATTGGATATTGTTAAAATCTATTTAGTTACATTAGGACCATTTCGCATAGGCATGAACATTGTGGGCTATCTCTCTTATCTAATTCAGCCGGATTAAGTAGGCTCAAATACACCCTACGCGCTCTTGAAGCGCGTGGAGATTAAAGGGCCAGACTATTTTAGCCCAAACGAAAACAAAAGTTTCTGGTCCAGTTGTTTAGCCTCGCGACAAGAGAAGCGCGTGACGTCTTATTTGTGCCAATTTTTGTTTTTTTCATTCGAGCAACAAAAATATTCTGACATTTTGGTTTTTTCTTTTTTATTTGGGGTGGATTGAAGATGATGGTTTTCGTTGTCGTTTCTACAATCAAGTTTTGCAAACTATTAGGATTGTTAAGTTTGGGTTTTTCTCGGTAAATCAAACCCATATCTATAAGAAAAAAAAAAAGTAATTCACTCAAGGTCTTCGATTTTAATCAATACCGTGACTTTTTCTAAAAGAAAATTTAGAATAACTGCAGATCTATTATTGCTTTTTATCATAGTTTGTTATCGTCAGATTCTTCTTTTTAGCGTTTTTCTTTTTGTACCAAAACTAAGCCAGTCTTTTTAGCATTTGTTACATCATCGTATATATCATTCGACGAAAAGTTTTACAGACGATTTTATAACAATGCAAACTGCAACATAAAAGTATACAGTAAACAGCTCCACAAATATTGTATTCATTTTGCGTCATGTATAAAGTTTTCTATTAATCTAGAATAATTCGCATATTCTGTAAATTAAACAGGGAGTATCACATAAAAACAGTAAATATTGGATATCTTAATACCATACTGTATTTTTTAAAAAAATAAAAAATATATATCGAAAAAGAAGAATGAGAATGAGAATATATTTGTTACTTTAAAAAATTGGACATGGCCGTAATTAGTTTAATAAATTACATTACAAAGTATCAATTTCAATTGTTTTTCCTTTTCACGCAATGTATATATAGCGCAATAAATGTCTAAACTTGAGAATGGCACGTCATGCGTTAGGCATTGAGGCACCGACACAACTTTCTTTATGCTCGTGGGGATATTAAATGTTAACGTCCCTTTTTTACCAATATTATTTTTGCTTTTTTGTAGATAATAGACTATTAATAAAATAGTTTAAATCCCGAACAATATTCTAAAATTTATTGAAGCTATTCTTCTCCTTTTCCATTTTTATATGGTCAACACACTGACTCTTGCTAACAAAAACCAGAAATGGGTCAAACACATACACAAAGAAAACGGTTGCATTTACAGTATTTAGTTTCTTAATTTTCGGTGCGGTGATTAAATGCATTTAAGTAACTTCTAACTAAAAAAAAAAAATTGGTTTACGGACCTTTACGGGGTTTTTCGTGCCACAGTGAATCTTATGCTCATAACTCATAAGTCATAAGTTTTCGAAAAAGAATTGATTATTGATTAAAATGTATTCTTGCCGTTTTTTGTTTCAAAAAGTTAAATGTTTTCAAGTTTCTATGTATAGCTAGCTGTTGTTATTATTTTCTCTATCTGCCTCTATCGATATTTATTATTTACAGAAATACTTTAAATAACATTAATAAAAAGGTTAGCTAAAACTTTTTAAATATGTATGATAAATTTAAAACAGAAAATAAAGTTAATATTGAAATGAATCATTGAATTAAATCTTGATTTGCAATCCAAGTCGGGTGGTACATTTAATTGGATTTGCGTCTCGCGTTACGTCCAAAGCGAAACACACGTTATCAATGCACCCAACACATTTACGTACACACAAACCTACTGTTTTGTTTGCTAATGAACATGCATGTACTTATTTATTTTGTACCTTTACAATTGATGTGGATGTTATATTACGCTTTCAAAGGTGATTTGCCATGCGTATGAACTATGAAGTGTATATAACATTTATAGTGTGTTTTCTACATTTTCCAATTAGTTGACTATGTTATTTTACTATTGTATACATATTGCAAATACAAATTGTTGAATCAGATTATGAATCGAATATAGTAAAACAAATAAAACATCATAACTACATATGAGGAGACAACATCAATCTCGTTGGCGAGGGCCTTTCATATTGAAAGCCCCTATACCTCAAAGTCTCTAACCACAAACTAATCCATCATAAATTTGCTATCACTCACGAACATAACAAATCGTTGTCAGTCGACATGAATTTAAATTAAGAAGAAAATAAACAAACTAATGAATATATGTATATTTTGATTTATTTTCTTTTGGTGTTGTATCTTTCTAAACATAAACATTTAGTTTATCTGAGATTCTAATGGTTATACATTAACAATCTGTCAATCATATCGTTATAACTTTTTTTTGCAAATAAAAAAAGTCAATATTGTTATAACTTTATATATATATATATTGTTATAACTTATATACGCCATATAAAAATATCAGGGAAAAAAGTGTGTATATATATAATATATGTGCGCGCACACATGTGACATTTCTACAATTGTAACTTGGGATAATTGTACAATACAAACAAAGGAAGCAACTCCCCTGGTCACGGGTCTGTCTTTTATCTCTCTGTTTTGGTGAATTTTCTCAATTCTCATCATATTATCTATGTTTTACATTTAATATCTGTTTCTATATTATTATTTTTTGTCCACAATAGAAAGTCTGCTAAAACATCTATGTGTAGGTCACGTGAAGTTAAATTATTTGGGTTTTGATGAATCTTTATCAATATATATGCATGAATTGAAAGGATCAGGTAATTAGATGTATCTAATTATTGTCTTATTTAGTTTAGTATTTTCGGGAACAGCCGTTGTAAGAAAACAGTCAGATATCAAACTAAAAAATCGAAAATCAACTTGAATCGGAGAGACAAACATAAGTTAGAACAAAACTATTTTGGTTTAAGTGAATATTTTCCATGCAGTTTAGTTTATGTGTTTTTATTATAAATCAACTTGTAGGATTTACTACTACTTAATATTAATATGTATTTTCTAAAATTTCAAATGACAAAATCATTTTGATATTATTATATTTGGTCAAACAAACTTCAAAGGTTGGCACTTTTTAACAATTACTCCTGAGAAAAAAAAAAAACCAAAAAAGGATCATGTTTAGTTAAGAAATAGTTTATTTGACAGCTTACACGTACGTATCTCATATTCACATACAAAGTTCACGTAGTGTTGAATTTTTTTTATTTTTTTTCACGTAGTGTTGAATTACAGAGTTGAAACTTGAAAACTTGAAATTAGTATGACTGTATGACTGATAAAGAATATTAGCAATTCAAACAAAACATTGTTAGAACGTAAAGAAATATTGAGACTAAAACAAAACAAAAAAAATCATTTAGCAAAAAAAAAAAGAAAAAAGAAAATTTGAGACTATACACAAAATCGCCTACGTAAGTCCTAACTTTTTTTGTTTCCTGAGACATATACACACATGTCTCTAGACTCTCTACTATTATTACTTGAAACTTAATAGAAAAATAGCAAATCAATGAAGTATTTTATCGTTTATATATAAAATTTAATTAATTGAATTTGTACAATTTTGTTGGCAAAAAAAGAAACGAATCCGTTATCAAAATTTATTTTTTTCTTCTTCAGTAAATTATGATGAAGCTATATAACAATGGCTCCAACTGTCTAACACAGAAAAGGTTAACAAAACGGTCATAAAGAAAGCGAAAAAAAAAGACTACCGACAAAAAAAAGACAGTTCATTTGTTTTTTTGATCTTCTTATTGAGAAAGTGATTATCTTTTTCACATTCTTGTCCTGATCTTCTTCTTCTTCCCAATCTTTCTGACGAGCTTCGATAGAGTTTCCGGAATCTTTGGTGATCACCGACCGGATCTGGACGAAGAATCTCATCGACAAAATCAACAAGCATTCTCTCCACCAACTCAAAGCTTCCTCCTTTTCCAGTTTCGCTTTATACATTGCGGCTTACCTGGTTCCAAGGATCGCCATTGCACAGTTTCCTTGTAAATTGGAGAGTTAGCTTTCAAGTCCACATCGAGTTGAGATCTAATTCGATTTCTGGTTTCTGGGTTTTTGCTGGTTAGATTTTAATGGGTTGAGAGTTGTCGGTTCATAAACTCAGATTAAATCTTTGATATTCCTTTCAACTTTTTAATTGATTATCGTGTTAAGGCGAGATTTGTGGTTGACTTGAGTGAGAGTTTGGAATTTTTTGGAGAGTAATTAATGAGAATTCCCTGGTTTTGCGTGGAGATTACACCCAAATTTCTCTGGATGCTAAATTAGAATAATTATTGCAGGAGAGAGAGAAAGAGAGAGAGAGAGAGGGGGTTGAGTATTTCTATTGTGTTTTTCTGTGTAAATCTGAGGAAGACTCAAGTTGCCTAAAGGAGCTGATTAGTCTGCATCTACAGTTAAGCCTGGAATCTGTTTGATTTAGAAATGTGCAAAGCGGAGAAGTTTCTATACAACAGGAAACTGTGGGAGATGAAGGTTAAGTTTCTAGGAGATAGCAAGATAGAGAAGCTCAAGAACTCGTTGGTTTCCAGGTCCCGTATGAGCCTATGGATGATCCGAGCTATGACGATATTGTTGCTATGGAGTTGTTTTGTTCATCTGGTGGCTTTGGGAGAGATGTGGGGACCAAGATTGCTGAAAGGCTGGCCTTCTTGTTTCAATCACCATGATTTCCCAATGGCTGCAGAAATGTCTTCTCTTCCCATCAAAATCGCCCTCCCGCCTAAGAGTATGTTTCTTTCTGGTTATCTACCTTAGCTGCAACACTCTGTGAATGTTGTTTAGTCTATTCTACTTTTATCATCATACTGCTTGTTTTGGGGTTAAACGGAGCGGAATTTTCATACTTTCTTGTGCTCTTTTGTTCATCTCAGGGATATATCAGAACAATGGCTATCTTATGGTTTCTTGCAATGGAGGACTCAACCAAATGCGAGCAGCGGTAAAGATCAGAACTAATCCTTTTGTTTTGTTAAAGAATCCTTATCAATATCTCTTCACATTTCGCAAAGCTGTAATATATCTTCTTGTTGGTGTGACTTTTGGACTCTGTTTTTTTTTTTTTCAATTCAGATATGTGATATGGTCACAATTGCAAGATACATGAATGCCACACTTATTGTCCCGGAGCTTGACAAGACCTCGTTTTGGAATGATCCAAGGTATTATTGCCATCCATCTCACTTGGAGCTTCTTTTCTATTTCTTCTTCTTCTTGACTTATAACCTCTCTTAATGTTGTTGACCGGATTCTCGTGTGGGCAGTGAGTTCAAAGACATTTTCGATGTGGATCACTTCATAACTTCTTTAAGAGATGAGGTTCGTATACTCAAAGAGCTTCCTCCAAGGCTTAAGAGAAGGGTCAAGCTCGGGATGTACCACACCATGCCTCCTATCAGCTGGTCCAACATGTCCTACTACCAAGACCAGGTTATTTTCTCGGTTTGCACCAAGAATTCAAGAGAAATGTATCTGTCCTTGATTTGCTTAGAATGGTTTCTCATTGTACCTAATCTTTGGAAACAGATTCTTCCGCTGGTGAAGAAGCATAAGGTCTTACATCTGAACAAGACCGATACTCGACTTGCTAATAACGAACTGCCTGTTGAGATTCAGAAGCTGCGATGCCGAGCAAATTTCAACGGCCTTAGGTTTACTCCAAAGATTGAGGAGTTGGGTAGAAGAGTAGTCAAGATTCTGAGGGAGAAAGGTCCCTTTTTGGTTCTGCATCTCAGATACGAAATGGATATGTTGGCATTTTCTGGTTGCTCACATGGTTGCAACCGCTACGAAGAGGAAGAACTTACAAGAATGAGGTCTAGAAAATAACATTTCTTCTTTTTACACAAAAGCTTCGAACTTTGAATTTTCTGGTGTGATACTGATATTATTTTCGTTGCTTAGATATGCTTATCCGTGGTGGAAAGAGAAAGTAATAAACTCTGAGGTGAAGAGGAAAGAAGGTCTTTGCCCATTGACTCCAGAGGAAACAGCTCTTACACTATCCGCATTGGGTATTGACCGTAATGTTCAGATTTACATTGCTGCTGGAGAAATTTATGGTGGGAAAAGGCGGTTAAAGGCTTTAACAGACGTTTTTCCAAATGTGGTTAGTAGCAAAAAAAGCAAAGAGCCTATTGTCCACAAAGATTTCCAATTTTTGAATCTTTCTTTCACTTAATAGTCGGTTAACTGATAATCATTGAACAAACACACCAGGTCAGGAAAGAAACTCTACTCGATTCATCTGATTTGAGTTTTTGTCAGAACCATTCTTCTCAAATGGCTGCTCTTGATTACCTTATCTCGCTTGAAAGTGATATATTCGTGCCTACATATTATGGGAACATGGCGAAAGTCGTGGAAGGTCATCGCAGGTGAATCATTCACTGTTCTTTTTATATATTTAAATCTAAAAGATGTTTCTTTCATCAATGGCTAATAATGCACTTATAATCCCCATACAGGTTCTTGGGGTTCAAGAAGACGATCGAGCTAAACCGGAAGTTCTTGGTTAAGCTAATAGATGAATACTATGAAGGACTGTTGAGCTGGGAAGTGTTTTCAACCATGGTAAAGGCCTTTCACGCTACAAGAATGGGAGGTCCAAAGAAGCGACTTGTGATTCCGAACAAACCGAAAGAAGAAGACTATTTCTATGCGAATCCATATGAATGCCTTCAGCTATTACATGAGAATAATGGCAATTCACTAGACGAAACCAAATGATCTTATCCACCATTGTCGTCTTTGTCGATGGAGATATATATTAGGTTTCGCAGGGTGATGCAGGATATGGATGGATGATTATCAATCTTTGAAGATGGGGTTTTAAAACAGATTGTGAGAAGTTATTTAGAATTCTTTGGTATTTCAGAGATTTCTGAAGAGTTTCTTCCGTGGATGCTGCAGAAAGGTTGAAGCTTTCATTGTAAAGTTTGCAAATTTGTCCTCTGATACAATCATTCTCATCATCTATGGGCTTGCAGTTTTGGTAGCTAAAAATGGTAAAATTAAATTATGCAGTGTAAAAAAAAATTATGTTACTTATTATTATTATTATTTGACTAAATAAATAAATTTTTACTTCGATTTTCTTGCAAAGTTAGATTGCCACCACAAATATAAAGAAAATTATATCTAGTTATTACACAAAGGTCCTTGATTTCGAATTTGTTATCCTTTGGTCCCGAGACTTTTGTCGTCTTTCTTCTTCCTGTCTCACTCACACCAATCGCTTTCTCCTCAGAAACCAAGGCTAGCCGTTGGAAGATTGAAATACTGTATGAGCGACATTTCTGAGCAAGAAATACACAAAACCATAATTTCTCAGTTTCAAGATTGAATAAAAAAGCTAATGATTTTGGTTTCAGTGTTGTGAGGGAATCGGGATCGGAATTAACGGTTCACAAAATTCTCCACGATTCAGTTGATTTTTTTTCGGGCATTATTAAGAAAATTAAAGCTTGAGACATTTCATTGATGAACTCGTAGAGTCGTAGTCACTCATTATGCATATATGTAAATGAATATTACAATTTTCAAATACAGAAAGCCTAAAGTAAGATTAATACATTGTTTGAAGCAAAAAAAAAAAAGAGTAAAAAACAATTATTTTGTAAACACATTTATATATAGGCTGATGATTAACATTTCTTCTTACAAAATGAACTTCTAATTAAGTTTCTTCAACTAAACTAGCTACTTAATGACCATTGCCATCAATTATGGATTGGAGTCCGTTTCCTGCCTTTCATACGTGAAGGATAGTCGCTTCTCATTAGATTATCCATTTCTTTTATTGAATCTCTCGAGACCAAACCTTTTGCTGATCTTTTCTTTATCTTAGACTCGGTTGGTTTTAAACCTTTTAACTGCGACAAAATATACCAAAAAAGTTATTATAAATAAGGAAAAAATGCTAGTTATATGCTATTTTTTGGTTAAGTGATAATAATCATATGAATCTTCTTCACTAATGTATGTGTCTTTGATGTCTATATTTCACTATTAACATTCAGATTTATCTTTAGCGATTAATAAATGATTCAAATTTTAGTTTGTGTACCTTTCTTCCCAGCAAGAGATGCTCACTTCCGCTCACGAGAAGACCATAATCTTCATATTTTGATCCACCTACGTCTATGCTTCCACCTATATTCAAGTTCTCAAAGACAACATCAGCTTCTCATCTCATGTTTACACCGTTAAACGTTTAGACAACATACATGATACATATGACATTTGTTTCACCATCATCATGATAAGATACAACACACACGCACACCCACATATATATAACACATATATGTATAATTATAAAGACAGACCACAGATATACACATATAATACCGTATATGTACGTGCATTCATCAATATATATATATATGCACACGCAAAACACACAGGGGTGTGAATGTGTGTATATAAACATCACCATCTAACTCGAATTGATCAAATAAGAAAGACAGATAAAAATAGCTCAAAACACAAACCTTGAAGCACATGAGGAAGATTCATCATCACTGTGAAGAAGAGAAACCCTAGAACGAGTGTGGATAACTTCGTATTTGTGTTCTTCATCTCTTTTGTCTTTCAAAATAGAGTATTAGCGAAGTGATTAGGATTCAATTGATGTGAGTAAAGCTCATTTGTAAGGCTTGTATACTTATAAATGAAATCGGAAAAGTGAAAGCTAGGGTTTTCCGACAATTGCATAGGTAAGACAAAAAGGCACTTCTCTTCGGTACTAGTACGAGAAATATATAAATAAAATCTTTCCAGCATGCAACAGCATTTGGAAAATTAATCAGTCAAACAAATTTAGAAAAATAATTTTAAAAAAGGTTCCATTTTTTGCTCGCTATCTCTTACAAAATAAGTATCTGGTTTCGATACTTTAGTCATTGATCCTTTTTTTTGTTTGTAGTCTTATACGATTGTTACGATCAATCAGTTTAGATGATATTATTTCACCAGGGTAGAATATATAATACTACTTACAGTAGAAAGAAATAATATAATATATTCAAATGGTGTATCAAACATATATTTGTAATGAAAAAAAGAGCAGTTTTATACGAATGGAATTTTTTAAATTATTTAGAGGATTTAGTATTTTTAGATGGGAAAATCGAAAACAAAAAGAACTTAAAATAGACAATCAAGAAAGTCGGAACCGACATGAAGTATAAATCAAAAGACAGAGATTTTTCTTGAAGTAATCAAGGAGGCATGGCGAACTTTTCATGAGTTTAAGTGCCCTACCCTAAAGTAGCATTGGAATTTAAGTTAATAGTAAAATCTTTGGTTACTGACTTACTGCTTAGGGTTTTAAAATAAAGTATACTCTTTTATAGTTCCAAAGAACTTTTTTAACCATGGATTTGTTAAAAATGCTTAGTCTGTACTATACTACAATATCTCTAATTAATTTGTACCGCAAAGTATATGTTAATATATTTAGGTCGAATGTGATATATTCTTTTTGCGACACGAGGGCGGGTCCTCCGAATCAATCCTTGTGGCCTTGTTGTGTGGGTGTGGATACCTATAAAATAAGAAAATTTCTTTTCTCAATTTTTTTTTTGGTTTAACATGCTGATAATCTACGCCTCTTGATCCACCTAAATGCGTATATATATCATATAAAACAATCACTATCAAATATTAATCGTCCTTATGAACAAAAGGTCGAACCCTGAAGTGCCAAAGGAAGAATCATCAAGACGAGAAACGATAAAGCTATAATTCCACTTCTGATCATCTCTATATATAGTAATATAATCATCAATTATGGAGAGGAAGACCCAAAAGGGAAGAAGGTTGGTATTTCGTGCGGTTTTGAAATTGTAATGTGAGTGGATGGATCATGGATATATATGATATCCATGTTCTGGTGTTTGTATATATATCGTAATTCATGAAAAACGAGTCCAAAGTTGCTAACGACCTTCAATTTTATAAAACTCGACAAAATGTTAGTTTTTCCCTTTCAGCTCGGTTTTAATCAGTTAAACTGAAATTGTTTTTACATCATATCACATGTAATCACAAACCGGACATCTAGTAATATATACAAACTCTTTATCGACACAATATTTTCTCTAAAATAACTCAGATCCTATAGTGAACCCTTGGTATATATGTAGCTACTATCTAGTATAGTAAATTATAAACAAGAGAAACAATTAAAGTGAAAAGCGATAATTATTTTCCATGAGCTGCATCTATCTGTCCATGTTATGCTGACTAGACCAGATTATATTCTAATTGCCAATGATAAGTATAAAAACTGTACTTGTTCCAGTTGGAAACTCCATCAGTTAACCGGGAGAATATTTTTAAAGTGTCCACCAAACGAACAAAGAATAGTCAACTTTAAGGAGTTGACAAATATATAAAATGAAAAGTCTGGGTTTACCAAGACTTATGGTGTCTAGTGGGGCATTTAAAGGCTTATGAGGCCCATTACTGTAAGCGGATTTTTAGTTTGTTTTGACGCGCCTCGTAAACGCGTGGATATCACCGGCCCTAAATCATGGCAGATTTCTAATAGTTCCATCACCATCAATCGCTGCTACACATAAGGAAGAAGAAAATGGTAATAAAAATTAAAATAAGCTTTTAGAAGTAATTTATTAAAATAAGGCCCTAGGCCAATGTTTCCCAATCCATAACATAGACAAGGCCATGTGAAGAATCACCGGAAAATGGGAAAAAACAAAAATAAAAACAAAACGGGGAAGGAAGAAGATAGATGGATGACTGGTTGAGCTAATAACCAAAACTGCGGTCGGTGGTGGTTTTTTATGGTGCTGCTCAAGCTTTAGTGGCTGGGTTAAGCTCATCCCAAGCCTCAATCCAAGTGACCATAGCATCTGCAAGCTTGTCAAAGTAAGGATCAATGGGGCTTAGCTTCTCCTTAACCATCTTGGATAGCTCAATGTAGCATTGTTGAACTGTCACAGCTTCTTTCGAGAGCTTCGCGCTCTGGAAGAAAGGAATGATGTCCTCCTGCCAGAAGATTCCCTTGTACTCCTTCTTCAGGTTCACAAATGGGTTGCTTGCTTTGCTGTGGTAAATGTAGGGCAGACCCGTCTTCACTCCCAATCCCAAATGGTCACAGATCACCTATAGAGAACAGACCCATTAGATACCGGTAAGTATTCCAATAACAGTCCAAACCCGTTAAAAATAAGGAGCGGAATGTGAATATACGTACCTTGACACACCATCCAGCCCACATATCGTCGTAGCGACCAATAGGCTGACCATCCCCCATGAGACCAAAGTACATAGCCGGGCCAATGAGCTCACGGTCAAAAGCCAAGTTCATGCCACACATTGGGAAAAGTGTTCCCTTTGGGATGGTCAAGACAGCATCCACATACCTTATACCAATTAAAGGCATTGTTAGCTAATGAAGACCCGGAAACACAGAAAAAATTGTAGAATGAAAATGTTAAAGTAGTACCTTGTGTTCCTTTCCTTAGGCTTCACGAGTTGGGTCGGGGCATCGTAATCAGGAATGTTGAGCCAGAGACCATGGGACACAGCAGTGGAAACACCCTCACGGAGACTGAAAGGGTATCCACGGACGAAATCAGCACCTTCACGGTATGGATCGTACAAGGTGTTGAAGAAAAATGGCGACGATGGGCAGAGAAGGTTCTTGATGTGTTGCTCAAGAGCGTTCACAGCTTTTCCAGATGGATCCTTGGCAACCTATAACACATGACAAACGACAAAAAGAATATATAAATAAATTAAGAAGGGTTATTCAAATACAGCTAAAACCAACACCACGTTACACGTGATTAAACCAACAATTATGAAAGCAACATCAGTGCTACAATCATGGCGTAACTGCAAACTCAATTCTTGGATAAGCCCCACAAATCCTTAAAGAGGGGTGTTAAAGTTTGAAATTTTATTTGCGTTGTGATAACCAAAAAAAAAATGTGTGCAGGACAATGACATGCAAGAATCTTCTGTTATGACAGAAATAAAAACTGGTCCAACAACAATGGAACATAAGCTGATAAGAGATCATGACTGGTAACAATCAATGCCGACGAAAATAAGACTATAAAACTGCAATTCTGAAAAACAGATCGACAACCATCAAAAGCACAAGAATGTATAGATCTAGGTCAAAACAGTGTCTTCCTTCAGTTGACCTAGACAATTATTATTCGAATTTCAATTTTAAATTTTTGAGGTATGTATGTAAAATCTACCGACACTATCACCAGATCCCGCATAGACCACAAAACAATCCTTAACAAACACATAAGAACAGATCTATAATCAGAATTGGAAAAATCGGGGCCCAAAAATTGTGGAAACTTACGAAGCAATCGTCGTCAATTGTGAAGATGTACTTCTTCTTGGAGACCATGTAGCCGAAGCAGCGACAAGCAGAGTCCTTGAAGGAAATGCAGGAAGCTTTGGGACCGAGGATTCGGTTGATGTCGTTCCTGTTGTAGAGCTCGTAATCGAACCCTTCAGGCACAGCAATCGTCTTCGACGGATCTCCGTCCTGGACGATGATCAGATGGTAAGGCTGGAGGAAAGGCCTCCACATCTCGAGGAAATCGAGGTTTCGGATCGTCGGAATCACAATATCGAGCTCGTCCTTCAACAATGGAGTTGGGTTCATCGGAACCCCAACGGTGTTCGCCGGCTCAACCATGATTGATCGATTTTACGCAGAGAAGGAGAGAAGAGAGAAGAGAGAAGAGAGATTTGAGATCGGCGTTTGAAACTGAGATGGACTCGAAGACCGTCGCTCTTATTTTATAACAGATCCGGCACGTGCGAGGGATTTTCGTGACGTGTGTGAGGTTTGACACGTGGTCGATAAAGACTTGTTCAACAGGTCAAAGAGAACTTTACCCTTGTTATGGTGAGAAAGTGAAGACTTTTCTATTTTGTCTCTTGATGTGCGTTTTCTATGGGGAGGCAAATCTTTTAATTCGGAGTTGCAATTTCTATTTGTCTTATTGCTTTATCAATCACATTACTTAATTAAGAAATTGCCGATTAAATAGATATGCTTATCATCTCGTTTTCAAGATACCCAATCTCAAAAAAAAATTTAAAAAATATGAATCTCTTTTTTTTACAGATACTTGTGAAGATACGAACCTTTTGCAAAGCATTATCAATTATCATTTAATTAATTAATTAATTTATCATATATACGTATAAACTTAAAGATATAAACATATATATATTCTTTTTAAATTAATCTGCTCTTATTATAGCTTTCTAGTTTTGATTTTTTTGTCACAGATTTACTTACAGTTAACAACTTTTGGCAACTCTTTTGATTAATAACACAAAGTTTCAAAATAATTGTATTTCTAGAATTTCAATGATAAACAGTTAATTTCTTGCCAAAAAACAAAAGATTTTTGGATTTGATGATGTATTGGGTTATTTTGTTATTTACGATAAGAACATATTTTATTTTTGTTATGTTATAAACAAGTCTTAATTTGAAAAGCTGAAAATATTATTAGGTCCAGCTATCGTTCTAAAGGAGATATTATAGCAAAATATTTAATTCATTTCGGTTTGTAACTGTTTCTTACGTGATTTAGTTACATTGACATAAATGTATATCTAGTGTGGTGTGTGCGTTTTTAACAAACCACAAAAAAAGTCATGCGTGCGAATTAAAAGATGGTAGATCTAAAAACCGAACAATAATTAATACTTTTTGACCGGAGTGTAACATCAATAAATGTGATAAATTATGATGCAATTAGGCTTCTTTACACGAAATAGTAATTTAAAACTGTATTCTACTTTACGATGGAACGAAGGAATATTCGCATGTGGGAAGCAGGAAGCTATATACATCTTAAATTATTTTTAGTTTTGACATTCCTTTTGGGATTTTAGCCGAAGCTGGTATATAATATTTGAAGTACATTGATAATACAAATACACACGGATAGTACTGTTCACTAACATTTTATATAATATGTTCGATGCATGTTATAGAATTAAAATTAGAGCTTTTAACGGGATACAATATTGTTTTTAACATCTAATAACCATTGAATGTCATTGTAACTTGTTCTATACGTCGTGGGACGCTCGTCGAATGCACGTTGCCTATGATCACTGCATGCATATCTAATTTTTTGTTTAAATTACATAAAACAATGAACATGAACTTACAATCATTACACTCAGCACTTCTCTACACATCCAGTTTTGCCAGCGCGGTTAGCTACTGTGTTTATCACACTTTAACTAATTTTTTTGTTTAAAAGTAACATTTCAACTGGGAACAAAAAATAGACAAGTCATCTATACAAACGGAGTCAATTCGATTCAATCAAGCCTAATAGTATTTACATATTCGAAAAGGTTAAACTTTAAAACCAAAATGAAGTTTATCTTTTTCTCTAACCTAAGGTAAACGAAATAGATAAATACAAAGATCAAAGATGTATAAAATGTTTCACTTCAAACAATTGAAACTTTAACAATTTTGGGATTTTTTTTTTTTTTTTTTTTGGTCGTAACAATTTTGGGAAGTTATTAGATAACTATTGACTTAAAGAAGAAAAAAAAACCAATAAAATATAACACATGTTGCTGTTATTGATGGGCTTCAGATTTTATAGTTTGGCCCAATGTGAATACATATTCCATTGTTGCTCGCTCCAAAATGGTTCATAGTTTAAAAACCAAAATTTTTAAAATAAATAAAAAAGCCCAAGAAACCCTAATGGCTTCTCCTTCTTTCCTGCGCTCGCCGTTCCTGTCTTCTTCTTACTGATTAGAATCATTTGCTCTGGTTTCCTCGGATCTTATCTCACAACTCATACTTTTACAGAAATCCGACAAGTTCTTTATACAGTTACGGTTCATTTGCTCGCGTGCTTCCGGATTCTGAATTTGGCGGCGAAGAAGAAAGAGATGGGCTCACGGCAGGGACCACCGAAGCATCAGAACAAATTCGCCTGGGTACCTAAAGCCGGCGTGAAGATCAACGAAACCGTATACGATTTTCTCTGCTAGTTCAATGAAAATTTAGTGAATAATGTAGCTAGAAGCTTGATTTTGTCAGAAATTTCTGGTTTTTAGGAAGTCGGCGGGAGATTCAGACCACTTTCGGAGATTACCGGAGTTTGCCATCGCTGTCGCGAGCAGATCGCTTGGAAACGCCGCTACGGCAAATACAAAACACTTACCGAACCCACCAAATGGTATGATCCTGTTCGCTGCTGAAAGCTGAATTAACTGCTGGAACTGATTGAATCGAACAAATGGATAAAATTTTAAAGAAACAATTTTTTTTTGTATTGGGGTGCAGTCAGAAGTGTACGAAGCGTAATGTTCGTCAAGCATATCATAAGTTATGCACTGGTTAGCGTTCTGTCTCTCTGCTTAGTTAAGAAAAATGGTAATAGTATTGTGTTTTAGAGTTAAGTAACGTGTTATCTTATGAAACTGATTACAGGTTGTGCCAAGGAGCAAAAAATGTGTGCAAAGTGTTGTTCTCGTGCTGATCAAATTATCGGAAGGTAGTTTAATGCTGAAGAAAGTCTTTCTTTTGCTTCTGCTAAGTGCTTTTGGTAGCTAAGGTTTTAAGCTAATGTAGAGGTAATTGTTCGTTACTCGCAGAGATATTTACGAGGTAGAGGCTGAACAGAAGATGCTTGATGAGGTTAGTCTATCGATTATTTATGCTTGTGCGTTGTAATATCTCATTTACTGCTTAAAAAAAAGCTTCTTGGGGTTTCAACTAAAACTTTGTTAATCTGTTGCAGACTATCAAGAATGCTAGGGAAAGGGATCGAAGGACGCTTTTACGTGCTGTAAGCTTTTGTAGTTATTAACCATATTTAACTGTCTATGTTTCCAAACAAGTAGAATGATATCTTACTTTGGAGAGTATGCGAGGTCTTAAATCTGTGTATTTGCTTGACACAGATGAACAAAGATAACCAACCGAAAAATTCAGATGAAGCCGCGACAAGGAGCGATAGCAGCAAGGTTGGTGATGTGTTTCCCTCAACATCCCTTGAAGAATATGCAAACAAGTCAGGAAGAGTTAGCGGGATCGTTGGTCATGGTAGTGTGCCTGGTCATGGCCATGTTGCTGATGATGATGATGATGATGATGATGATGATGATGCTAGTGAACCTGAATCAGATGAGGATCACAGCGGTGATGATGAACATGATGCACATGAGTCATCCCAACAGGAGAAGTAGACTCATTTCGGTTGTACTTCTGTCAATTTTTGATAGTATTGTGAGATTTTGCCAAAAACTGATTTATGCTTGTTTTTCACAAACTTTACTACTTATGTCACCTTACAAATGCAAGACCAAGACCAGCGACAGATATTATGTAGCAAACAGTTATGGAATGTATATGTTGGGCTGGGCTTAACGGGCCTAGTAGTTGTTACCTATGGGCTCAATTTAATACCAACGTGTGTCATATGGGATGTTTAGAGATTCTCAAAAAGTCCTTGGATTACTAAACAATAAAGAAATTTGAACAGTAACTAATTAATAAATGTGAATAAGAAGAATGTTTGAAATTGGTGGAAATGAAATGTCAGTCTAAGTGGCATAAAAGCTTGTGCATTAAGTCAAATTATTACATTTGGCACGAAACATAAGCATTTCTTCCCCCAGTAAAGCAGCCTTCTTTTGGCTTTTTCATTAATCTCTGCAAAACCTTCAAAAGCTGGATTTCTCCATTCTCAATGAGCAATTATGAGTCTTTTAAAACTCAATTATAATTCAAAGGTTAATTACAAAGACTTCGAAGCTAATTGGTCATTTCTTGTTTCTAATTACATGGTTGTTAATCAAGTTGACTTATCTCCAAAGCTTTTTTGGCCTAAGTCTATATTACATAGAGCTTCTTCATTCTTGTGTTGTCACTTGTCAAACTTAAAGAATCTCTTTCTCTAAAGAAAAAAATGGGTTTTCTGTGTTCTTCTTCAATCTTCTTTAAGTTCGGAATTTCTATTATCTTTCTAGTTTCTTTCACTGGTTATACTCCTGCAGGTAAGCCGAAAATATCCTCTCTTTGTTGAAGAGCTTTTCATTCTCGTTTTTACTCTCTAGGGTTTTATCTCATCTCTGAGCCTGAGAGCAACATTCGTTCTGGGTTAAGTTTACTCTAAACTTTTTAATTATTTTTTGAAATTGCAAGGAGCCTGTGTTTATTTGAGTTTGATAAGTTTGGAATTACTAGAGCTTTTGAGTTTGAAAGCGAGCCATTGAATAGTTTTCGTCAGGGTTTGAGGGAATCTCAGAGAGAAAATATTTTTGGAATTTCAGCTCTGTTATAGAAACTAAAAAGAGAATCTTTAAAGCAAGAAAACAAAAAGCTTTTATGATTGTGTGCTCATGATGTTGCTTTTTTTGGATTGTTTCAGAAGCTTATGATCCTTTGGACCCAACTGGCAACATTACTATCAAATGGGATATCATAACATGGACCGGAGATGGCTATGTGGTAACGTATACATTAGCTTTCAGTCTTGGGGGACATCTTGAATCTTGATTGTGTTTCTAACTCTTTCGATATTTCAGGCGACTGTAACGCTGTACAATTTCCAGCAATATCGACACATTCAAGCTCCAGGGTGGACACTTGGATGGTCATGGGCAAAGAGAGAGGTTATCTGGGGAATGAATGGAGGCCAAACCACAGAACAAGGAGACTGTTCAAAATTCAAAGGAAACATTCCTCACTGCTGCAAAAAAACACCTTCTGTTGTTGACCTTTTGCCTGGAACGCCTTACAATCAGCAGATTGCTAACTGTTGCAGAGGAGGTGTGATAAACTCGTGGGCTCAAGATCCTGCAACCGCTGTTTCTGCTTTCCAGCTCACTGTTGGACAAGCTGGAACCACTAATAAAACGGTCAGGGTACCCAAGAATTTCACTCTCAAGGCTCCTGGACCGGGCTATACTTGTGGCCCTGGGAAGATTGTTAAACCGACTAGATTCATCGCTACTGACAAACGAAGAGCTACACAAGCATTTAGTAAGTTAATACTCTGCTGTTATGGAAATCTACCAAAGTTTTCACCTTTTTAAGTTAAAACTGACGCTGAATGAACATTTGGTCTTTGTTTCTTTCTGGTGTGACAGTGACTTGGAATGTAACTTGCACGTACTCGCAGTTCTTAGCTCAGAAGACACCTACTTGTTGTGTCTCGCTTTCATCGTTCTATAACAGCACAATAGTTCCCTGTCCAACTTGCTCCTGTGGATGCCGAAACACTTCTCAGCCAGGGAACTGTGTAGAGTAAGTTCTTTACCATAGGCCTCGCATTACCTGATAAAAAAATCTGTTTCGGTTAATCTTGGTGTGCTTTTTCTTTATAACACAGCCCAAAAGGTCCACGGATAGCTTCGGTTGTTCCAAATTCCGGGAAAAACGCTTATATACCGCCTCTAGTCCAATGTACAGATCATATGTGCCCAGTGAGAATCCACTGGCATGTGAAAGTTAACTACAAAGCCTACTGGAGAGTTAAAGTTACCATCACAAATTTCAACTACAACATGAACTATTCGCAGTGGAATCTGGTCGTGCAGCATCCGAATTTCGATAATCTCACTCAGACTTTTAGCTTCAATTACAAACCCTTGACTCCTTATGCTTCCATAAGTAAGTAACCATCCATCATCTCAAAAACTTGCAATTTCTTGTGTCCATAGAAAGGAACAATCTTGATGTGTTTTTTGATTTATATATAGATGATACTGGGATTCTCTGGGGAATAAAGTTCTACAATGATCTGTTGATGCAAGCTGGACCGTATGGTAATGTACAATCTGAGTTACTTTTCCAGAAAGAAGCATCAGCTTTCACATTTGAGAAAGGTTGGGCATTTCCAAGAAGAATCTATTTCAATGGAGATAACTGTGTCATGCCTCCTCCTGATTCTTACCCTTGGCTGCCCAACACCGGTTCACACAAACCAATCGGATCTCGGCTCGTGGCATTAATCTCGATGTTACTGACTGTGTTCTTACATGGAAACATGTAAGAATCATTAATTTGTAGAATAGAGCGTCTTCTGCAGTTCTTGATCTGATGAAAACCCATCAGAGATAATATTTGTGTCTCCTCTCGTCTGTAACTCTTCTTGTAAAACACTAATGTGATCTTAGAATGTTCAGTAGATCCAGTTGATAACGGCTGGTTTGTTCTTTGCTTCCAAATTTTTAAAAAAGTTTGAAAAAAATATAGTTGTTTTTCGGACTAACTTTTAAAACCACTCGCGTGACCTGCGACTAAAGGAGGCAAATAGAGTGTATTCTCAAAATAAGAATCGTTATTAAGCGAAAAATAATGTATAGCAAAAGTCTCCGCATTGTTTCAGGGACAAAAAAGGATTCAACGATTAAAAAACTCTGCCAGCAAATACAAAGAGAAGAAAGCTTTTAAGAAGACAAAAGATCTTTAACGTCGGTTATAGCTTTGAGAGCTTTTCTGGAGATGAAAATGGTTTTTCTTCTATCTTGATAGCTTTTCAACGAACACTCAATCCTTGAATTGCTGCAGCAGATGATGATGATGCCTGAGAACCCTCCTCCGTTACCTTGTTCGCTTCAATTGTACTTATGATGTTTGCAATGTTATCCTACACAAAACACGAAAAGAAAAATCAGATTCAGGAAATGTTTTGTGTGAAAATGAAGTGAAGTTTTGTATTTACCCGCCATGTCGCAAGCTTTGTTCGAAGTGACTGCCATTGCTTTGACCCGAATTCGCGCTCCGAACAGCGGCTGAAAGACATGAATCATACCATCATATTATGAACATTACATACACATGTATATAAGAAGTGCAGCGTTTCTATAGATGTGTAGGACTTGCCTGACAATTACAACTTGGTTCATCTGATCCATCTTACAATCAATCAATTTCGCAGTAATTGCCTTCACAATCCATAACTCCACCTCCTCTTCGTTTACCTGCAACCACAGAGCAAAATAAGCAACTAAAAGAGTTACCATATTTCATGTATTGTGAGTTTTACCTGTAGAGTGTCTTTGATTAAGGTATAAGGTATTTTGCCAGATTCATCCGATGCCAAGTCCACTAGTGACAACAATCTCATCTTCGTTACACAATCTTCATCGACAAGTCCTAGGGAACACAATGAAGGATTATTAGTCAGGAGATCATGTTTAAGTACTAGCAGTAAACGGATTAACGCTTTAGTACCATAGCTTTCCAGAAATCCCGAATTTGCATTTTTAAATTCCATGAAGGCATTCAGTCTCTGAGTAAGAAAGATCTTCAGTAGCTGGTAAACCGGTTCATATTTAGTATCCTTCTCCAATTGTGCTACGGCGGGCAAGTCCAGTAAATCACACTGCAATTATGGAAAAATCATCGATGGAAATCCCAACAATACTATAGAACAAGAAAGATGAATCTTACACAGCTAAATCACATTATCCTTTTATGAATCATGATACCTGGAAGATACTTGAAGCCTTAACAAATTCGGTAACTGCACGTACAGCCACCTCCTTAGCTTCATCCAGGACCTGAGCATCATCATTGGAGAAAGTCGCTAGGTACTTCGTCAAGAACTTGAGGGATTCTTTCACCAAGCTGGAATATCGATAGAAAGAAGCATGAGGCTATCGTTACACCTAAAAGGAAACAAAAGAAGAAAACCAGGTAGAAAATGACTGATGAGCAGGATTATAATCAGTACCTTTTGTTTTCTCTCAGCACATTAGCAATGGCGAGGAAGAGTTCCCTCTGATCTTTAGAGTCAATATTCCACTCTTTCAAGAAGTTATCGATCTTCTTAAAAGAAGGAACAATGTACTCAATAACCTTCCCGTCAACAGCCAGTGTTAGAGCTTTCATGTATACTTGGAAACGAGCATACGGGTGGTCCAGAAGGTTGTAGAGATTGAAGAGGCTTTACAGAGACAAAAAAAAAAAAAAAAAAAAATTGAGAAGAATGTAATCTATTAATAAAGCATTAACATATAAGCTGTAAAGAATCATACATCTTCAAACGAAGTGAAGCTTTGTCATTCGGTTGTTGAACAACCTTAGAAGATATCACTTTCACCATTTCAAGGACATCCTCCAGGTTATTCGCATTCTTGACAAGGCTGCAAATGATGGTGTAGGTACACTCAAGATCTGCATCAAAGATACAAACAACATCAACCTACTGATAAATGAATATTCGAGAGAGACGAGGAACATACAAAAAAACGGGCATTGTGTAATAGTGACACAAACCTTTCTCAGGTATCTTGGAAGATACCAATTCAGCTGAAGTTACCATTAACGAAGCTAATTCCAACCATTTTCCTGCTACTATTGACTCCTCAGCCTCCCTACATAGCCTGGTAATTTCTGGCTCTGCAGCCTAAGCAAAGAACACACAAGTTCCAAATTTTAAAAACGCTAGCTGATGAAGTAGCTCAATTACAAACTACTCTAGTCCAAATTAATCAAATTGCAGCAAAGCAAAGGTAAATCAAACTGGGTCTATCACTCATTCATCTCCAATCGGATCTTCGAAACGACATGACGTATAGCAGATAAAATATCCCATCCCCAAAAAGCGAAAAGTTCTAAATTTCCCTCAATACATTCACAAAGAAGGTGTGGTGGTACCTCGGGACCAGCATCAGCCCAGGCGAGCTGGGAAGTGGATCGGACAACAGCGAGAAACGGATCTTCTTCGGAAGTGGGAACAATCGTCGTCATAGCTTAGCTCTGCTCTCTTCTCGGCGGCGCTGAAGAACGAAAACTCGAAATTAGAACTTGTTTCAGCAACCGAGCAGAGAGACGAGACAGGAGAAAAGAAAGAAACCCTAATCCACAATTTATCTTTTCCGGTTAAGTAAACCGAAATCGGATCGGGTTCACAAAAATGAGCGGTTTAAGCATCGGATGGCTAATTAACCATAAGAAAATCCGACGGTCTAGATTAAGCTTTGATTCACAACCCTTATAAAAACCATTCTCTTCCTCAGTTAAATAATCAAATCGGAGTCAGGGTTTAAGAGCCGTCGTGTTCCGTCGGATCGACACCGTTGCCACCTCAAGTTCGCCGATCGAGAGTCAAGATGGTAAATATTAACTTGTCACACTCCCCTGCGTATTTGTCTTTTATCTTTTCTTCGCCTGATTAATTTCACGATATCTGATATAGCCTTCGCACAAGACGTTCATGATCAAGAAGAAGCTTGCGAAGAAGATGAGACAGAACAGACCAATCCCTAATTGGATCCGTCTCCGCACCGATAACAAGATCAGGTTCCTCGTCTACTTAGATTTTCTTCTAAGGTTTTTGTTTGTTTGTCATCGTTCAATACTGAATTCCAATTGATTCTTCTTCATATTACAATTTACAGGTACAATGCTAAGCGTAGGCATTGGCGCCGTACAAAGCTAGGGTTCTAGATCATCCGAGTTCGATGCCATGACACCGATTCGTTCGAGTTTCCTTAGCTAATTTTACCTTATTTTCCGAAGAGTGGTTTTAGACCTAAAAGTTTTAGTTTTTCTTTTCCGAATGGGTTTTGACGTTTTGTTGTCACGAATATGCGTTTTGAAAGTTCAATCCTTTCTCTTACAGTCTGTTATTGAATTGACTCGGCTTCTAGTTTTTGATGAAACATATTCCAGAAAATTTAGATTTTGAAAATGCACTGATTCAATGTCTTAGCTTGAAAACTATTCGGTTGTTTCTCGCTTGTAACTCTTGAGAAAAAGAATTGTCTGAAATTTTCTACAAGCACACAAGAACAGATCAAATCCAAACATTGCCCTCGATGACAATGAAGCACACCAGGTTCGTTCATGGAGGGATTTAAGCCACACATTTTAATGAATTTACAAAATCTGAATTATCAGGAAACTTCATTTCTTGCCAGATTCAGCAGCATTTGGTCCTCCAAAGAGATAACCAAGAGAAGATCCTCCACCAGGAGCAGCATGAACCTTAGTAGATGGCCTGTCCTGTCCTCATTTATCATCCAACCAACAAATACCATTTTGGATTTTATCAGTATCAAATCAAAAGATTGTTTTTTTATCCTAATCTGAAAACTAGTAAAAATGTCTTCTTTACCGTGAGAAAGTTTCCACAGTTTTGGCCTTCTGATCTGAAGTAATTATTAGGGCTTCCTCTAACACCGGCAGGTACCTTCTTATTATCAGTGACGGTGGTCGTCGTGGTCGTAATCGGTCTCCCTCCTGTTCCGTCGGTGGTAGTTGTGGTGGTTGTCGTGGTTGTGGTCCCCAATGTGGCGGCGGCGGCAGAAGGAGACTCGCCGGAACCAAAGAGATAACCGAGGGAGCTTTGATTTACACCATTGTTCACTCCTCTTGCTTTACCCATCTTTAATTCTTCCGGCAAGAAAGATCTGAAATTTGAAAATGATTCCAAGTTTGTTTTAATCAGATCGGGTACTTATTTGAGCACAAGATCCAGATAGGATTATTCTTGAGTCATTAAATACACGTAATCATAAGACAGACAGATCAAAAGGATTGATTTTTACCTCTTTGTACTATCTTCTTCTTCTTCTACGATTGGCCGCAAATCAAGGAAGGGAACCAGCTGGAAAAAGATATGCACTGAGAGAGGTGAAACAACAAAGAGAACAATTAAATCCAAAAAAAAAAAAGTATTCCATAATGATCTTTATGGACCTTATTTGGGCCTTTACTTAATGAAGCCACAGTTCTCTTTGTTATTACTACTATTGTTAGCGTTTTCTATATATATCAAGGACTTATGAAAGTTTGATCTATGGACTATGTCATCATTTATCAAAGCTCACTTAGTAGGCTTCGACATATAATATTAAAACCGTGAAACTTGTGTAAATTATTATCTTAAGCTGTGGAATTTTAACAGATTACGAAATTTTGTTTTCAACTTGGTTGTGAGCTTCGAAGAAATGTAAGGATCACACTTATCAAACATTCCGCCGCTCAGCTACCTAACGGATTTATTTTATAAAAAAAAAACAAAAATCCGAAATATTTGTAGATAAATCATCAATAGCGTTAAAAATCGATGTCTAAAACATGAAGAAGACAATTTCTAAAAAAAAAAGAAAAAAGTAGAAGCATTTTCTTTTGGAAAATTCTGACAGAAAATAAGAAACTAACCCATTTGTGTGAACCCATGACTTCGAGGATCATCATCATCAGGATATGCACGATCATCAGCATCAGCAGCATCCTACGGACGAGATTTCCTCGTTGACTTCTTTAAAGATTTCAAGTGCATGATGTTGAAAGATTGCAATGACGACATGTGAAAATAAACTTTTGAATATCTCTTTTACTTTTCATTTTGCGCCCATTCTCCTTTTTAACGTACACAAAATCTTTTCTGAGCGACCTTCAAATATTAATTATTCGAAAGTAAATGAACTCGTGGATAGTATGGTTCTCCAAGGGGGAAAAAATGATTCCTATATCTTTTAGAGCTTGAGCCATACCGCTTTTCTTTTTGGCTCAGAAGTATGTTCAATGCGTAATGAACAAACAAAAAAGAGTTTTTATCTGTAAGTTGCACAATGAACTATTTAACATGGGTCGCACCGAGTAATAATTATATACAAAAAGGGGACCAAACATTATACATTTATAAAAAAATTAAAATTACATTCAAAGTTTAATTAATTACGTAATATATATACACATAACACACTGATCGCACTAACAATTTTTTTTTTTGCCAAACGGGTACTAACCATAATTATCATCGAAGTGCGATACAGAATGATCTGCAAACATTGTATGGAACATATATGATAACATTGAAATGAGCTCATTTTATATATTAGGAGAGGATAAAATATAGGAAAAATTAAATTGGATGCCCGCATCGTTGTGGTCTAGTGGTAGGGAAGGGTTGTGTGGGGTGTTACACCACTTCACCCAGGTTAACAAAAACACAATTATGTGGGAAGTTTGGATTTGAGCCAAATGCCAAAGCAATTTACATGGTAGTCCAGTAACAGGCGATCTGGCTACTCCTGGCATTAGTCCCGTTGACTCGAGTTCATTCGAAGTTCATGGTGTCCGTTGAACCGTTGAACCAGGGAGAAGTCCACACTATAGCACTTCGGTGCGTTTCTACCGGGGCCGACCGGATCAGCCGATAGAGTTTATAAAAAAAAAAATTAAATTGCATCATTTTTATTGGCAGAGAAAGCATATGATACTTGCATGGTTTCCATACTTCATCTTTTACAATTGTACGCCCGTTTTGCAAAGTTGTTCTGCATTTTTTTGGTATCATGTTTTTATAACGGTTCCATTTATTTTCCCATGTGTCATAACAAAATGCATGTATGTATTTTCGGCAGAGAAAGTGTTATTTTAAAGATTTTTCGAGAAAAGGAGAATAACAAACTCCAAGGTACATGAACTTGTGAGCTTTAATTACCTTATGGGTTAAGATAAATGAAAGTAAAGGCCCATTACATGATTGGATTTGGCATAACTCAAGAGACAGTTTGAAGATAAGTAGATAACCACTGGAAATCATGTAGTTAAAGCAAGTGTTACTCGGTTTGATTTTTTTTGTACGTTTTAATCAACTAATGGATGACTCTTTTGGTAAATGGTACTAAGATACTCTCTGTTGGAGTACAATATACTGTACTTTCTAGTGTTAATTAAGACCGACGTCAAATTTAAGACGGACGAGCGATGACCTTCAAGTTGTAACCTCTTTTTTTTTTTTTGGTCTTCCCTAATCTTAGATCCGTCGCATGTGACATTGATTTATAATAATTTTTATAATTATAGTCATGATGAAGAAAGGAATCTTGACTTAGCTCCTCGTTTAACTATCTAAAGCTTTAATCGTTTTTATGACACGATTGACGAGTAATGTGACACTAATAAGTTTTTTAATGTTAAATTTTTAACATTACAATTAATGTAATATGGAATTTAATAAGCTTGTACTTTACTATTATTTCTTTAAGAAAAAAAGGAAAGTAATAGTATTTCATAAATTGATGACTATAAGCCAAATAAATTTAGTCAAACATAAGGGCGCATAAAAATAGCCAGAAAAATCCAGTACTACTAAATTGAAAATTGACGTACAAATGTGACTGTTTAGGTTTCTTATCATTTTTTTCGAACTTCTTAGGAATTGTATAGGTAATCAATAAACTATCGAATCTTTCCTTTTCGATATAATATAAAAAGTTAACACTTAAATGAAATTTGCTGTTATCGCAACTACTAATAAATAACTAAGTTATTAGAAGATGTTAAAAAAAAAAGTGATTAGCTATAGCAAACTTTAATAGTATATGACTTAAATGCTCTTATCACTATCAAATTTATAGTTTCTAAAACGAAAACATTGATTAATACTAACGCATAAACCGAAAGTATATTTATTTAGATTTTTTTATTGGCAGTTGCGATGATATTCTTGTTTTTTAAAAGTAATATTTATTTTCAAATTATTATTATTTATTATTGTTACTGTTATTGTTATTGTTATACATACACACCTATATACGAAGAAGATATGTGTAATGTTGGCAGTCAAAATCAAAGGAGAGAAACCCCACAGAAATTAATGGTGAAATTAAACAAATGTTGGATGGGTGGGTGATAAGTGGGATCATGTGCCAATAATTGAACTAAATAAATTGAACATTGAAACTTAACGTAAAAGAATATACACTGATCCTTTAAATCAATTTTAAGTAAGTTAATTTTATTAGTCTTGAAAATGTATTTTGCTTAGCTGGTTCCCTATCAACCCCAACACTCAAATCACTTACCCAATTGCTTCATGTGATTCTGTTCCCTTTTTATCTTTTTTTTGTGTGTGTGTTTGTTCCCTTCGTCTTTCTTTTTCATTTGTCTATATATACTCTATTCTTTTCCATTTGTTCTCTTAATTTTGTCCTTTGTTTTTCTTTGATTACGAAATTATAGATTAATTTCACTTTCTTGAGTGAAGTATGTTTGGTGCATTTCATATACTCGTTTTTTATTAAGATAAAGTATATATTATATATGTATGATTCATCAAATCAGTTCGTTCATCTTTTAGAAAATAGTTGCCATATATAGTCTTCCTAATTATATATAAAATAATTTAGCTATCCAACGTTTCAACATTTTGAAAACACTGTCTATTTTACGTCCACCCTGATAATTGTATCATGACCCCAAAAATACACACTAATGTAGAGACTTCCTATATTAATATCTTAGCAATATACTGTATAGTTTATGATTGATGTAGATATATATCAACTTGGAAAAAAAAACGTATATTTCCCAAAAATGGTGGCTCCTCCTAAATTCTGTACCCACATTCTCTTGTTCCTAAAACACTATAAAATTAATCTTTGGTAATGCTAACAAATTACTAACAGCAAGTCAGCAATCAACCAAATCGATCATTGCATGGAGTTTACGGTAATATCAATCACAGTAAGCTTCAATAATATTATGTTTACGACTAAAGTCAGTTGATAATCACAATTTCTTACGAAAGCAGTAAGTAAATTTGTAAAATACAATAAAAAATCATTTATATACAGAAATCTCGTTAATTGAGAAATTGTTCATTTAGCAAAAAAAAATTGAGAAATTGTAGAAAGCATACAAGCTACAGTTTTTTAGTGGTGCGAAAAAGAATTCAAACTACATAAGCTTAAAAATTTATAATGCAGTATTATACAAAAAAAAGTAATATTGATTATGGTACAATATTTGATACCAAACCTAATACCCATGTGTAATAGTATATTCCTTAGTACTTCAAAGGTCAAATCAATTAATTGTGTTTTCATGTGAGCAAAATAAAATAAATAAATAGATAAGAAGTCACAAACCCCACCTTCTTCACAGCACATTGTGGAACAAAGCACGTGATATGCCCACAAGCTTTTTGTGATTAGTACATCTAAGGACATAAACCCTCAAATCAACCAAGACAAAAACTAAAAGACGACGACTTAACTATATAATAATCCTCTACCTTATTTTATATCCTAGATTCCTTACTTTTTAATACAATAATTCACATGCAAAAAAAAAGTGATTACATCATCTTTAAGCAATTAATTCACTACATAAGCAACCGATTTTTTACTTTATTTTTTATTTGTAATAACCACAACACAATGAACTTTTGAAAATATACTTGTGGCCTGTCCACAAAATTTAAATTAGCATTCACTATTCACAAATGTGATCGTTCATATACGCACAAACTTTATTTCGTAATATGCTTATACAGTTTTAATTTACATATACATTAATTTATAATGCCTCAGTCTCTCAATAATGGTTGAAATATCTGCATCAACAAAGAGTATTCTATATAACTAGTTACTTTCAAAATTTCAATAACGTAAATAATACCTTTATCACACACAAAAAAAACTAACAATTTCCTTTTTCATCGACCCAAAAAAAATCCCTGTTTGAACAATTCCTTGCAAGACCCACCAATCTCAGACCATGCAAGCTTTCTTCCAGTTCACCAATCCACTTTCTCTCCTAATAATTTATTTTGATTTTGTGCTGCCATTAAAATACAAATATTAATTTCTCTTATCCTTTTAGATAAATAGATTAATTTTCCAAAATATGCTGTGTGTTTCTGACAAACTCCACATGCACATGTAAAGGGGCACCAAGACTTTTAAAGACCCACCTACATTATTTTGTCCACATGGATGTGTAAGGGAACTTAGCTAATTATCACTCATAAATAGTTTTTCACTTCTTCATATGATTTTTATTATTATTAAGCGATAAAACCAAACTAATATTTGGCGGCCAAAAATTAAAAATATTATCAGGTCGAAATTTCATTGTTACTATCAATTGACTGGTCTAAATACTACTAATTTACACCAACGCCTTAAGATAAATCAACAAATACATAAACATGAACCAAACATATCATTTAATCAATTTTTTTTCCCGAATTTCAAAAAGCATTTAATTCGCGTATAATAAGTTGCCTTGTGCTCTCATGTGCATAACTTTCATCTTAAGAGGTGAACCAGATTCCTCATTATTTGCCAAGCAGAATTTTTCAGAGCTCTGACATAATTAAAGAATATTAGATTAGTATATATATATACATATTTACTAAAGAAATAAAAAAATTCTTACATGTATAGTGTTACATGTTAACACATGTACATTTAATACATTATATATGCTTCAAAGCTTCCTTTGACAGTTGTATCGTTGCCTTTAAAGATAGAAACCTCTTTCTCAAAGAACAAAAAACAAAACTTTTTTTTTTCTCCTTCTCTTCTTTCTCCTTCAAGGTAGCCTCCAAGCAAAACACAGAGAAACCTAATCTGTTGTCTGGTCATAACCTCACAAGAAGCTATAGCCTGTCGTTAATGTTGGCTTCTTCTTGTCCATTTCTTCTTTCCTTTTTCCTCTGAAACACTATAAAAATCGTTAAAACTAGAACAGAGAAAGAAGACGAAGAAATTGGTAATTTCATAAACAGAGTATATGAAAGAGATCTTGAAGTTTTGAAAGTCTTATCGAGATAAGAGTTAAGAAGAAGATATGTCGGCAAAACTTCTGTATAACTTGTCAGACGAGAACCCAAATCTGAACAAACAGTTTGGATGCATGAATGGGATCTTTCAAGTCTTTTACCGGCAACATTATCCGGCGAGACCAGTCGCCGGCGATGTAGAAAAGTCTTCGGCTCTAGGTAATATAAATTCTTTCTCCCTCTTTCTCTTACTAAATCTTAGTTCAGAGTTAGGACCACAAAGAAACAGAGAAGTTTCACTGAAACCATAACTACTGGTCATTAGGATTATAGCTAAGAACAAGGGTTCCTTTTTTGCAGGGGAAAGAAAAGATCTTGTCGGTGAAATTAGCATAGAAAGTGATAAAGAAACGGTAAGAATCTAAACTCAGGTTTTTACTCATCTCTGAGAAATGAAAACTCGGGAAAAAGAAACCTGAAAGAAACAGACTTTTATGGGAATTGCAGGAGAGAAGTACCAAGAAGAAGAAGAAGAAGTGTGGAGTAAAGGAGAAGCATAGAGTCTCCTCTGAATCCTCTTCAAGGCCTTCGTTTTCGTCTTCTCCACGGTCCTCGAGCTTCTCGTCTGCAGAAGTCAGCACAACAGCATCTCAATTCGACCAGGCTGGTGAGAATATGATCAGAGAACAGCACAACACTGGACCGGTGATGCCATTTGATCTAAAGGAGCTTGTGAAAGGCTCTATTAACAGAGAAATGAGAGCCGGAGGCGAAGAAACAGGAGCCTTCACTCAGCAGCCGAATTCAGCTAGAAGTAGCATGTTGCTTGTCAAAGAATCATCATTGCGTTCGCCATCTCGGAGTTGTAGTGAGTGGAATGAGGGAAGAGGAATGGCTGTAAAGTTTAAGGAAAGTCATCGGCTTTCTTATGATGAGAGGGAGATGAGAAACAACGGATACAAGCCGGGCTCGAAGCTGAAAGAGACACCTAGGTTGTCGTTGGATAGTAGATCTAACTCCTTTAGGAGTCCGAGAACTGAAGCAGGGAGATCAAGTTGTCCACCAGAAGAACCCGTAACGATGAGTCACAGAAGATCGAATTCGAGTGTTGTTGCCAAGCTGATGGGTCTTGAAGTCATTGCGGACAATTTTGATACAGAGCAGAGAAAACAGAACCGGTTTTGTGACTCACCAAGGCCGATGACCCGAGTGGAACCTACGGCTTTACAGAGATCTAGGAGCGTTGATTCGATCAAGAAGATACCTTCTTCTAAGTTTCCAATGGAACCAGCTCCATGGAAGCAAATGAAAGCAGGCGACGCTGCACTGACGGTTTATGGGGAAATTCAGAAGCGGCTTACGCAGTTGGAGTTCAAAAAGTCGGGAAAAGATCTCAGGGCTCTTAAGCAAATACTTGAGGCTATGGAGAAGACGCAGCAGTTGATAGACGGAAGCAGAGATGAAAAAACTCACCAGCCAGTTCTTATGCAGAGTACTCACCAGCCAGTTCCAGCTGGAACAAGTCCAGCCATGAACTTGAGATCTTCATCGATCGTTGTCATGAAACCGGGGGCTACAGTTTCTACCTCTTCGCTGCCACACAATGCCGCCTTGCCAAATGTCAATGTTGGCAACCCCAAACAAACTCGAAAAGTCACCTCGGGGAAGCAGAGCGCGATGGATTTAACCCCAAGGCCAGGCCTTTACAAGGGCCAACTCGATTCGACCAGGAGCAATAGCTCAAAAACATTAAGGTCGAGGCAAGCTTTGGCGAGGGATTCTTGTTCAGTGACCAAGTCAGGTAGGAGCCAACAGCAAAGTGTTAGCCCAAGAACGCAGCACAAAAATCTCGGGCATTCCCGGCCCACAACTCCAAAATCAGAGCCAGGCAAGATCCAAAGGCAGCAAACGGAGTCAGCCTCACCGAGAAGAAAACAGGGGATAAAACCTCGCACTACTCTTCGGCAACCTGATGACCGGTTAAGCGATTCAAGCAGTGACTTGAGAAGTTTAAGATCAGACAGCAACATAAGCTTGCAATCGAATATTGACATCGAGGTTACAAGCAGACATCGGTTGGAGAGAAACTGTGACTTCCCAGAGCTGCACACCCCAAAACAAAGGGTATGAAATAGATCTATATCTCTCGCGAATCTTCCCTTCTCAATATAATATATTCATCAATATCATATTTTGATTAAGTCTCTTGTGTTTACCAATGCAGAGCCCAGACTTTGGAGCCAAACAGGACAGACCATCTCTAAAACCTCTGAAAGTTACCGTTGAGCAACCTAGCCCCGTTTCAGTTCTTGATGCAGCCTTCGACGAAGAGGATTCTCCATCCCCGGTGAGGAAGATATCCCTTAGTTTTAAAGGTGAGGAACTTACAAAAGAATAATCTTTCAGACTGATTAGTGACTAGTTCACATATTGTAGGGATTACAAATTCATCGATATCAATTAACTACATGGATTCATAAGGCTTTGGGTTTGAGTAAAGTTCTCACCTTTTCTTTGTTCTCTTACCAGAGGACGATGGTTTACCTTTTGAAGAATCTGTGTGGATAAACGAGCCTACAGGCGTCTGCAGATCCATACTCGTGCCTGAGAATAACCGGGGTCCAATGCAGCCAGACTCTGATCACCTCGAATGCTTCCCTGAGGAAGGTACAGGCTTCAAAAGCGGCGACCACAAGTACATCTCGGAGATATTGTTGGCATCAGGGCTTCTAAGAGATCTTGAATACAGCATGATAAGCATTCAGCTGAACCAAGCGCGTCTCCCCATCAATCCTGGACTGTTCTTCATCCTGGAACAGAACAAGGCCAGCAATATGAGTCCACCAGGCAACAAACACAGAACCGGAGGATTCAGACAACAGCAGAAAAATCTGACAGAGAAATTCAGGAGAAAACTCATCTTCGACACCGTTAACGAGATTCTAGCTCAGAGGTTCACTGCAGTAAGCTGTACCAGACCACGGTTAACCGCAAACCCACTTACAACAATGGAGAAAAGATCCAAAGGGGAGCAACTTCTGCAAACTCTATGCTCGGAGATTGATAGGTTACAAGAGAACAACTCAAAGTGCAATTTGGAGGATGACGAGTATGACATCATATGGGAGGATCTGCGAAGTCAAGGCATGAACGTGAAGGAGTTTGAAGGAGAGACTCCAGGCATAGTGTTAGATATTGAAAGAATGATTTTCAGAGACTTGGTTAATGAAGTTTGCTTCCGTTAAATTTTTATGGGTATCACTTAGAATTGTAAATGAAGGAATCTTACAGAGGAAGAGACCCTTCGGTTTCTGGGCTTTCAGCCCTTTTGCCTCTTCTCTTCCTACTTATTTGTGTAACCAGCATATATATGTATACAGGTCTGTCTGATTAATAGCATATAAATTACTCAATCAAAATTATAATTAACCAGCAAATGAAGTTAAAAGGCAAAGAAATCTTCTCTTTCTTTATCAATTTGAATTAGTAAAAAAAAATCTTACCCTAAAAAGTAACGTATTCAATTGCAAACGATCACTAAAACTCGGGATGCAAAGCTATTCTGTCTTAACACATTCTAAAATGACACAAAACCTAATTTACATCTGACTCGACAATTCCCAAGTCAATTCTTTCGCGTTTTTCTTTGATTTCTGACTTTTTTTCCCACTTGTCTTCACCTTCTTGAAACCACCCATGTTCCTGGACGCTCCGGTTTATTGCAAAACACGAAGGTCTCTTTAGAGTCCCAATCTTGAAACGTACCAAAGTTTGTTGTGGTCTTGCACCACCTTTCTTCTCTCCATCCTCAGATTCAACTATCATGTTCCGCTTGTTGATCTCATCCCATGGAGCCGATGCCTCAAGAACTGGGATGTGATGATCGTTGCTCAAATGCTTATCAGGAACGTGGCTGGTTCTAGCAACTTCATTTGAAAGCTCCAGAGGGTGGAACACAGGTGACAATTCCTTCTCCACGAATCGAAGAGGTGCGGTAAGAAACGGATTACCTTCCACTTCTTCTTTTGATTTTCGATCATCCTTTGGAGAATTAAGTACTTCTAACCTACCACCATTGAAAGAATGTTGTAAACTCGACAAAGATGGCCCATTTTCTTTACTCGGAGGTCCTCCTTCGACTGTGCCTACAATAGTTTCCTCTGACCGATTACACAATTTGGTTTCGGGAAATGCAGGAAGCCAAACAGGGATGTGTTCATCTGGAGATTCTGCTCCAACTTCAGAGAAACTAGGAGAAGGTCTTTTCTCTTTGTTAATTGGGAAACGAGGAAGAGAATAAACAAACGGCATCTCCTCTGCTTCTCCTGTATAACGAATAATATCCTTGACTACACCGGAATCAGCAAGACAACGGCCAGTGTCTGAAACACCAGCGAAACCCAAACCAGACCCCAAATCCTCTAATGTTTGAACTATGTCCAGAGAATTACCCTCTCTTCTACCGGCTATGTTAGCATACAGATGAGCACTCATCCCAATGCTCTGGATATACCGAATCGCTACATCGGTTAGCGTTTCAAGAGCAGATTCTTGAAAAGAACTAAACCTAACGCCCTCGCGTGTCTGTGATTCCTGGTACACATTAACCTCTGCACTCTCGCAAATCTGAGCCACTGCCATTTTTGCTATGGCGTAGGCGAAATCATTGCCTAGAAAAAGCTTACTCTTGCCGTGTAATTCTCTTCTCTGACTTCCTCCTTCCCCAGCTCCATTGTTCATATTCAAACTCTCTTACAACTTCACCCAACATAACATGTCGAACCATTTCTCAACCAACACAAAACGCATCCCTCTGAGATAGCACAAAATCAATTCATGCCCAACGAAATTTTTTCACTTTGGCACCTAACAACAATTATAGAGGATAAAACATCAGAATCAATTGGAGGTAAACAAACAAAAGCAAAGACTTGAACACAATTTCCAACCAAAAAATTGAAAATTGAACTTAATGACAGATCAATTCTGTCACTAGGATTACTCGTTTCCAGCGAAACCCTAGAAACTCATCGGGTCCGATTGACCGAGTAGAAAGCAACAAACGAGATCCGAGAGTGTAAACAAATTCGATTACGGAAAGTAAACTGCTTACCGGAAAAGAAGCTTTCTCCATTGTAAAACCCCAAGGAACAAATCCGCCGAGGAAAGAACAGGCAAACTTCGGTAGCTACCGGCGGCGAACCCAGTGATGGAAAACCCTAGCGAAGAACTGAAATTGAGGAAATTTACAGAAGTAACAAGGAACGAAATCAAAGGCGCAGAATTTAGGGATTCGAATGCGATTTAAAACAGAGCTCGATGTTAAACAATCTCGATCAAAGAGAAGGCGAGGGGAAATATAGAGAGACAGAGAGAGAGAGAGAGAGAGAGAGAGAGAGAGAGAGAGAGAAAGAGTGGGAGATTGCAAGTTTTTGAGATTTTCGTTAACTTATAGAGAATTTTATAGAAACAAGAAACAGATTTCCTAATAAATCTTTTTACTAATCGAATTATTTTATAGGTTTACAGCGATGATTTTAATATAATTAGAAAGGATACACTTATTGCGGGAAACAAAAATATAATTTACTTCCTGTAATGAAATTACGATCGAGAGGCACATACATATATTTATATCCTTTTATAGTTTTCCTAGATATATCTTATAAAAAATTACTGTAAATAGCATAAATCCGAGAGGGATACATGGGCTTTCTAGCAATCAAATAAATTTTTAAGATGATGGGCCTAGCAGGTTGGCCCAAATATCAACTACGTCGTATAGTGACAACGAAGAATGTACTGAATTATAAAAAATGTTATTTTGGTCGATAGGGTTAGACTCTTTTTTTTTTTGGATGTCAAATTCCATTATTAATGAACCCAAAGAGTCAAGAAACAAAACAAATATAAAGAACCTCTAAACAGAGTCATCTAAAACCAACTAAAGAAGGCTTGACAAAAATTCAAAATCTCATTTCTGGTTTTATTCTACACTTGATTGTGAATTTTTCCTGTCCCTCCACATATGATACTTTGACCCAAAAAAGAAGACCCTCCAAATATTATACTGAAACCAAGACTTTTCGTGATCACTCGAAGTCTCGAACAATATAATAGTAACTGAAGCTTGTATCGAGTGTCAATCATACACTTGAAACTCAAAAATTACATGACCAATATAGTCCAAAAGGTACTACTGGTTACAAGATGTATTATTAATAATGAAATCAAAATTGTATTCCTTTCAATGTATGTTAAAAAACAAAAATTGTATTCCTTCTTCTTAACGTAGTCTAGTTTGGTTTCGGTGACGGTATGATTGGTATTTATAAAGAAAGTAAAGCCAGATATATAAAAAAATCGATATTAATAAACATATGGATTTTTAGGTTCGGTTCGGTTAACCGAAATAGACAATTTGAGCTAGCATCTCGTTTATATCAATATATTATATATCTGGTAAATTTCATATAATATATATATATATATATAAGATCGACATGGAAGCTTTTTGCAGAAAGTATGATGATATTTGACAGAGTCACAGAGCATTGGATCGGTAGCCTTTTTACTCTAATCAATTAAAGATCGTACCAACATAATTATTTACAAGCTTTTGTCTGTATTACCCCTAACTAACTTTTTCCGATCCCCTTCCTCTTTGGTCAATTTATATACTGCATCTCCCATTTACCTCGAACTATATACAAGTTTTATATGATGTATTAATTATTATATATGTACTTAGTAGTTAGTATCTCTATATTATAGCATAACATTTGAATTGGTGAACATGCATGAGACTACACGTTAATTTGCGTTTAACATATGTAAAACGAAGAGAGCATTTTAACCTAGTGATCTTAAATTAGAGCATCTCCAACAAAGGATGTTTAAGGGTTGCTAGTCAAAAAGTTGGATTAAAAATAAATTTTTAATGGAGAAAACTTTTAGCATTGATGTTTATATAAGCATTTTAAGCACCCTTAAGCACTCCTTACGTGGTCTTTTCTCATTAGTTAAAACATTTAATTTATTTTTTTTATTCTTTTTTTCCCATCAGTTGAAATATCTCTCTCTTCTTCTTCTCTTTTCTTCTTCTCTTTCCTTCCTCTCTTTCCTTCTTCGACCCTTCTTTCTTCTCTTTCCTTCTTCTTTAAACTTCACAAACATAACTTTTAAACATAATCTTTAAAATACAAATTAAAAAAAATTTAAAAAATTTCTAAGCATCTCACTTTAAGCACCTCCCATTGGAGGATGAATTTTTTTTAAAAAGTTAATGAGGTGCTTAAACAAAAAATTATCAAAAAAACTAATATAAAAATGGTTAAGCACTCCTTAAAGGTGCTAACCATTAGAGATGGTCTTAGTTTAAATAGAAATGGCGTATTCATTTTGCATCTTGAATTTAGCTGAGAGCTAGCTAGCTTTAGGACAATTATATTGTGTGCTTAAAACCATCCAAAATGAAATTCTATTTGATAACTGGGTCTTTTTCCAGATTCACATAACATAAGGTTAATGTTGGGTGTTTTGTTTGGTAATTGGTTTTGTAGATTAAAATCTTGAGTAACCATAAATCATCATCAAAACTAACTACAGTCACCACTTGAGTTAAGTAGCAATGCACTGCGCGTCACATAGAAACATAATCTCATATATACCTCAATTAACATATCATAACTAATAGATTACAATGATTTCACATCATTATGCTATCTCTCCACGATTCCGAAATTGTGTAGCTAGCCATGTCATTTTGTATATACATAGTTTTCAGTTACTTATACAAAGAGCCCTACATAAATTTACATTTCATTTTGTGTGTACTAAGATCCTACGAGGAAGCTATATATATATATATATATATATGATGAGAAAGTTTAAAACACATGCATGTTAAAATACAAGTCAAAATTATATCGGGATAACAAATGTAGTACAATATTAACTAGCGTATTACTTTTGTTTTGTGTCCACTAGTTCACTTGTGAACAAATCGAACACTAATTGTTTCCATAATCTAATTTTACATCGGGTGATGTTCACTTCCTCTACTTGTCCGGTTTAATTGGACCGACGACATCCGGTTATTACCATTGTTGCTACTAGTACTACCATGTAACAATGAATATAAAGTCGAAATGTTTTGGGATGTTGAAGATGAAGAGCTACCCATTAATGGCATTTGAAAATGACTTACCATATGCCTTGGATCTGTTGTCTCCATAGTCTCGGAATCAGCTGAAGACGATGATGGAAACAAAGATTGTATAGTTGTTGTTGTCGTCATTGGGCACACCAAGATTTGTGATGGAAATGGGACAAGACTATGTAGTTGATGTTGATGATTGTGATAATCTGCCTGAAAAATCGAATGCTGATGATGATGATGTTCCATGTTGTGATAGGTTCCATAAGACCCGATATGATGATTGTTTGTGAAAACGACATCGTTTTCTCCCCTCTCTTTGTTGTTTTCTTCACGGCTAGAATTAGTAGTAGTTGTAGTAGACTCTCCATTGATTTTAAACCCGAGTTGGGTCGGATCTTGGCCCGGCCGCTGACCAAGATTCAAGAACGACTGGTGATGGTTGAAGAGGCTGAAATTTTCTGGCGAGACGGGCAACGGAGGAAGCTCGTCGATCTCCTCTTTAGCTGCATCGAGCAACCAGTCAACGGCTTTGCTAGGCTGGTCAACGCCGAGCCGTTCTTGAAGATCATAGAGCTGAATAGCAGTTGGGACTGATAATCTCACTCGTCTGTCGCGTAGACCACGCAACGTACTCACTTTGCTGTGACGGTCTTTGCCTCCAAAGGCGCGTGAAACCCTAACAATCCTCGGATCCTTCGATTTCATCCACGACGACGAGGATGAAGTTGAAGAAGAAATCAAGGTTGGTGGCTTCGTATTTACGGTTTTGCCACTGGTGGCTACGAGGACGGTGGTTTCGTCTGCATCTTCTTCTCCTTCTCCTTCTCCTTCACGTCTCTTCGTAGTCCCGCCGGAAACGTCGTCGTTCAGATATTTCCAATGGACGATATTCATAATGCTATTTACGGGATCTTTATAATTTACTACGGAAAAAATGTAAAATCCATTAGACGATAGGCTAAGAAAAATAGTTTTTTCAAACAATTTGCTTTTTATTCTAAATCTCATATCATCCTTTAGGGTTTCTGAATCCTTTTAAAGGAGTGTGATTAATAACATAGTGAAATCCGCAAACAAGATAGAAATTATCTAAGAAATAAAATTAGGGTTTAATTCTTATTATTATTTTCAATCGACTTAATTAATTATTTTAGGACAAAGACATAAATTGAGATGTGTTTCTTACCTGAGCTTCTAATAAGCATGTACGGTCTTGAACTTGAACAGATAAAATCTAGGGCTTTCTTGTTCAATAAAGTGAGGAATAAGACGACGATGAGGAAGAAGAGGGACTGCAGAAGGATGAGATATAGAGAGAGAAGAAAGTATGTGATTCCATTTATCTTTTATGAAAGTATGATATAGAATGAAAATATATAAAAAAAAAAAAAAAAAGAAAATAAGAAAGAAGAAGATGCTTTTGGAAGTGAATATGGAGAACCCTACCAATATCATAAGCCTCCAAAATTCAGAAGAATTGCGACTAAGTATTTATGTTAAAAAAGCAATGGATGTGGTAATGCCACGTGTCGTATTTCGCTATCCTCGAAGGGAAAATCTAATGAATGCTTTGAAAAATCAGTCAAGTTCATTTTCATCTTTAATATTATGGATCATATCAAATCTATATACGGACGAGAAAAAAAAATTCGAATAATTTTTCATCCACGTATGTGATATGAATTGCAATTATATAGTACGGCTAAGAAGAAGATCCCAAAAAAGTATACGTACGTGATTATCTAAGTTTAAAGAAATTGCAGATACCAAAATAAGCATATATTGACGTGAAGTTATATAGTAGCTTGTTGAAACATCTAACTAATGTTCTTAAAATGGAAATAAATGATATTTTAGGGGATACATAAATTGTTAAGATCAAGAGAGAATGTACTCTATTAGTAATTTAATTATATTATTTATCTTGATTGGCCAAAATTAAGGTGATGATTAGTGATCTTATTTCTTTTTCCCCCGCTGTAAATTTTTTTATACTAATACAAAAGTCAGGACAATATATGATTCTACTTAACACAAACGTATGATTTACCATGGTTTGCACCCGCGTATTGTAGCTGATTTTTAATTCTTAATTGTATATATATGTAACGGGAACATATATGAATTTCAACCCTTGTTACAAAAAAAAAAAAAAGAATTGCAACTCACGTATATAGTGTTATATATATACTATACATGGTCCCTATGTATATGTCCATGACCATGGGCATGCTGTTATCGACAATTACAAAAGGTTGTGGCTTACCCCAATGCACGCCTCGTACCTTTTTTTTGAGTCAGGACTCATTTACCTTTTCAAACACAAGTACATTTACTAGACATCACTAAACCCTAATTTTATTATTCTTTACGTGAAAACCGTTGGCTTATATGAGAAAAGTAACATGATTTTGTAAACTCGGATGCAAAGTTAAACAGAAAATAATTGTAACAATATTTACATTTCCATCTATATAAATTAATGAACATTTATTTTACAACGACATCTGAATATAAACCAATGAAATGATTTCACGTTTATGCTTAATTGCTTATCTTCCAAATATACACGAGTATTTTGAATTCCAAACATTCCTCACCTAAATAATCTCATCAGATTCAAGTAGTATATATATTTGTATATGATGAGTCCTCTGCTACTAGCAAGCTAGATTCTAATTTATCCAGTAGTTATGAAAAATAGAAGTGGCGGAAAGCAATATATCCTTATGAATCAAAACAAAGGAGTGAGAAAATAAAAGTGTGATGATGAAATTATTTCATCTTTAGATATCACATTGGAACAGAGGAGAAATTGAACAAACTTAGAATCCACTAAGTCATGTCAACTTCACCGACTACGAATTTTTTGTGGTCATCATGAACAAAGATTGGGGTTTCAATAGCTTTCTATACTTCATATCGATAACAATAATTAATGATGTCAAAGCTCAACGACAATAATATCCTAAGGAATGGGTCTAGTCCAAACGATATATACAATTTGATGGGATATAAATACACCCATTACAAAAAAAAGAAGAAGTATATATATGTGAAAGTATAGTATCCTAAAAACTAACTCCTAACATAAGTTGAATGATCCATATAATAATTTGTAATGCTCTTACTATTATAGTTAACAGTTACATATATGTATAGCAGTGATGAATATTTTTTTATTAACAATATATAATATGCGCGGGTTTGTATGTAAATGGTAATACATCGATAATGCCATATATATCGAAATAAATTATATACGATTGTCACAGATGTATAAGCTAAAGTTAGCAACACCAAAAAAATATATGAACTAAGTGACGTTACGTGGAAATTGCAAAATGGAACACCTAATCATTAATATCGTTCGTTGAAAAAGAAAGACGAATCTATACAGTACCGTCGCCCGCATGCCATTTCGAGACGTATACAATTTAGTTTCCTCCACTAGAGTTTGAGGTCTTTATCAAATTCTCAAATTACACGTTTATTATACATATAGAAAGACGCCACAATTCTAATATTATATGATCATGAACAGGACTACTAAATATTCTAAAACATTGTTTCTTGCGTGAAACGTTGAGCCCGTGAAACACTAATTAAGAACGTGCAAGTATGAGTTAGATTGCATACGTGAATTTTCACAATAGAAATTTCGAAGTGTTTTTACAAAAAAAAAATATATTTTTAAAAATATGGAAGTTTTTTCGGAATAGTAGTTAACCAGCTGGTTTAAAAAGTACATTATAAAATTTGAAGTTCAAATTTTAAAATATAGTTGTGAGTTACTGACATATTGTCGAATTCCGTTACGTATAGTTGTTTATACATGTAACATGCGTACACTGTACACACTAACAGAGTGTAAATTAAAGAGGGACACAACAAAGCGACAATTTATAAAAAAGGAAAAAAGTGACGATATAATGAACATGTGTATTTATTATGTTATTATATATACACGTTAGAAAGTAGATGAAGAGTGAAGAAGTTGGGCATCTCGAGAGAGAAACTGAAGAAAACAGAAGAGATAGGGAATTATTTACTCAATGGCCCCCTCAGTTTTTCCATTCACTTGTTTCTCTCTCTCCTTTTTTTCGTCCTCCATAGTTACATCTTTTATTTCTCTCTCACTTCTAATCAACATGATTAGTTGCAGTATATATGGAGTTGGATCTGGTTATGGTATACCGAGCAAATCCGAATTACAGGCTAGCATTTTTTTTTACTTTCAGTTGTTGTTTCTTGATAGAATATCTATTAATACAAGATTTTGATATCAATGTTTTTTTGGGATCTAAATATCAACATTAATGTTGTGCAAACAAATGCGGTAAATATAAAGTTTGGCATTTCGTATAGCTGCTGCTATTTTTTTTAAATTGGAAAAGTGGCAGGTTAAATGTGAGAAGCGAATATAGTTAACATTCAAATATTCAATATACCGTTTAGAAAAATGGAATCAAAGAAAAATCAGAGAGAAAATATACTACTGAATCTGTTTCTATTGCATTGTCTAATAAACTTTTTCTCTGCACTGTTCCTATCACAAACACCAATCCCTATGCTCAGTCCAAATGGTAGATACTAGATAGTAACCCAACATATGGATATATTCATATATTACGGACACATGCTTGGATAATGGAGTACACATTGCCCAGTAAGCAAAATCTTCAAAAAAAAAAAAAAAATCTCACTTTTAAATCCAAAACTATTTTCTCACGTCTAAACAAAATCCATATATGTGAATTTTATTGATTTTGTGGTACTTTCCTGAATCCAAAATTTGGGCCAACAAAAGAAATGCAGAGGGTATATAAGCCCTTATGATGAGAAAAAGCTGCATGGAAAGAAGTTTCGTGGACATAGAAAACAGTTTTTTTTTTAATAGTCTTTGTGATGATGATTTGTTATAGACAATTTACAAGTATAAGATGCAACATCACAACTATCATGGTCAAGATTTTGAAAAGGACGCCGCTAAATTAGACCACATGTTTTTCATTTCGTTCCTAAGCCTCCCTAGTTCCTGAAAACTGAAAACACAAGATGGTGATGATGAAGATAAACTATTAGCAATGGTCACAAATCACAATGTCATTGAAGTGATTATTCCTTTTTTTATCATTTTAAATCTTTTGTCGCTCCTCCTCAAATCTTGATTCAACATCGCCAATCATTAACGACTCAAGCTATATGCCTATATCACATAACCACTCCTACAACTCTACGTACGATCGTATCTTGTGCTGACTCTACAATCAAAAATGACACAAAAAAAAACAACGAAAATAAGTCAAGAATCACTTGACTGAATTAATACAAGATTTTGATATCATAATTGTTGAGCAAGCAAATGCGTTCAATAAAAATTTTGGAGTTTGTTGTAGCTGTTATTAATTTATTTATTTGAGGAAAGTGTCTGGTTAAATGTGAAAAATGTAAAAAGCATATACTCCATTCATTATAAATGGTAGATAGTAGATAGTAAGTAGTTTTATATACTCCATTCATTCTCTGCACTGTTCCTAGCCCTAGGTTGAATCCAACGAGTAGATACAGAGAGTGACCCACATTTGTATATATGAATATATTACACACTTCACAGTAAGCAAATTTTCAATTTTACAACCAGAAATCCAAATATGTGTGAATTAAAATACTTTGTGGTACTTTCCTGCAGGATCCAAAATTTGGGTCAACAAAAGAAATATATTGGACTACTCTGATGAGAACAGGCCCAATCTATAAAGTCTCAAATTTGTTGCCAAAAAAAAGTGTGTAAAAGTTAGCGTAGACTGAGAAAGCATTTACATTACATATAAGCTTATACACACACAGAAAGAATATCCGGTTCAACACACATAAATGGTTTTTAGTTTGTATTTTGTAATGTGATGGTCTATTCTATATATCAAAATGTTATGACTTATTATCATATCCCTGCAAGTTGTTTGCATATTGTCGAGAAGCAATGAATATAATTACACGTGGCATACTCTGTCAAGTGAAACGTGTCAGTGATCTTATCACCTTTTGGGATAACATATTTTGAGTTAACATATTTTCTAAAAGGGCAACACAAAAAGAAAGAAATACAAGTTGGCCACTATGCCGGTCCCACTTCTCGATCTGCTCTTGATTGTTTGCGTCTCTTTAGGAGATCCTCCATCCATTCTCTCCAACTTAATTATTATTATTGTTGCTTATGAAACTACTACGTATATTATAACGCATAATTTTTTAAGTTTGTTTAATTGCAAACTACGACAACGTAAAAATATTACACATATTTTGGGTTTTTTTTTTGGTCAAACACACATATTGGGTTAATATCCAATATTGACACACAAATATTAAATAATTGTTGAAGCTCACAAGCGCGTAATAATGTCAGCTAAAAAGAAAAAAAAATGATTTGGTATTTTAAACTTTGTTTTGCTGGTCGGGCCCAGTCCGGCTGGATACACGTGGCAATAAAGTGATGTCGTCGTTGAGCACGTTGATAATTAAACACGTGTCAAGTTGTGCATCAACAAGTAGCCTACGTCTACGCTAAGCCCTCCCCCACTTGATGCCCTTTTCCACGTGGCGTGGTGGGTGGTCGACTGGTCGTCTATCTTTTTCTGTTTCCTCCCAAAAGAAATATATAATTTTTTTTTTCAAATTATATTACTAAATTTTATAATAATTCGAAATTCCCTAACTATTTCCTGTCAACGATAAATCACTATCTATTTCCGTTGATAAAATATAGTTCAAATGGCATCATGACTGGAATTACGGTATATTTTCTATTATTTTAAGCCAACTTGTGCACCTAAAAATATACTAATGGAAATAGATCCGTACAATATCGTCAACTATGCTTCTAAAATAATCCAAAAACATGATTTCCAGAAAAATATAAAATACTTGCAAATTGTAGTACTATAGTTTATAACACTTGGTAGCATTTGGTGGTTGTTTTAAGAAAAATTGTTTCGTCTCTCTCAAAATCGTGAAATTAAAAATTTAAAACGCTTCTGGCTAACAGATTGCTCCTTCTCTTTTGTCTGTCGAACTCCCTGACCTCAAGTTTCGATATTTGCTAAGCATTTATTGTTTTGATTTTGATTATGGAGATGATAAGAGGCCCAAACGGCGTCGTCATGCAAATCCCGAATCTATCTGCTAACAATCTCTTGCAGAAGTTTTTCATCACAAGCAACCATTTGTGTCACAGACACCCTGAGAATGGTGAGAATCGGGAAGAACCGAAGAAGAAACAAGAAGAAGAAGAAGAAGAAAAAGATATTGAGCTAACGTTAGGTCTTTCTCTGAATGGTCAGTTTGGTACGGATCCGAGATCGAGGAAAAGGAAGAACTTTGAATTGGGTCGATCTTCTTCGATACCAGAAGGTTTCGTCTTCGATGAACAAATATCCGGCGGCGTTTTCGGCGGAGACTTCCGGCGGACGGTGGGTCGGGGGGCTTTGGACATGTTCCAGCTGGATCGGACACGGTCTCTGCCTGTCGAAACGGAGTTGGAGACGGAAACGAAGAGGAGGCGGTCGGAGAAGACGATGGCATTTCTTGAATTTCAGGTTCCTCCTCCGGAAAAGGAAAAAAACAGTGGCCAAGCCAAGACGGAGAAGTCAAGGGCATTTTTGGAATTTCAGGTTCCTCCTCCGACAAGGAGAAAGGAAGAAAAGGTTGGTTTTTATGACGTCCCCGGTCCGATCAGCGGGATGGGTAAAAAAGGAAATACGGCGAAGAAGAAGAAGAATGAGGAAGTCTCTGGAATGGAGAAGGCGAGGAACATTCTAGAAGACATGCCGTGTGTGTCGACGAGGGATGTCGGAGCCGACGGGAAACGAGTGGAAGGGTTTCTGTATTGGTACGGAGGGAACAAGGAGGAGGTGAAGATAGTGTGTGTCTGCCACGGCAGTTTTCTTTCTCCGGCAGAGTTCGTCAGGCACGGCGGAGGCACCGTTTCTCCCGTCAGCGACGAAGGTGGTGGTGACGATGTTGCGATAAATCCTCTTAGGCATATTGTTGTTAAACTTCCTTCTTCTTCCTTGTAGTTCATATTCTTGTGGGTTATTATTGCTTATCCCCAATTATTAGAGGTGTCATTTTTCTTTCTAAACTTTCAAAATTGTAACTATGTATGTCAAAATATAATTTGACCGACTAATTAAGCTGAAGCAGAAGTTTTTCAACCCTCTTTTAAATAGACCTTAATTTATTGCCTGATCACAACAACCGATCAATCCAATACAAGGATTCCTCAGTCTCCCTCAGTTGCTGAAAGACACAACAACCGATCAATCCTTTTCTGCGTATTCAAGATGTTTTAGTTTCTGTTTTGTGGTTCTTCATCTGGATGGTAATTTGCTGCGGATCCACCTACTGTACTAGTCTTCTCCGAGGCATCTTTGGTGTTTCTGTCTTGAGCTTAAGGATTGCAGTGGTTTCGTTCTACCGTTCTTCTCTGGCGAGGTGTGACCAGTCTCTTTCTGTAGGTGACTGAGATTGTGTTTGCGAATGTCCGCGTGTAAGAATTGGTGTTCTTAGATGGCGTTTTCCCCTTTCAGATGTTAAGGTTCCGTACCTTATGCCTAGATCTTCTTGAGTGCTATGTTCTTTGGTGTGTCAGAGTTAGGGTAGTTGCTTTTTCGTTGGTCTGGTTCGTTTCTGCGATCTTCCTGTCCGGAGCAGTGGTTGGTGTTGCTTGGAGATTGTGTCTCCTTTAGGCTCAACGGTCTTCCGAAGCTTTTTCAGGTTGTTGATTCTTCTCTTGGCTCTTGTTCTTTGACTCTGTTCTGGCATCTATCAGTTTGTTTGGGTTGGCTGTGGAAGTGTTTTGGCTCAGCGTTTCTGATGTAAAGCTTGTGGTTCCTTTGATCTTTCCTTTCATCTTTTTCTTGTATGTTGTTTCTCTTTTGGGCTTTGTTTTGTGGCCGCTTTAGTTTAATTTTGGTATTGTAGCTTGGTTATGGAAATCGTTTTCTGCATTTGTCTCCGGGGTTTTCTATAAACCGTCGGCTTTGTCTTTGAGGTTTTTCTATAAACCGCCGACTTTGTCTCTGGAGATGTTTTATCATCTGCCGGCTTTGTGTAATCCGTTAGCTTTGCTTTGCTCTGTAACACTATGGTGATTAATATAATAATATTTAGCAAAAAAAAAAAAGATGATGATGATGAAATAAATGGTAACATAATCTTGTATTTTTTAGTACTCCCACATTTTAAAATTTTCATTTCCAAAAGGTTTAAGTTTTTTACTCCAATTCTTTTTTAATATACGAGTAGTTAGTTGTTAAAATATGATTTATCAAAAATTTCCAAAAAGTACCCCATTAGAAAAAAAGTCAAAAACTACGTAATACAATTTACAGGTGAGAAAAACAAACAAATTAGCTACAATATTTGGGAGTTGATCCTTCCTAATGTCCTTTTACCCTCGACTCGAGAGAAACCATTAGGAAATTTACCTTTCTTCTTCTAACTACTACACAAGAAGTTTACTGCTGTTAAAAAAAAAAAATCAACAAAAAATTTATAACCTTTTTTTTTTTGAAAAATAATAATCAAACGGAGCTATCGCTAACACGACGGAGGCTGAAGCTGCTTTAACCGCCGTACAACTTGCTTCATCGTGGGCCTCGTGGAAAGAGAATCCACCGTACAAACAACCGCTAGATGCAGAACCTCGACGAGATCATCGTGCGGACCAGCGTCCCATAAACCGGCCGTGAAAAACTCCTTGGCACGCCCTTGTCTCAGCAACATACAAGCCCATTGCACAATGTTGAAACCGTTGCCGTAGGAAACAAAAGAGGGATCAAGCGCTTTCTTGTCCGAAAGCAGCTCGAGAAGCACCACTCCGTAGCTGTAAACATCCGCTTTATCCGAAACCCGGCAGGTCATGGCGTACTCTGGCGCCACGTACCCAAACGTACCGGCCACACCCGTTGTTGCGTGCGTCTCCGATGTCCCGAGCAATCTCGCTAACCCGAAATCCGATAGATAAGCGTTGTGATCGTCGTCCAAGAGGATGTTGCTTGGTTTGACATCCCTGTGAAGAACCCGTGGCACGCACTGGTCGTGGAGGTATGCGAGCGCTCGAGCTATGTCAAGAGCGATCTTGTGAAGAACTCTCCAATCTACAGCTCTCGTGGATCGTTCTTGGATGAACTTCTCGAGGTTGCCTCCTGGGAGATAGTTGTAAACCAAGAACATCTCGGTCTCGCTTGCGTGGTAGCCGATGAGGGTTACAAGGTTCGGGTGTCGAAGCCTCCCCAGAGTTTTGATCTCTGCGTGGAACTGTTGCACGCCTTGAAACCGTCCTATTGAGAGGCGTTTGATCGCTACGACGACGTCTTGAGAGATTTCCGCTTTGTAGGTTGCTCCGAACCCGCCATTGCCGATCAGGTTGCTCGCGTTGAAGTTCCCCGTTGCTCTCACAACGTTGTCGAATGTTATCGCTACTCCGATGTCCATGAACATGGTGACTTCTCGTTTCGTAGTGGCCATGATCTTCGATTTCGGATGCCATTTCCTCGTGTAGAAGAAGAGGATCACAAGAGCGATCAAAACCGAGACAATCGCTGAAGCTGATGCGATCGAAGCGATCTCTAGCGAGTTGAACCCGTCTTTTCCTGATGGCTTTTGAGACGGAGCGTTTTCCGCAGGCGAAGATGCGTAATCCTGCGTGATAGAATCTCCCATGGAGCCTCGGGAATCCGAAGACGGCGTTGTCAGAGAGAAGACATGGCAAGGCCGAAGATACGGGTTTCCGACAACACTGCTGCATTTCGTCAACCCGTTGGTCGGAGGAACCGGACCTGACAGGTTGTTGGAGGAGACATTGAAAACCGCAAAAGTGGCGAAACCCGACGGGATTTGGCCAGAGAGGTTGTTATTGTTGAGAAGCAGCACTGTGAGATCCTTCAGGGTGACGAGATCATGAGGAATGCCGCCGGATAGATAATTTGAAGAGAGATCAAGAACTTGCAGGGAATGCAAACGACCAAGGCTCTGGGGAATCTGCCCCGTCAGGTTATTATTCGCAATCGAAAGAAACGTCAAAGCATTCATCTTCTTCCCCAGGCTTCCCGGCACCTGACCCTGCAGCTGATTCCAGCTCAGGTTAAGAGCAACAAGTGAAGCCAGATCACCGAGACTCGACGGAATTGGCCCGAAGATCTGATTCAAGGAAGCATCAAGAATCTTCAGAGAAGGGCACATGTTGTTGAGTCCTTCAGGAATCCGACCTGAGAGCTTGTTGGAGCTTACGTTGACGTACACACCTCTCAGTTGGTCGCAGTTGTCCAGCAGATTTCCTGGGAATTGCCCGTAAAACCGATTCCCTCCACCAGAAAATATGTAAGAGACTCGCTTTCCCAACCGCTCCTGAGCAAGTGGTACAGACTTGAGAGTTCCAGTGAAGTTGTTGTCTGCGAAATTATGAAACACAGCCGGACCTCCATCACCTCCGACAACAGTCAGGGAAGCTCCAACTTGAGCCTTCTCGGTGAAGAAGGAGAGATAAACAGACGACGGGTCGTTGTAAGATTCGATAGAAAACCCGTCAAAGAAAACAACAGGAGGACAATGGGTTGTGGCATTGCTAAGAAACTCAGGGATTAAACCCGACAAGCTGTTTCCACCAACATCAAAGACACTCATGCAGGGAACCGACATCTCTTTAAGAAGCTCTCCGCTAAGCGTATTCGAGCTCAAATCAAGAAGACGAAGGTTCTTGCATTTACTAAGACCCACAGGAATTTCACCTTTAAAGAAGTTCTGACCCAAATTAACCATCTCCAAGCTTTGACATGAACCCCAATCTCCTGGGAACCTCCCTTCTAAAGTAGCTCTCGGGACCCAAAGTATCTTTAGCTTCGGAAGCCTAGTGATTTCCTCTGGAATCCCTCCTTGATAGAAATTGAAATCCTCGGTCATCGAGGTTAAATCAGCCTCTGGAGGTTGATCTGATTTCCCTCTAATGCTGTTAATGTCTTCATACACATTGTACAGGTTCGATAGCACGAGAACAGACAAGGAAGAGCAATTCCCGAGTTCTGCAGGCAATGGGCCACTAAGAGTGTTCCTCGAAACATCCAAAACCTCGAGCTTCCGAAGATTCCCAAACTCTAAAGGGATAGTCTCCTCCAACGTATTCATATACAACAACAATGACCTTAAACCACGGCAGTTCCCCAAACTCTTTGGAATCCTCCCGTTGAAGAAATTACCAGACAAATCCAAATGCTCAAGCTTTCCACAGTTATCGCCAATATCTTTAGGCAAAGAGCCTTGAAGCCAGTTTAATGGCAAGTGCACCACTCTGAATCTCCCGACAAAACCAGGAACAGTTCCATTAATCTTGTTACCACCTAAGTTCAAAATCTCCAACTTGGACAGATTCTGCAGAGAATTAGGGATTTCACCTGAAATTCTGTTAAACCCTAGATTCATGACCCGCAAATTCCGTAACCCAGTAAAGTGAGCAGGCAATGACCCGGTCATCAAATTCCCTTCCAGATCAAGAACTTCAAGCTTTTCCATTCCCCAGATTCCAACAGGGATTTCTCCACTAATCGAATTGAAGGGCAGAGACAAAACCCTAAGCTCTGTGAGACCCACGATGACAGAAGGCAAATTCCCCGCCAAAGCTCCACGATTTCCGGCGCAATCCCTCCGAATACCAAACCCATACAGCGGAAACTTACCAATATCACCGCAATTGAAACGGTTCCCACTAATTTTGGAAGTTCCTTTGTCGCTTCCAGAGCCGCTGATGTTAAGAGCCATGACTCGGGAGGTCGAATCGCAAGATACACCAAACCAGGAGCAGTAGTCTTCGCTCTCCTTGACCCAGCTAGCGAGAATTGAACCAGGGTCCGATACTGTTTCCTTAAACCGGAGCAGCGTCGATTTGTCCGAATCAGCTAACACGGTGAATTTTCCGGCGAGGCAGGTTGCGATACAGAGTAACCAGAGAAAGAACACCACGTTTGGAGGCATCTGCCTGCGAAAAAAACGCCATTTGATCACTGAATAAGGCAAAGAAGTCATCTTTGTAACTTATCCCCAAACGTTTGACACAAAACCCTAAACCCACCTCGCAAGGTCTGCTAATTTGCAATTGGCGAGCACAAGATCCTTCCTTTTTTAACGTGCGAAACAACCTCAGGCCCGAGTCTGAACTCTAATTTAGGGGATGATGAGATTCTTTTTTAGTGAGAGAAACAGATGAAGCAGAGAGATGAAAAAAAAAGGAGAGAGAAAGATGAAGATTCAACACTGTCACTGAGGAAGACGCGTTTTTTTCTTCACACTTTTTTGTAAAAGGATCTTAAATGTTACTTATGCAGAAAATAAATATATTTTCTTATTGTAAAGGGGTCCACTTTGCTTATTTCTTATTGGCTGACAAACCATTTTTTGTATTTTTACCTTCGAAGAAGCCTTTTTCTTTTTTTTTTTTCTTTTTTTATAATAACATAATAAATCACGTTGTAAAGTTTAACATATTTGTTAAACACAATTTTACCAGACACAAAAAAAAATTAGACAGAACTTAACATTGTAGTCACGGCGCATCTAATCGCAATACGTACATGATTGATAGTAGGTAGATGCGAGATTATCATATCAATAAAATAAAATATGTTTGAGTCCTAATAAATGTAACGATAATTTAACTCGCTCAGTGTATCTCCAAGACGAATCAATCTCTCATCGACCAATGTTATGCTAAGATCTTGAAATTAACATTTATTACAGATACAGTATATGTACATCAGTACATGCATATATATTTTTAGTCAATCTAATTTACAACCTCATTTCCCCCAAAAGTACACCTTTTTAAAACATCCTTTATACCATCAATTATGAATTTATGGATGTAATAGAACTATTTAATCAACTTACATACATATATATAGAGACATATATGTGTATATATACACATATAGAAAGTACTTACTCGCTGACATGAGAAACTATGAGTATAATGTAAGATCCCAAAAACACATAGTAACACATTAGGTGACATCAGAAATACAAGCTACAGATAAAATAGGATCGTTGAATAAGTTTGAAAATGAAAACATTTTCTTCCTTAAGATCGAACTTTTCCTTGCTAAATTTTGAAACTTTCTTGCAAAAAAACTTCATAATCAATCAGTAAAGATTTTTTGCTACCAATAATTTATTAAAAATACATAAATGCATGTGACATATATGTGTTTCTTTACAGCAAAAGAATTGAAAAATTAGAAAGTAAAAAAGGGACAGAATCCCCTCTTCTCATGGATATAAGGGAAGCTTCAAGATAAAGCAAAACAAATGTTTTTTTTAAATATAAATTTATAATTTTGTCATGTATCCAACACATTAGCCACATTTATGGGGATAAAAAGAGTGGGTTATTTATACCTTTTGAAATGAATAATTATATGATTTTTTTTTAGTGAATTATATATGTGTTTTAGCTACCTCTTAAAATACATATATAAAAATAAAGTATTTGATGAAATGTGGTCCTTGTAGTATACATCACCATGACATAAGAGTCATACACCATCCATCGGTAACCAAATCGGACCAAATCTGGTGTCGATTATCTTAAAAACCGGCGGAACTCGGTTAGGATCATCACTCTTTGGTTACATTATACCTTACAAGTTTACAACTACTTACATCCGTACAGATCACACATAAGAAGAAAACCAAAACGCAAACGCCAAAAGCTTCCTCTACTTGAATAACCTGCATTTTGGAAAGCGGAAGCAAGAGAACCAACCACCATTTCTCGAAGCTTTTATCGATTGCTTTCGAGACTCTGATTGTCTCGATGCCTTCCGTTGTATTTGTGATTGCTGCTGCAACTGAGCTGGCGTACTAGATTCCAAATAAGGTTGCGGTTGCGGTTGAGCCGGTTGCATCGGCGGCGATTGAGGCAACATATACTCGGGGTTTCGCTTGTGGGAAACGTTCCCTCTGATTTCTACAGATGGCGTTTTGTTAACTCCGTCTTCTTTCTGCAATCTGTTGCATGAATTCCAAACAAAGTAAATTAGGGTTTCATTGGTTCCTTAGTGCGCAAGAAATAATCAAGAAAACCATGCATCCACTAGTTAAGATTCAGAAGACCATGACTTACACTGGGAAGGCGAAAGAGCCAATGCTGTTGTTGCTGGTGTCCGAGCGACAAGAAATGCTAGGCGAATGTGAAACTGTACTGATCGAATCTTCTGCTGGTTTATTCTTCTTCACATCTTCTACCAATTTTTCTTCCGGTTTTTGGGTTTCAATTTCTACTGTAACCTTTGCTTCGATCATATCTTCTTCTTCATCATTATTTTCATGTTCATCGTCGCTTTCGGATTCAATCATCTTTTTTTCTTCCAATTTATCGTCAATCTCAGAGACTGGTTTTTCCACCTGATTTGGTTTATTCTCTGTGATTGTTTCTTTCTCATGTTCCGTGAGTTTCTTAACCGAGGGAGGAAGAGGAACCAGGTTGATTTCGGTTATCTCCTGACATGGTTCTTCAAATCTGGGTATCTCAGCCAACCTCAACGCTGCAGTAGAAATGCTAAAATTCCCGTCGTGGATGCTAAACAAGGATTCATTAGAAGCTATACTCCATTCCATCGAATTACCCGGTTTACTGGAGAAAACCGCAGGTGGAATCCGGTTTGGATCATAACCGGGTAAATCGATTAGGTGGTTCGAGGACCATGACGAACTGGTATAAGAGCTGACGGAGGAATTATAAGCCTGATGTGACTCTCTCTGCTTCTGTGCCTCGGGAGCAGACAATGATGGCTTGGGAAGAGGAAAGTGTCGGATATCAAAGTGACCATCTGATGATTCAGATGTTATTGATGACGATCTTGAAGATGAAGATAGAGACATCGAATCCTTCCATTGTTGTTCTTTGCTTTCACTTAATTTCGTTTCCATTGTCCTGATTTGGAAAAAAAAAATTAAAAATTAACAGAGCGCTCTGTTTTTGTCTGATATTCGAAAAGAACACGAATTGATTAAGGGTTCTTAGGGAAACTATGAATGAGAGAATTGATTCGCAGCTGTAATTAGGGAGATGATTAAGAATCGAACTTAAGAGGGTTGTGTATGTTTATTTTTATTTATACGGTGTAACAAAAAACAACAAGAGTAACAAAAAAAGTCTCAATAAAGTTTTTGTTTGTTTGTTCGTTATAACTTAGCTGGGATAGTAAGTTAGTTATCTAAAGGGACAACAATTAAATGACTAACTAAGGGATTAGTTTCAACGCGTTTATGACTAATCTTTTAATGTAATTGTAGTGCAATGTGTTGTTTAAGATAAATAGATGAATAATAGAAGTTTATTCTGGTAATAATACTCCCTGCTATTTTTAGAATGGAAAATACACCCGTACATGAAAAAAGAGGAGAATTTCAGCTCACTACAAACTACAGTTGTCAAATAATTGGTTTAATCAATTTTTGTTGGAGAAAAAAAACATTTTTTTTTTAATTATCACAAGTTTAGCTTTCATAAAAAAGAAAAACAAGTGTTTGCATTTACTAGGAACCCAAGACTTAAATCAATTTATCTTAATTAACACAAGCATAAGAAATACATATATGGAACGTCCAAGAAAGTAAAAATACATTAGCCAACAAAAATTGCAAAACTTTATTCGGTTCAAGCCACAAATCGACGATGTCTTCAACAACCCACAAATGATATACCGGATTCCGGTTTGCGTAGATCTTGTATCTGAAACAATTTATGCAAGCTGCGATAGTTAATAACTAAAATAACTGTGGAATAAATTGGGAAAAGCCAAAATTTATATATGAACCGGGTTTTGATTTGGTATGATGAAAAATCGACCTTGGCTAAGTGAAAGAAGAGAGATTTGATTGTTGCGACTCCATAAGAGAAAGAAGAGAGATAAAATTGGATAGGACGACGAATTTTGGTGTAAGTTTAATTGGATTTATGTAAATGGCTTAGAGTATTATTACCGTTGTTGGAAAACTGAGGTTGCAGCGGTCGGATTTAGCATTATCTAATAAAATCTGTGTTGTATAGTGTGTACATTTGTTTATTTGTATGATTATTGACCGTTCGCAAACTTAAAAAAAAAAAAAAAATTAAAAAGCAATGTTGTAAATGTATATTGAGCTTAAAAAAATCAATTTATCAACTTTGAATATTGGCTTACTTTTGGATGATTTTCCCCTTATAAGTTAATCAAATATTGTATATATCTATATCTATACATACATATCTTCAAATACTGTTTCTGTTTTTTTTTTCTTGTCCTAAATTATCACATTTCCTAATGTTGAGGTTGAATAGTGGAAGATAGATAACATGGCCCCTAGTCTAAAATCCGATATTCCCAACAATATACAATACAATTTAGGACCTTGACACATATGAAATGGCTTTGACCCCAAAAAGTAAAACGAAAAACAAAAATGAGAAGGCAATGTTTTAATCGGGCCAGGCCCAAAACAAATGTCCAGCAATCATGCGGCCATGAGGATAACACAGAGACGTAGAAGGAACAGCGAAGTATGATTGGACAGTGACATAAGCAACTGAAAACGGCACGTGAGGTTAGCAGAGATTCACCGCTTTCATGTCCTTAAAAACGTCACAGAAGGAGAAATGGGAAGAAGGAAGAAAGACTGACACAAACTCTGAATCTGTTGGACAAAATAAGCGTAAGCACAGTTTCTTGAAATGACATTAATACTATTCGACCTCACTCCTTTCATCTATTACTTCATCATTTCATTTTTAGTTTTATTTTACTTATAACATTTGTGGTTTATCTATTTACATTCAAAATCAGAGATACGAAAAGAGTCATTATTATGAAACTTTAATATCTATCTCATTGCCAACTACTACTCCTGTGCTTCTTTAAATTCCAATTTTTCTTTAGAGAGGGTACTTTATAAAAATCTGAAAGTAGAAAAATATTGCTAGGCACGGATATAGAATCTTCTAAAGCAATTGTCAGATTTTTCCACAAATGGAGTTTACTTATTGTACACAAACGCGAAATAAACTTTATGATAAAATTTATTAAACTAAATCATGGAAAAGTTAATTAAAAAACACAAATTTTATGCATGTTAACATATGTTATTGTACTGATATTTTTATATGTAGCTTTTAATGAATATTCGTACGCAATAAATGAATAGATATATTCATTGCATAAATTCAAAAGAGCATCATCGTCTTCATGGCTATTTGATTCGAGCCGAAGCTGTATACAATAGTGACGCATTAATAATGGCTTCCTCGACAGTAACTTCGCGTGTACGTTAAAATATATATATATATATGTTACTTATACTGTTATACATATATTTTTGATAAATACGCCAAAAAAATATAACTACATTTATCTATAGCATTTATAGATTACATTCATGGTTCCCTTCAAGAAAAAAAAGGCATTAAATTAATAATGGGCTGTTGTTTTTATCTAGTCGTCAATTAAGGTAATGCTTTTAAATGTACCTGTTTCAAAGATATTAGTCTATCATTAGTGGTGAAAAACTTAATTTAAATTTTACATCCAGAGAAGAGAACAAGTAACAACAACTTTCGGCTCGTTTAGTTTGATAAGTCAAATTTTAATCTTAATTTCTAATTATGACTTTATATTGGCTCGTATTGTAAATAGGGATTATTGTTCACGACCGAATACAAATAAAATGAAAATACAGAATAGAGAGATAAAAGAATTTTATTAATGTGAAAGTTTAGGACGTTCTTTTTTTTTTTTTTTTTTTTAATATTATCAAAAAGTTTAGGACGTTCATACCAAAGAAAAAAGTTTCGGTAGCCCGCCCATCTATATAATATATAGTCGTGATTTATTATTATTCATCCCAACAGGAAAAATCAAACTCGTATCTTCCTTAATGTCAGCTTATTTTGATTCAACCACTAGCCACTCCCACATTGATATATTTTTAAATGCAAACAATTTTTTTACTAATTAATCACACAATTTGAATAGACGTATATAGTCACATAATCATCCCAATTTTATTCCCCACATTTGTAAATGCAAAAAGGCTGCAGCTAATCGAAGAAGAAATTCAAGCTAATAAAAGTCCAAATCAAAACCTTACCAAATAGATACACCAAAACCTCATGCAATGATATTTTTTACCAAAGAAAGAGGAATAAACTGGTGCAGTGTAAAACGTCTTATATTCACAGTCTTGCAATTAATCATATGTGTCGAGGTCAAAAAAAAAGAAGGATTTTGGGTATATAATTATATATAATCTGTAATTCTGTATAATGTGATATTACAACAAAAAGGTAAAAAATATAGATAATATGTATTTCACCACACCTGTAAACACGCGAGCTTGAAAGTATTCTAATTTATGGAGAAGAAAAGAAAAATATTGGGGTAAAGTATATAATACTATAAAATACAGATGGGGGAAATATTGTAATGACCTATGAAAAGATGGTCAAAGGTGTAAGTATTTTTCATCAGTAGAAAAAAAGAGAATACTTTTCCCCCAACGTGGAGACATCAATTTGCTTGTATGGGTCCAACTATTCAAAATTTCTTCTGTTTTGTTTCTTGTTTGTTTTATTTCTATACTGTAAGTGTATACCTTCACTAAAAAAACTGTAAAAATAGAAAATAATAAATCATGTCTAGATTATTTTTTGGTCGTCTCATGTTAATTTTTCTATAGCTTTACACAGTTTTGAGGGTTGCATGTTTTTGTTCAATTTCAACTTCTTTTTTTTTCTTTGCTGTCGTTGGTTTACGAACTATGGTAACTGAATGAAAGAAATCACATTGGTTTTCACACAATTTCCAATTTCTAATTCACCTAACGTATGTGATAAATTCGATTTTTTTTTTCAGCTCAGTACGATTTTGGTGACGTACTGTGTGTAAAGTTATGGAAAAGAAAAGTCGATTATAATAAATTTTGATTAATTGGGTCTCGGTTCAATTTTTCTTCACCTATATATTGTAACCTATATAGTTTGATATAATTCTGTTTATTCACAAACATGACTACCATTAAAGAACATTGTTGATCGCTTCACCTACTTATAAACTCCATTTGAGTATTTAGTTTTCGTTTAAATAATATCGTACGTTTCAAAAACACTAACCAAATTTGTAATAGAGCAACTGAACTGTCAAACATTAATTTGACCTATGTATGTACGTGCATGTGGCGATGTGGTAGTGGTATACACATATACACATGTGTATATATATGTACACGCACAATTGATTTAATGCTCTGTCATATCAAATAACGTATTTACTACTATTACAAGCTGGTGGTGTCATTGAATTCATCATTGTATCTTCTTCCAAATTCAGAAAGTTACTGTCACTAATACTATTGGTGGGCCATTTCTAAACATCACCATTCACCAGTTTATCGCTATTACTTATCCTTTCTCCAATAAACTATAACCCACGTCAAGAAACAAAAGAACTCCAACGTTTTTAAACAAACAAAAAAGAGCTATTATTTGGTTTTAATATTATTATAGTTTTAGAGCTAACGGTCCAATGCGTTTTATTGGCAAAAAGTTAAGTGTTTATTTGTTATGTAATTTATATGACTAAAACTGGGTCTGGCGGTAAAAATTAGCTAAAGAAACATAATTAAGAGTGAAACTAGAAAACTATGTTTACCGTTATTTTCTTAATGCCAAAAAGTAAAACAATTATTAATTTTAGTCACCATTATTTTGTTTCTATGATTGTTGGTTGACAAAGGAAGAGAGTAAATATGATGGAGTACGAATTATGTCATTAAATATTTTCCTCACTTCATCTCTTTCATCTATCTCTCTCTTTCTCTCTATTTAAGACAAGCTAAAGGTAGAACTGTAGAAGCCAATCTCAAAAGTCTCCGACACACTCTAGATTTGTTTTCTCCTTCTGCTGGCCATTGCGATGGCAAAATGCGTAATTTTCACCATTTTCATGGCCACACTTGTAATGACATCTCAAGGAAGAAGTCAAATAGGAGGAGGAGAAAAGGAAGCAGAGGCGGACAGGATTACGTCACTTCCCGGTCAGCCTAACGTCACGTTTGAGCAGTTTTCCGGCTATGTTACCGTCGATAAATCCGTCGGAAGATCACTATTCTATTGGCTCACGGAAGCGTCTCACCTCCCTCTCTCAAAACCTCTCGTTATTTGGCTCAACGGAGGTACATAATTAACTATTAAACGTTATCTATTTCATTTCGCCTTTTTTTGAAGTGTATTTACTCAGCAGCATTTTATAACTTCGCTAGATCTATTTTAGCACACCAACTAATCTGTTCACACACACGTCTTGAATGATTGAATTTTCAATAAGTTAGCTTGTAAAGGCTTTATTTATAAACCACTTTTTTATCCATGAAACTGGGCTTGTTTATCCTTTTAATTTTTATTTAAATACTATTTTTGGGTTTGGCCTACTTAGGCATGGGAATAATGCCCTAACTACTACTACTGGGGACTCACCATTTTATTTGACCCCATATTTCTCAAATAAATTCAATCATGTTTGTTGTGTATATCTATTACAGTATTAGTATATATATAATATATATAATGATTTGCCTATATTCAACAGCTTGTCTTTACAAAAATGCTAAATGTATATAGTTACTATACACACATATACAGTAAATGATAAGTAAATCGTAACGCTAAAGTTTATCATGCATGCATTCGATAGATCATTGCATTTTCCTAATATTATCTTGTACCTGCTGAAAAAGTTAAATCATTAAATGCTATTTTCAAACTAGCATTGAGACACTATTAAATACACAACCAACTTTTGGTCTCTCTTTTTCCCCCTTTTAAATTCAACCGCTATCAAATTCTTATCTTTATTTATCAAATTTACACAGAGCATTACAATTAATGTTTCTTAAGGGCTACTTCTGAAATAAATTTATAGATAATTAAAAATATTAAATGTGCAATATATTGATTAGGACCGGGGTGTTCGTCGGTAGCGTACGGCGCGTCGGAGGAGATTGGACCATTCAGGATAAGCAAAGGTGGGTCCGGTTTGTATCTCAACAAGTTCGCGTGGAACTCACTCGCCAATCTCTTGTTTCTCGAAGCTCCCGCCGGCGTCGGCTTCTCCTACACTAACCGCTCCTCCGATCTCTTCAATACCGGCGATTCTCGTACCGGTATAACTAATGCAAAACCAAATCCCTCTAAATTATCACGGTTTAGATTAACCGACTCTGTTTCTATGTTGCAGCCAAGGATTCACTTCAGTTTCTTATCGAATGGCTTCGCCGGTTTCCGAGATACAACCGCCGTGAGATTTACATCACTGGGGAGAGTTACGCCGGACATTATGTCCCTCAGCTTGCTAGAGAAATCATGAATTACAACAAACGATCTAAGAATCCGATCAATCTTAAAGGAATCATGGTAATCTAATAATCGAAATAAAAAATCCTCTGTTTTCCATTCCCAAAAAAAACTCAAATTTTTGCGTTTAAAACCGTGGCGATTTCTGTTTTGCGTATTGGAAGGTGGGAAACGCGGTGACGGACAATCACTATGATAACCTCGGAACGGTGTCGTATTGGTGGAGCCACGCGATGATCTCGGACAAGACGTATCATCAGTTAGTTAGCACTTGCGATTTTAGTCGCCAGAAGGAATCTGATGAATGCGAAACGCTTTATTCTTACGCGATGGAGCAGGAGTTTGGTAACATCGATCAGTACAACATCTATGAGCCTCCCTGTAACAAGTCAAGTGACGGTGGTGCTTCTGGCTTCACTGGTTCTTCTGGTCGCCGGAGTATGCGCCTACCTCACCTTCCCTTCTCCGTAAGAACCCCCTCTCTCCTCTGTTTTTGGATCCGGTTCACTGGTTTTTGTGTTCATTTTGATGACTATTCACATTTCAGATCAATACCATGTTTTAGATTCGTATTATTACAAGTTCTCTATGGCTTTTTTCTTGTATAAATTTGTTTTTCCGGTTCTTGGGAGTAGGTACTGAGGAAAATATCTGGGTATGATCCATGTACCGAAAGATATGCAGAGATCTATTATAACCGGCCTGATGTTCAGAAAGCTCTTCATGCCAACGTCACCAATATTCCATATAAATGGACCGCTTGCAGGTTCATTTTACCAAAATTAAGATCATGTTAGTTTTATTTGTCGAATAACTCGATTAAAATTAGAACATGTTTTTGTTGGCAGTGAGGTGCTAAACAGGAATTGGAACGACACAGATTCATCGGTTCTACCTATATACCGGGAAATGATCACCGGTGGAATTAGGGTTTGGGTTTTTAGGTCTGTCATTTTCGGTTTTCAATGACATCACCGTGAAATATACCCTCGATCGTTTATCCGTGTTTGTAATTTTTTTTTTTTTATTTTGGTTATGGTTTAGTGGCGATGTCGATTCCGTTGTACCGGTGACGGCAACTAGGTACTCACTAGCAAGACTTAGTTTGAATACCAAAGTCCCTTGGTATCCTTGGTATGTCAAGAAACAGGTATGTAACTAAAACCCGGTTATTGTTTGATTATCTTCGGTTTTAACAATAAAACATGGCATTATATAACTCAAGACTATGGTTTTAGGTCGGAGGGTGGACGGAAGTGTACGAAGGACTAACGTTCGTGACGGTGAGAGGAGCAGGTCACGAGGTACCATTGTTCAAGCCACGTGCTGCTTTTGAGCTGTTCAAGTATTTCTTGAGTGGCAAACCACTTCCAAAGGCTTGATAAATCCGAGTCAAATATTGTAATATTCAAAATCGTGGCGAGAAAAACAAACCAAATGTAAAGTTTGAGTTATGACTTATGAGTTATGAGATGGGATTAAATTAAATCTGGTCTATTGATGACTTCAAGTTGTTAATTATTGAATTTTCAGTGTTTATAGAGTTGGTTTTGTATCAAGATTATTTTGCTGCTGCGACAAACACCAAAAAAAAAACTGAGACTAGCTAGTATGTAATGGTTAAAATGGTTTTTATGGTTAACGACGTAGAGTTAATTCTGAGTTGTCATATTTTTTGTGTTCTCTTATAATACAAGTCGTACTTGTTGGTATCAAATTAGTCTTGATTCCGAAAGAAAAACGACAAAAGTCAATTAGCACTTTTAAGAAGAATCCTGTCATCTTCAAATTTTCCTTATGATCATGAATCAAAACTCTTCTTTGGATAATAATTCAAAATAAAGAAAATGGGAAGGCCTCATGTTATGGTTATACCGTACCCAGCACAAGGTCATATTCTTCCTCTAATGAGCTTCTCACGTTACCTTGCAAAACAAGGAATCCAAATCACATTCGTAAATATCGAGTTTAACCACAATCGCATCATCAACTCCATATCCAAATCATCCCATGGTGATTATGTCCCGAATCGGATCAAGCTTGTTTCAATCCACGACGGTTTAGAGGATTCACCAGAAGAGAGGAACATTCCCGGGAAGTTGTCGGAATCGGTTTTGCGTTTTATGCCAACCAAAGTAGAGGAATTGATCAAGAACATGATCTCGGAAACTAGCGGTGGCACGATCATTAGCTGCGTTGTGGCGGATCAGAGCTTGGGATGGGCAATTGAAATTGCGGCTAAGTTTGGGATCAGACGAGCCGCGTTTTGTCCCGCCGCGGCTGCGTCTATGGTTCTTGGATTTAGCATTCAGAAACTAGTCGACGATGGTCTCATTGATTGTGATGGTAAGATCCACCTTTTCAGTGTATGGTTTGAGTTCAAGTTTTGTTGTTATTATTTTTTGTTTTTGGTGGCTACAGTATTATTTGGTATGTTTTTTAATTAAAAGTTGTAGCTATCGTTTCTAATTGTAGGGACTCCGAGGGTAAATAAGACAATTCAACTATCTCCGGGGATGCCAGATATGGAAACAGACAAGTTTGTGTGGGTTTGTCTGAAGAACAAAGATTCACAGAGGAACATATTCCAACTTATGCTTCAAAACAACAAGTCAATCGAGTCAACGGATTGGTTGTTATGCAACTCAGTGTATGAACTAGAAACGGCAGCGTTTGGAATAGGAGGCCCAAATATATTACCAATTGGTCCCATTGTTTTGGCTCATCATAGTCTTGAAGAGGAGTCCACGTCACTGGGAAGCTTTTTACCTCAGGACCGAGATTGTCTAGATTGGTTGGACCGGCATATTCCTGGTTCGGTGATATATGTTGCCTTTGGGAGCTTTGGGTTTATGGGCAAGGCTCAATTAGAAGAACTAACAATTGGTCTAGAGCTAACCAAGAGGTAAAAAATTTGGAAATAACCGGGTTTGTGGTTCCAGTTTACTCTATTAAGCCTAGCTATGTGCGTCTCCCATTATTTTTATGACTCATAGATAATACGTTTATTACATGTCGATTCAATAGACCGGTCTTGTGGGTCACCAGCACAGGTGAACAACCACCAATCAAAGTCGGGTCGGATCGGATCAGAGTGGTGAGATGGGCTCCGCAACGTGAGGTGCTTTCGTATCTAGCCATTGGATGTTTCGTGAGCCATTGTGGATGGAATTCAACTTTGGAAGGAGCCGAAAATGGCATACCATTCCTTTGCATCCCTTATTTTGCAGACCAATTTATCAACAAAGCATATATATGCGACGTGTGGAAGATTGGCTTAGGGTTTGATCTAGACGAACGAGGAGAGTTTACAAGGTTGGAGGTGAAGAAGAAGATCGATGAGGTCATGAGGGTCGATGGAGAGTGCAAAAAGCGAGCTATCAAGGTGAAAGAGATTGTGATTAAAAGTGCTTCAAAAGATGGCACTTCTTATGAGAATCTTGACAAATTTGTCAACTGGATCAAATCACTAGTGAATTAATAAAACTATTGTTTGCTTTTGCATTTACACAGTATATTCAAATTCAGAACATACAATGCATATTATCACAATGTTTTTTATATAAAAAAGATTAATAGCTAAATCTAAAAAGATACACAAAAATACGGACGAATGCAGAAGAAAGAAAACAATGTTTTCCAATTAAAGTTTTAAACCAACATCCAACAACTTATTAGTGAGTATGGGAAAATTCTGAAGAGAACAAAAATAAAATAAAACAAAACAGAGGATGTCTAGCATCTTCCTGTAGAATGAGAGAGATAAAGAGTAAATGGTACACTTATTTTACCAGCGATGATGGGAGATTTATGAAGGTTACAGTAAACAGCAAACACAAAAATAATGAATCCAGCATCAACTTCGTTCTTGCTCTATCCGCCTACGGAATCTACCCGTGGGCGAGCCTTGCGGTTCTGTGACCGTTATTTTCAGAGCCTTAGTATCGGTTCCAGTAGGTTCTGCGTCTGAACTTATTGTAGTCTGGCAAATCTTGGATTGGACCAATGGCTGAGATTGCTATGTCCTGCGCATAATCCCAAAAAAAAAACATCCCCTTTATCACGAACATTTCTTAGCAGCCTAGACCCCAAGTATCTTTTCTTTTCTTGCTTCTAAAGAATGAAGCCAAGAGGAGAGAGAGACAGAGAGACCGAGAGTGATTGAACTTACCTTGTCATAGATATATTTGTTGGCAACACGTTTAACCGTGCTGGCATCAACAGCATCGATCCTAGCAAAGAGTTCAGCTGTTGGGATTCTACGCCCATAGGTCAGTAGCTGCAAATAGCACAAGGTTCATGAAGTTTTCTAAGACTGATTTTGCAGGAAGTTCTATAAGATTGATTTTAGATGATTGATATCATACCTGACGACCAATATCTTCAGCAATTGGGCTAGTTCCATCCATGTGAAGCAACAGCGATGATTTCAGCTGAAAGGAATTTTTAAAATCAGTTGGCGTTTGAAATATTCTACACACACCTTGAGTTATCAAAAAAAAAAAGCGAGAGAAATCATTAAATGCTTTAAAAATATCACATGGGTAACTAGCAGAAGCTGATCTTGGGAAACAGAGCAAAAACATTTGGCTGCTAACCTGATTCCGTGCACGTGTCACATCAGCGTCTGAAACTCTGTAGGCCAACTTGGTTACCTCATTCATAATGGCATACGATAAATCATCTAAGCAATCGGCCTGAAAAAATTAACTTAAAATATGTTACAAAGAGATATGATAGGAGGCGATCATGAGAAGAAACTGCTTATACCGAGAAATTCAACATTGTTTGAGATAATAGCTAAGCTAACGGGTTAACCTTGGCAACTGCATAAACACCGAACAGTCCAGTATCCTTGTAGTTGGTGTTGAATGCCATTATGCTTTCCGCTATTTCATTAATGGCGACTCTCTGGGTCAGGTCAGATCTGCGGATAGATATTAAATATTCATCAACATATTGGAAAAACAATGCTTTTCCTTGAATCTATGGCAAACACTATAGTCAGAAATTAAAATCTCACCCCATGTGTTTGCCACCACCAACATTTTTGTTCCATGAACCCAACATGGTTTGCATAACCATAAGAGCAACCGAATCTGGATCTGTCCAAGATGCTCCCTCAAAGGCAACAGCAAATTGCGCAAGAGGTAGGTCATCATCAATCATTCGAACCTGACAATTATCAATGGGCAAGAAATTTAGAAAGAAGAAATACTGCATAAAGAGAAAAGGAACAATCAATCATATGGGTTGTGTCTTTACCTCAGAACCTGTAAAACTAGCAGGTTCTTTGGCAACTAGTTGGGTAGTAGATGTTGGATCAGACGACAACTTGTTAAATAGCTTCTTCACTTGCTCAACAACTTCCTCATGTTTGACAGCTCCTGCAGCAGCGATCACCTGAAAATGTTTTGGATGAACCAACATAAGAATCCAAACAAATGATTGCAAAATTGATAAGAAGTAAACAACAGGTTATACCATCCTGGAAGCTGTGTAGTGAGTCTTGATGTAATTCTGCAGATCCTCTCTGGTGATCGACTTGACGTTCTGAGCAGGTCCCAGAATAGTTCTTCCAAGAGGTGTGTATTGGAATGCAGTGGCATGTAAATGGTCAAGAACAACTTCATCGGTTTGTCCCTCAACCTACACCAATTAAAATAAATTACAGCTTAGTTAGACACAGATAAATCTAAGGAAAACATAGTATTAAAACACTCCAGTATCTTCTGATGAATGCAAAATGCACAAGATAAAATGGGACAGAATTTTAAATTTCTAGGCACACCGGAAAACCGAAGGTTAGGTTTTTTTTTATATGTAAAAAAAAGTGGAGAAATCTCAGAAACAAACACAAAGTTTGAAATTATTTTCAAGCACACGAGTAATACATACCTCCCGCATTTCCGAAATACTCTAATATCTCCTAATGAATGCAAAATGCACGAAAAATATTTACTTGACGACCAGACCACACATATGATTAAGCCCAACAATCAATAACAGAAGAAAGTTTTAATTTTAAAGTCCCCGGAAAACTGAAACGATAGATTGAGAAGAGAAGAGAAAGTTTGAATTATAGAAGAAGACGATACCTCCTGCATTTCCCTGAGGATCACATCTCGCTCGCGGGTAATTCTCTCCTCGTCAAACTTGGAGTTTTGTAAGATATCAGCCAACACATCCAAAGCCTGGTTCACATTCGAATCCATCACTTTAGCGTAGTAAGTGGTCTGTTCCCTGGACGTATACGCGTTCAGATGACCGCCGATATCTTCGATCTCTTCTTCCAAAGCTCTCACGGTACGCCTCTCCGTGCCTTTGAAAATCATATGCTCCAGAAAATGAGCCGTCCCGTTGGTCTCATCCGACTCGAACCGAGATCCAGCGTCGATCCATACTCCAACGGTGGCGGTCTTGGCCGAAAGATTGGACTCAGTAGCGACTCGTAGACCGTTGGGCAAGGTGGTGACGCGAGTCTCCGGTGCTGACAAGATGTGATTGTGTGACGCAAGGGTCGGGTGCGGCGATGCGTATCTGAGGAATCTCTGATCCGGGTTCTCGAGCTTTTTGATCTTGTTTTTTATAATCTCTGCCGCTTGATCGTAGGGCATGAGAATCGGCGGCGTGGGGGATTGAGCCGCTGGAGATGTGGCAGACGCCGAATCGAGAGCTGAAACGGAGGAGGAGGCTCGTATCGCTTGATTCAGAGCCAAACGCCTCTGAGATCGGCGAGCTAAGGTTAGAAGATTCTTCATCGCCATTGCTGATGACTCTGCTTTCTGACTCTCTAGGGTTTGCCCAAAAATGGCAGAGACGACGACTCGAGATGCGAACTAATAGCCAGTGGTTAAGCGATGCTAAAAACGTAGACGTTTTCCTGATAGCACTGAGACGGTGTCGTTTCACGAGGTCAAACCTGAGACAACAAGGCTGAATAAGAAACTTTGGCCCATTATTGAGCTGGCCTGTATGAGTAAATTGGGCCTAATCAATATAATTCCCAGAACGGGTCGGGTTTAAGACCCGGATGGGAGAAAACCCTAAAGCGAAACTAATAATGAGCATATATATAGACATTGCAATTGGTGATTGGAAACCCTAGCGTTTGCGGAGAGACGAAGAGATTCAGCTTGCGTTGGGCAAAACCCCAGACGAAGATCAGAGCTTTCTTAATCTCTTAGCTATGGCGACTGGTAAAACTGTGAAGGACGTCTCCCCTCATGACTTTGTGAAGGCTTACGCTTCTCATCTCAAGCGATCTGGGAAGGTTAGTTGCTTAGTGCTCTTCTTTCGTGTGTAATTAGGAGAATTATAAGTTTATTTTAGCTGTTTTTAATGCGGAAATGAGAATGGTTGCGGAAATGAGAATACTTTTTCACATGTCTGTTTTCTGTTTGTTCGCGATGTGGTCTTCTGTTCTGTGTGTTATTGTTATAATTTGTGTTGTGTTGAGGTCTTGCAATGCCTTCAATAATTCTCATACAATCTGCCTAAAGCTACTGAAGAACAAAGCTAAACTGTCAATGTTTGTCATTGTTTATACACAAATTTATCTTTCTTGTTGTGTTTCTATAGTGTCTATTTGATCAGTTGATTGAAACTCAAGTTCCAATGTTTGTAATTGGTCGTCGTGTCATCACCTATTCGCTTAATATTTCCATTGAATTCATTGAGAACAATAATTAAAGCTCATGCTCCACATTTTGCCATTATTGACTGACATCTATAATCGTTTGATGTTTCTTGATTGCTTTTTTTTCTTCTTTTCTTAGGACTCTTAACTTAATGTCTATTGTTTTGCTTCAGATCGAGCTTCCAACATGGACAGACATTGTGAAGACCGGTAAGTTGAAAGAGCTTGCCCCATATGATCCAGATTGGTACTACATCCGAGCTGGTAAGCTCTCCATTTTCCTCTTGTCTCTTTATCTCTCGACTCATATAAAGTCATATTCTGACTGTTGTACTCGGTTATATTGCAGCATCTATGGCAAGGAAGGTTTACCTGAGGGGAGGTCTTGGTGTCGGTGCTTTCCGTAGAATCTATGGTGGGAGCAAGAGAAACGGTAGTCGCCCACCACACTTCTGCAAAAGCAGCGGTGGAATTGCCCGCCACATCCTCCAGCAGTTGGAGACGATGAACATTGTTGAGATTGACACCAAAGGGTAAATATAACTAAGTTTTCTGTTAAAAAAATCCCCTTCTCTTTCTATCTTATGACAAGATACTGATGGTTTTTGTTTTTGTTTAATTCAGAGGAAGAAGAATCACTTCCAGTGGGCAACGGGATTTGGACCAGGTTGCTGGACGTATTGCTGTGGAACCCTGAAGATCTGAATGTTGTTTTTAGTTCTTCTTCTACTTTTGATGCCAATGTGCTGTTTTTAGTGTTTATCTTTTCTCTTAAGAACTATTTCATTGCTCAAGACTGCACTCATAATGTTCAGAAATTTTTCATATTTCGTTGGTGGCTTTGGACATCTAAATCTTATCTTCTTCTTCCGTTTTTTTTTTTTCTGTCTGTCACCGATGTATTAAAAGAAAGAACAAAATAAAAAGCAACTAATTATACCTAACAGACGATTTAATAGAATTCAAAATTATTGTTCACTTTAATTCAGTTCATAACATGGTTTAACGAGGCCTGCATTCTGTTCTTGATTTTTTCTCAATTTTGTGCGTGGCTTACGACATTTAAATCTAACATGAAAATTGTTTCTTATTTATCTGATTTATTTGAAGTTCAACAAAATTCAATCATTTAGGTAGGTGCAATGCAAGAAGCATATTACTCTTATGTTGTATTACAAGAGGTTAAACATCACTATTAAAAATGTAAAGGGTGCCATTATGCATGAGTCCGCTTCTATGTTGTGGTAGGTTAAACTTGGGATCTCGAGGGATGGTCGGGTGCTTGTTAGACCTTCAATAGCAAATGAAACAACAAATAAATGATCTGCCTGATAATATTTTCATCAATCAATCCAGAAGAAAGCTAAATCCAACACTGTTTTTTAATTTTTACCTTCTGGGGATAAATGGTCGATCAAAGTACGGCATTGGTTGTGCCTTCGGGATCAAATTTTTCCTCAGCCTTCGCAACTCTTCTTCTTCTGCTAGCTGCATAATCCATAAACTTGGTGTCATATTTTCATAGTCCAAAGACTAATGATTTCATAACAAGCAAATAGAGTCTCTTACCTTTCGCAGCCGTTCTCTCTCTGCTTTGTATTGCTCTATCAGGTTTATTTTCTCAGCAACCTGGTACAGAATGAAACAATGCTGGTTTAATTAAGAATTCATGATCCAGAGCCAGCTTGAAAGACATGAGAACGAAGACTCTGCGTATGCAGATTAGATTTCAGAAACTGAAACATGCACAACTCTCGACCGAGGTCTTTTTACCTGGTAATCAAATTCAGCACGTTCTACTGCTCGAATGTCTGAATGGAGCTTCAAGTCTACTGGTATAGTGATATCCTTCACATGAGGCTTAACAAGACTCTGAAACAGAGAACAACATTGGAATGGTTAATTAACCTTCTGCAAAAGCTTTTCTTACTTAATGCACAATATCATCTACTCAGGAAGTTTGACCAAGAAATAGTAAGATAGATTACAACTTTACTACAACCTTTTTTAAGTAAATTTCACCAAACTACATCAATATCAAAACAATTCTATAAATGATCTGGTATAATAGAACTTGATCTTAATATAAAGCGAAAAGGATGTTCTCACCTCAGGTTCATCAGTTGTCCAGGGAAGACCTTGAGCTATGGGGATTCTCTGTTTTTCTTCCTCCATCGTCATTTCTTGTAGCTTCTTTGCAAACTCTTCTTCTTTCATTCGCCCACGTTCCTGTGCAGATGTAGATAGATCACGAATCTATTCAATCATACCCCGAATAATGTTTTCTTAATTTGATCAGCCAAGTTAATACCTCAGTTCTCAGTTTGAATGGCTTCGGTGAAGTGACCTTCATCTGCTTCTTCTTCGATCTTCTACTTCCCATTGAAGCGGAGGAATCCAAGCTCTGTTATAAATAAATAAAATGTCAAACTTATCACTAAATCAACCATACAGGGAGAGATATTGCAAGATAATCACTAAGAGACTAAATAAAATCAGATGCTGCATATACATGAAAGCTAAGGAAACAAAACAAAGTAAAGTCACGCATCCTACACACATACATTTCTTCTGCTCCTCCGGGCACCATTTGAGTTGAGACTTGAAACACTGTAACAAGACAAAATAACTGATTATGCGTACTATCAATGGCTAATAGTTTGATGAAATCTTTTTTTTGGATACCTGTTGTCCCATGATGAAGAAACTGGCGCATGAGGTCGGGCTAGTCCAAGATTGGTTGCTGTTAAGACCAAATCAGATGGAGAAAATGAAGAACTCCATGTGACTTGTTCTGTCTCAGCTTCTGGACACTTAGGCTGCTCCAAACTCATCCCAGGCAATTCCCATTTCAGAGCTTTCTTGATCTTATCCTCCGTTTGGTTTCCTTCTTCCTTATATGTTGCCTTTGCAAACGGGAAGCAAGTAAGCTTCTCGAATGCTTTAACGAGATGCATCACTTTGCCATATTCAGGGAGACTCCTTCTCGCTTCTTCAAGTACCTTTTCCCTTCTCCTCTTCATCGAAGAAACCCCTATTTCATCAGTTTCATCGGATTCTCCGATTTCAACTTCATCTCCTTCCTCCACATTCTGGCTGGATTCTCCAATTTCTACTTCCGACTCGCTTCGAGTTTTGAAGAACTCTTCCTGTGAGGCCCGTAGAGTTTCATATGCAACACACACACATTTCTTCAAGTTCCCTTTAGTCTTAGATCCACACTTACAGTCAATCTCTGCAACCATAGGTGCTGAATCTCTCTTCTCCTTCCTCGAATTCTTCTTCACCACCACAAATTTCCTCTCTCTAATGCGATTTCGTGGAGAGAACACCGCCTGACTAGGATTAAGCTTAGATTTCGGATTCTTCTGAGCAGGTTTACTCGACTTGGTAGACTTGATGAGCGGAGAGTCGGAGATTCTCGCTGGACTCTCGTGTGAGACGTTAGGGTTCGAATTCTCTGAGGATCTCGAAATCTCTTGAGCCTTCGATTCGAACCTGATCGAATCCATCACTGGAGTCTCAGGTTTAGCATTCTTCAAATTCGTCGACTCCATCGAGGATACGAATCGAGGAATAATTCGCGAATCAGTGAATCAAAACGAACGAACCAAAAAAAAAAAAAGAAGAAGAAGAAGGAGATTCGCTCGAAATCCACAGAAACGCGAAATTAGGGTTTACTTTTGGAGTGAGTGATGCAAAACGGTAAGGAAGAAGGGAGAGCAGAGGAGGAAATTGGGGGGCAAAATCTGACCGTTGCGACTTCTTTGGAGGCGCAATTTGTAACGGCTCCTCATTTAACTGGATTTTTCGTAATTACTACGAATTAATTGCTTATTTTTTTCAAATTTTTGTTTAATACCTGCCTGGAGTGAAATATATGAATGTCGTCAATTGGGTCACGATCATGGAATGGAATGATTATCCAAAACGACAACGGTTTATTTTCTAACCAAACATGGGGTTATGTTGGCAGAAATGTAGATTGAGAGAATAAACAAATTTTGCCTGGATTTTGAAGCATCTTTATTTTCAAGTTTGTCTTGTAGGTTCCACCTTACATAGTATCATGCACATATATATTAGGTCCAAAAAGGGGTTGCGTTCTATATCATATAGGCTAATTGGGAAAGATTTGTTGTCAGATAGAATATTGAATATTGCATGAAAATGTTTTTTTTTTTTTCTATAACATCTGCTTTATTGAAAATTAAGAAAAAGTTGCACAATCATTATGAGAAATTACATATGGAACATAGAAATGAAAGAGAAATACAGAATCCTGCATGTGAAATGTTTTGCATGTAAATATTAAATAATAATTGAAACAAAAAAAACATAAAAATTGGAAAAAGTTAGTTACAATTTGCATTATTTCCGCAAATTAAGTCGGGAAAGGGAGGGATATGTATCCACATTATTATTCAGGAAAAGAAAAAAAACCTTAATTAATTGATAGGTTTTGCCGAGAGAGAAAAAAGAGAAGGAGATGCTGAGGCAAACTGCAAAAAAAAGCTTATCTAAGGCTAAGGCCTTGTAGAGGATTGGGGGGTCGAAGAATGTACCACGAGAATGTGATAGACCACTTTGAAAACCCTAGGAACGTCGGGTCCTTGAACAGGGACGACCTTAACGTTGGCACATGATTGGTTGGGTCTCCTTCCTGCGGTGATCTGATGAGCCTCCAAATTAAGGTCGATGATTCCGGTCAGATCACTGACACTCGATTCAAGACCTTTGGCTGTGGCGCTGCTATCGCCTCTTCTTCCCTCGGTATTCACTTTTATTTTTCACACTCTTTTTTCTCAATTCCGTGAGAATCAGTGTGGAATGTTAGCTTGTGATTCAGAGTCTTTCTTCTTTTTAATCTTTTCCCTTTATTAGCTTCTGAATGGATCAAGGGCAAAACGATTGAGGAAGTTTTGACCATTAAGAACGCGTAAGTTCCCTTTTTTTCCTTTGGTTATTATTTTTCTTTAATATATGACAAAGCTCTCTTAGACATTAACAAGATCTAAGCTAGTTGGTATCTCTAACTCTCCTTCGCTTCTTAGGATGATGTCTTAATCATATGATATTTTGTTAGCTAGCTAGGCACATAGAAAATTTTGATAACACCATGGATGAGTGCTATGTTTCAGTACAATACTAGGCTGTAATTTTCCAGGGAAATAGCAAAGCATCTTCGGTTGCCACCCGTCAAGCTGCATTGCAGTATGCTTGCGGAGGACGCCATCAAATCCGCCGTCAAAAACTTAAAGGAGAAGCAGCAAAGGCTAGTAGTACTGCTGCAGCAGGAGAAACCGCCGTGGCCTGATTGTGCTGCTGATGATGATGAATTAGAGCTTCCAAGGAGTGGTGTGTTTGGTTGTTTTAGGTTTTTTAATTTCTACTGTTTAATCAAGTGCTTTTGAATAATTAGTACTTGGATGTCTATTACTATATATTGTCCCAGGTGAGAAGTAACTCTTCTTTTGCATTGTGATTTCCTGTTTTAGTGTTTTGTGGAATAATTGCAGTGAGTTTGGTTCTTTAAGGGGGTGTTATTCAATCAGGTTTTTTAATAGAATTGAAATTCAACCATAATTCATTGTTATTCAACTAATGATTCTAAATGATGTTTGAAAATATAATGTTATTGAATTTTTTCATTGTAAATCATGTTGAGGAGATTTTAAAGTTTATTGTTATTCAATGAAGATTTTAAATCTTTTACAAAAATCCAATGTTATTCAAAACTAAATGACTTTTAAAATCTTTGTATATTAAGTCATTTCAAATCAGTTCTAATAGATTTTTATGAGTAAATTATTAGAATCAAAATCCAATGTATATTGCAGAGATTTTAAAATCTAAACAAATGAATCTATAAAACTGATATCAAATTTTAAATCTAAAAGATTATAAAACCTAGAAAACTCATTTTAAATTCATGATTGAATAACACCCCCTAAATCATCTTATATTAGTCACGGCTAAGCAAAATGTGTTGAGATTATGATATATAATACTACAAATTATGAAATAGGATTTAATACAAACCAATAGAATCAAATAGAATCAAGCCACCAAATTACTGTTGTAACTTCTGAGATAAAATATCATAATCACTGGGGTAGTTTTTTTTGTTTGGCACCCTACTCCAAAAATTAGGGCTGGGCAAAATATCCGTCATATTTGATTCGATCCGTTATTTGTCTTGATTTGATCCAAAAAATCCGGATATCCATAATTTTATGGAGCAAAACAAATTCAATATCCGTTAAAAACGGAGCAAATCATAAATACTTAAAAAAATTAAGACGGATATCCGCTCCGCTCCGGTATAAATATATATATGTATATATAGATAGATAATAATTCATATAAAGTGTATAATTATTATATATAAATGTAATTTTTGTGAGTTTTTGTTTATAATTTGATTATTATAAATATTAAAACTTAATAAGTTAAGAAAAAAAAATTTTTAAGAAAATATTGTCATTTTTAGCTAAATTTTGAATTTTTTTTGAATTTTTATTTTAAATATATTATTATTTAAATATTTTTATAGGGCGGATCGGATATCCGGCAAATATTCAAATTTTTTGTGAATATTTAGAAAACGAATATCCGAATAATTGCGAAACGGATACGGATCGGAAAAATGATTATCCGGACGGAACGGAGCGAATCACAGATATCCCAAAAACCAGGATATCCGCTCTGTCCCCACCCCTACCAAAAATATGTATATGCTAAACCTGGTCTGTGTGAACTTGAAAGCCTTGCCACATCAGTAACCATATGCCACGTCGGACCATCGAGCTACAAACAAAAGTTCTCGTTCGCTTCTTCTTATTTACAGAAATACCCCTTTCTTCCTTCCCTCCCTTCTCAGCGCGTGCTTATTGATCTCTCTGTTTCTACTTTCGCTCTTGCTTGCCCTCGCTCTCTCTCATTCTCTTCTCATTTCCCCAGAAATCTACCAAAAAATCCAATTTTTTCGTTTGATTTCGTAGTTTCTTCCGATTAACTCAGAGAATCAGGTATCTTTCTTGCCAACATTTACTCCTCCCTCTGTCTCCGCCTTTTTCTTTTGCGTTTTCTCGGGAAAGTGACGGAAAATCGATTCTTTTAGCTAAGTCCTTGCTCATTTTTAAGGTGATTCTCTTCGAAAATCATCTCTGGCTCCTACAAGCTTGGCTTCAATGGATGATCATCAAGAATTCGAGAAACCCATCTTCGAATTACGCCATAAGAAGTTTCGAAGCACTCGATTTTTGATATATAGCGAGAAGAAGAATCGTTTAGGAGAATCGATGAATCAATACGAAGAGATATCTTGCTACTACGGATTGAGGGAAAACCCGAAGAAAACCCAGAAATCTCCACTCGATGATCGATTGGGTACACGGGCGAGTAATAAGAAGCGTTTGATTCGATGCGAAGAATGTGGGAAAGGGTTTCGATATGAGAAATGTCTGACGAAACATCGCAAAGGGATGCATTCGTTGAATCAGAAGAAGAGCGATTATGAAGAATCTATGATCAGAAGTGCTGATCTCTTGTGTTGCTTCAGTGATGTACAGAGGAGAAAGAGATCGAAAAGAGTTTCCAGGTACAAGAAGATTCCTCGATTCTCTGTTTCTTCTTCGTCTTCTGTTTCTGAGTATGATGGAGAGTTATTAGAAGTCGCCGAGTCTCTGATTCTGTTGTCTAAGAGTGTTGAAGCTCTGGTTTCGAATCCAGGGCTAAATCTGAGAGAATTTGAAGACGGGTTTTTGGGTAATGAGCAGAAACTAGTTGGGAAATCCCCTGCCGCAGATGGGTCTTTGAGTACTGAATCTGATGGAAATCCGAAAGAGCTTTTGGGGTTCTTGGGAGACAACAAGGCCGATGAATCGTGCCAGGTAGGAGCAGGAAGGTTTAGAGCAGAAGCTGGATTGGAGAGAGTGAGCTTGGTATATAGGCCTGGACTGATTTTGCAAAACGCTAAAACGGATATCCAACAGAAACTTGACGGCCAAGAAACAAATTCAGGAGATGAGGGCACTGAGCATCGGTGCAGGCTCTGTGACAGGGTTTTCTTGACTTATCAAGCTCTCGGTGGTCATCAGACTTTCCACAGGATGAGGAACAAGCCTGAAAAGTCAAAAGCAAGAGATGCAGAGAAGAATCAGTAGAAGCTGAATCTTAGAATCGCTTAGTGAGATTCGATCTGAATGTTTCTATGGTTACTGGTGGAATATTTGAGCTCAAGTATTGAACAAGGTAATCTCTCCCTCACTGTCTTTCTCTGATGGAGTTTTGGAATTTTGTGTTAAAACTCTATTCTCGTTGTCTTGTGAATTGTATGTAACATTCGTATAGACTTTGCTTTTTGAGTCCTTAGTTTCAAAGTTGTACAGTTCCCTTGTACCCGTGTTCTTTTTTTCCGGGAAAGTGATGAGAAAAAAAAAAACAAAAAATCAGACCTGTTTTCCTTTCTTGTTTCTCGAAATATTGAAATGGTTCTTTCAAATCTTTTCCCTCTAGTTTCTCATAAGCTTTAAGATCTTGAAACGTCAATGAGAAACCAAAATCGTGATAATCAGATGCAATTCCAATTAAAATAGCCAAAATTTTGAGTTTTTTTTTTTTAATAAAGACCAAATTTTTGAGTTTAGTGTTTGTTCTTTACCCCCAAAAAAAAAAAAAACAATTGATTTTCAGATCGTAATTAATCAGTTGGAAAATACAGTTTCGTTTAAATTATAATATTTTCTTGACCGTATCACATCGTGTCGGTTGGTCTTTGGCTTCAAATAATAATTTTTTGCTGTAAAAGAAAAACAAATCAAATTATAACTAGGCGAATGTACATTATAAATTAAATGCAATAATTTAACCAAAAATGAAATGAAATAAAAACTTATTTGCGTATATTAAACCAAATGATAAATGGATTTCTTGTCACAAATGACTACGACAAAATATTCCTACGAAAATTTCTGATTATCTTTAGAAATATTGGTGACATGGTGAAATAAATTAGACTATCATAATCATATACTTTTCTTCTTCTTTTCCGGCCACTTATTTCCCATCTTTTATAAAACCAGCTGTTAAAAATGATCTTTTCGTTTTTTTTTTCTTCCAGTTTTATTAAAGCAGATCAATTAGAATTTAGAATTTAAAAAATTCGAACCTAATTAATTATAACAATATTAATAATCATATTAATTTATATCACAAATTTTGAAAAAGGTCGTGACGAGATAAATTTTTCCAATAATTAATCTATTTAAGAAATACGGAGGAGTTTGTCTATTTGTCTTCCAACTGTGGAAAAAGAATTTCTTTTAATAAACTGTATTTTTTATCCTCCTGTTTTTTTTTTCTATCAAAATTAGATGGTTAAATAAGAATAATCAAGAGAAAAGATGCAAAAAGCAAAATTATTGTTTGGGCATGAAAGTCGGAAGAAACCTATAATTAGCTTTACACAGAAATCCTAAACTCAAGGTCAAGACACTAATCCCCATAGAGAAATCCAATTAAGTCTTTTAATTCATTTATATTTGAGATCTTAAAATTAATTACGATTCTTTTTTTTTTCCCCTTTTTTTTTTCTTTGGGGATTCGGTGTATATTGAATTTAATTTTTAGATCCACCAGCGAAATCACTTGGGAATTTTTTGTCTCTTCTCTCATTTGTCTTCTTCTTTGACAAGCTCATTGATTTGTATTTGATCCGTGAGAATATATCTGGTTGTAACACGAATTTGAGGAAAACCCATTTGTATTCTCGTCTCGAATTGCTTAAATCAATCAACAGAGAGACGGCGGGAATCTCAAATTCGGATCATTTCTGGTTTGTCGGAAATCTAAATGCGGTCTGCGAGAAGACCACAAGGAAGAAGAAGAAGAAGTCAAATATCGTCGGATTTGGGAGGCTAGATCGAGAATCGGGGAAGCAATCGGGAATCGCTTGGGGAGGTGATGTTGTTTGGTTGGGGATTGGGTGGAATTAGGGTTTTATCCGATTCGATCGACCTGAAAACCACTGTGGGGCTGCACGTTCAAGGATGCAGCTTCACATATCGCCTAGCATGAGAAGCATCACGATTTCGAGCAGCAATGAGTTTATTGATTTGATGAAGATCAAAGTCGCAGCTCGTCACATCTCTTACCGAACTCTCTTCCACACAATCTTAATCCTCGCTTTCTTGCTGCCTTTCGTCTTCATCCTAACCGCTGTTGTTACCCTTGAAGGTGTCAACAAGTGCTCCTCCATTGGTAAAACCCCCTTTTTTTTTCTTTCCTTCAGTCATTCTCGATTCTGTGTGATTTGTTGATGGGCGCTGCTTTAGTTCGGATCTCGACATAATATTTAGTAACTAGCACCTATCTGAGATTGGTATTTTTCTTGAATCTAAGCATTGTCACAAGCATCTGTTTGGATGCAATGGTTAAGCCAACAAACTTTCGGCAATTTGAAAATTTTCTTGTTTGGTATCCACAAATGAATCTCTTAAGCGTCTCAAAGGGAGCCAATTGAGTTTCAATTGTGTACTAGTATGATGCTTCGAGCTCAGATTTTCGTAACTATAGTGGCATCTTGGAAAATTCCCTTGTTTTGTTTGTGTGGAGTTGAAATTTCCAAAAAAAAGAAAATTTATCAATCGCGGTTTTAATAGATCAGAAGCAATTGCTGACAAAACGAATCTTGAAGCTCCTCATTTTTCGCTTATCCTTCATATGTTTAGCTTTGCAACCCAAAATCCCGTCTTGTATATCTATCTAATACTTTTGCTCATGTGATGAGCTCATGAAATTTTCTTGTCCTTTTTTACTTATTTATACTTCAGATTGTTTAGGGAGGCGGTTAGGACCACGTCTTCTTGGTAGGATAGATGATTCAGAGGTGAGTGATTGCTTCATTTCAGATTATAAAAAGTTACAAGATGGATTTCTCTGTATCATTTACCTTAAAAAGTTACAAGATGGATTTCTCTGTATCATTTACCTTAAGTTGGATTTTTTTTTTCTCTCTCACGTTTCTGTTGCAGCAGAGATTAGTTAGAGACTTTTACAAAATTCTAAACGAAGTAAGCACTCAAGAAATTCCAGATGGTTTAAAGCTTCCAGATTCTTTTAGTCAACTTGTTTCAGATATGAAGAACAACCACTACGATGCGAAAACATTTTCACTCGTGCTTCGAGCCATGGTACATTCTCCAATCTGAAATTGATTCTTAATTGTAGATTCGTTATCCGAAATGTTTTTTGTGATTTGGGTATTCTCTTTGAACAGATAGAGAAGTTTGAAAGGGATATAAGGGAATCTAAATTTGCGGAACTTATGAACAAACACTTTGCAGCAAGCTCTGTTCCGAAAGGAATTCACTGTCTCTCTTTAAGACTAACCGATGAATATTCCTCCAATGCTCATGCTCGGAGACAGCTTCCTTCCCCGGAGTTTCTCCCTCTTCTCTCAGATAACGCTTATCACCATTTTGTTCTAGCTACAGACAATATCTTGGCTGCATCGGTTGTCGTCTCATCCGCTGTTCAATCATCTTCAAAACCTGAGAAAATTGTCTTCCATGTTATCACAGACAAGAAAACCTATGCGGGTATGCATTCTTGGTTTGCGCTTAATTCTGTCGCTCCTGCCATCGTTGAAGTCAAAAGTGTTCATCAGTTCGACTGGTTAACAAGAGAGAATGTTCCGGTTCTCGAAGCTGTGGAAAGCCATAACGGTATCCGAAATTATTACCATGGGAATCATATCGCTGGTGCAAACCTCAGCGAAACAACTCCTCGGACATTTGCTTCGAAATTGCAATCAAGAAGTCCCAAATACATATCTTTGCTCAACCATCTTAGAATATATCTACCAGAGGTACAACATTTCTGCTCTTTTAATTTCAAAGTTTCGCCTTTTTCGTCTATATGGAGTGTGGCTTACTGTTGTCTAGTATAAAATTTATGTCCTTTCAATTTCAAATTTTCTCCTTTTTTTATCCTAGTGAAGCGTGGCTTATTGTCTAGGTTTCAGAATTTAGCCTTTTCCTCTCTAAATGAAGTGTGGCAGGGCGACAGTCTTCTTTTTTTTACTGAACAGTTTTTTTTTTTCTTTAGAACAGCTAAGTGTGGCTTACTGTCTAGGATCACAGTTTCTGTCCTTTTAATAGAAAAATCCGGATTGAGAACATGAATGTAATGTTTGCTTGTTTCGCCTTTTTGAACAGCTTTTTCCGAACTTAGACAAGGTAGTGTTCTTAGATGATGATATAGTGATTCAGCGAGATTTATCTCCGCTTTGGGATATTGACCTTAACGGGAAGGTTAATGGAGCTGTGGAGACTTGTCGAGGAGAAGACCAATGGGTTATGTCAAAGCGTCTTAGGAACTACTTCAATTTCTCTCACCCGCTCATTGCAAAGCATTTGGATCCCGAAGAATGTGCTTGGGCTTATGGAATGAATATCTTCGATCTTCGGACTTGGAGGAAGACAAATATCAGAGAAACCTATCATTCTTGGCTTAAAGAGGTAAAATATTGAAGAAGCGTGCAATGTTTTTGAGTTTTATGATTCGAAAATTGGCAAATACTTGATTTTGCTTTCTGGTTTTTGTCTGATGTGCAGAATCTGAAGTCGAATCTAACAATGTGGAAACTTGGGACACTGCCTCCAGCTCTAATTGCATTCAAAGGTCATGTTCAGGCAATAGATTCGTCTTGGCATATGCTTGGATTAGGTTACCAAAGCAAGACCAACTTAGAAAATGTGAAGAAGGCTGCAGTGATTCACTACAATGGCCAATCAAAGCCGTGGCTCGAGATAGGTTTTGAGCATCTCAGGCCATTCTGGACAAAATATGTTAACTACACCAATGATTTCATTAAGAATTGTCATATCTTGGAATAGCAAACAGAAAGCTCACAGATAATCTTGAAGCAGACTAGAGAATTCGCGGGTTCTGCAGATTTTACTCGGATTTTAGCTGGACAATGAAACCAGTTGCAGAGCTGCAGGAGAAAGAGAAAGAGAGAGAAAGATTCATTCTTCTGTAAAAATAGAAGGTACCCTTTTTGAGATTCTTTTGGTTTCGATTAAAGATTCCAAATGCTTGGATGTGTTATAAGAACAAGAAAGGTTTATGGACAGCCAGAAAGAAATTGGATTTTGGTTATGATCAGACAAGACCAAGGAACAACAACACTGTTGCGTTTACTCCACACGTACTTTTTCTTTTTAATTTCGGTTTCTTAAGTTTTGATAGTTAAATTTCACTTTTTTTTTTTTACTTATTGATATAGTCTTTAGGGATTTTATATGGACATTATTGCTTTGTTAAGTTCCCTATTTGTTCAATCATGCGACTTTTCTTGAAACATAGCACTTTTCTTTGTTTTTGGTTAGATTCAGTTTACTTATCTCCCTGTCCTCCTATCCCTCTCTAACTTGATGTAACTGTTGAGATAAGATATCTGATTAAATTATGACATCAATGACATCACATATTAATTCTGCACAACATATGGTTCACTCGAATCGAACTATTGAGGTAAAATGGTAAATACCACAATAATTTATATTTGGATATTTATTTAGCGCCTTTTGTAAGAATCTTACAAGTAGAAAATAGTAATCACCATCAATCGTATGATGATGACTTGAATTTTTTTTTTTTTTAATGAAAATGAAACATATAAAAATTGGCAAGGGTAAATAAATTTAGTAAGAATGATTATCTGTAAATCGAATAGTGATTGTCGATACATAAATTATAATTCTACTGTATTCGTATATTCAATGACAAATGCTAAAAAGAAATGATATATTTTATGATGAAGAATGGTAAACTTTCTCAGCTTAATTGCCCCAAAGTCTCTTCACAACAATCAATTTTTTTTTAAAAAAACATGTAGTAAGCAGGCAAAACTATTGTTGCCTTGACCCCCCCCCCCCAAAAAATTGTTGCAAATAAAAAGGGAAAGTACTATTTAAAAATTTCTTGGAAACAAACAAAAAAAAACTAATAAAATTTGTCGATTGGGTAGTGCGTTCTTTCAATATCAAATTGTGGAATTGAAGAACAAAAATTAGGATCGGGTGTGCTTTGATAGGAGAGAGAAGAGAGATGTGCATTTTCTTAGGCGCATAGATGGGAAGAATATCAGATAAAAATGGAAGCTTTGACCGCCATTGATTCTCTACACTCACGAGATCTCTTGATCTCAATTCGCAACTCTCTCTCCTCTCTGATGCGTGTTCTTCTCTTTCCTTTTCATTCATCGGCTCAGATCAGTCTCAGAGCCAAGTAAGAATCGCCAAATTTAGGGTTTTCTTTTTCCGGCTTCGTTTCAAATCTGGATTCCTTGATTTTAAGCATACCCACCCCTCTTGGAGTTTTCCGGTTTTGTTCATTTTGTCAGATCCTCTTTCTCTTTAAGGATTTTATTATTTTTCTTATGATTGGTTTTCCTGGTCTTCTTGATCTTTAAATTTTTCTGTTTTGTAAACATCTTGATCTCTAACATTTATATGATATACTCATGTGTATCCTGTCAATTCCTCTGGTTGTTGCTGTGTTGCATGCGATTCATTTAGATATCAGATTCTCGATTAAACCCTTAATCTTCGGGTTTCGTGTTCTTCTTCACAGTCACTTATTGAAGAAAAAATGTTCCTTTTTGTTTGACTCATGGCAGATAGAATAAAGAGCAAAGAAGGTCCTGTGGGAATTGATACATTGAGAAACTGTTTAGTGTTTGTGGTGTCTTTTGAGTTTTCTGTGGGTTTGAGGAAAGTTTCGTTGATTGGTTCTTGCAATAGATGGCAGAAGTCCATAATCAACTAGAGATCAAGTTTCGGTTAACTGATGGTTCGGATATCGGTCCTAAAGCATTCCCGGATGCTACAACTGTCGCGGCACTCAAGGAAACTGTTATTTCTGAATGGCCCAGAGGTCAGTTTTTATGCTGTCCTACACTTATGGCTTTTCAGATTCTTAGCATTCTTCTGGCTCTGTGTTTTGAGACTGTGAAGGCTTCAATGTTCTTGCAACAATGGTTTGGTCGATTACTTATGAGATTCATGTTCGAATAGAATATCTGATGCTAAAGATTTTTCATCAGCTTTTCGATTATACTTGTTCTAGGTTTTTTTTTTTTTTTTGACTTGTCTCTCTTGAATTGCTAGATAAGGTTATCATCGCAAGATTTGAATATTGGGACTTTTCAATGTGATTCAGATTTAGTTCGCTGAGATGTCACAGATTCCTCTCTGTTTTGTTTCACAACTCATTTGTGATGTTTTGCTTACATGTGAGTTACTGGCTAATATGAATCTGTGTTTAAGTGTTTGTGCTGATTACAATTATACAGCTTGTCATTTTGTTCTGTTTGTGTTTGATTCGAGCTAGAAAAGGAGAATGGACCGAGGACAGTGAAAGAGGTGAAGTTGATAAGCGCAGGGAAAGTATTGGAGAACAACAAGACGGTTAAAGACTACCGAAGCCCTGTCTCCAATCTTGTAAGCGCTGTCACCACAATGCACGTGATCATCCAACCTCCGGTTACTGAAAAAGGTAAAACTTTTTTCTAGGTTCCTCTAAAACGAAACCCTTTTGTTTGGTTTAGCTCCTAAATATTCAAAAAGAACAAAGCCTCTATGTAAGGTTCAAAATCTGTTCTTGAGTTGACAGAGAGGTGTTGTTTGTTTTACTATGTTTGAAACAGAGAAGAAGCCTAAAGGTGACCCGAAGATGAACAAATGCGTCTGTTCAGTCATGTAAGAGAGTAGCAAAACCTCAAGAGAGATTCAGATTTTCGGGTCATTAAGTTTGGTCGCTTACGTCGTTGGTATAGATTGTTTACTGATACAGATACAGAATTAAAAGTGTGTTCAACCTTTTTTTTTCTTTCTTAAAAGTAAAAATCAAATCTCTTCTCTAGCTTTTTGCAAAAATGGAGGAGAGAGTAAATCATAGATGCAGAAATGTCAAAAGACACAAGGAGATTCTGATATAGCTCTGTTTCTTAGTCCCTCTGTTTCAGGCCCATTTTTTCATCTAAGATTTTATTTTAGAATAATTATATCCATTACAGATTATATGAAACATAGCTACATTCTCCAACCACGACTTGAGGCCCTAAATGGGTTTCGTTGAGGGCTGTAATTATGAGACCAAACTCATAACAATAGATTAAGAAATGAAAGAGATAATGTAACATCAGGAATTAGAATTGGAAGCAAAAACATGAAAAGGAACATAAGCGATATTATCTGCCCTGCAGCTCAACTTTTCGAAAACAAATCGCAGCAGGTCCGGACAAAGCTCCAACCAGTTAAGTTTCTTCTCCTGAAAGAAAAAGTCGAAACTTTGTACGGAAGAGATTGGCCCTTTTTAAAATATTGATGAATTCATCGATCGGAGCCACCGCAGGACCATATATATATTTGAATTATGACAGAAGAAACTCATAAAGCAGAACAATTTCAATCTCCTAGATTGTATAGAAGTCGGGGAAACCCTAGAGAATCTTTGGGTATATATCTTTCGTTACAAGACCGTATCGTTTCTATATTTTCAAGACTTTTAAAGATGAAATTCTTTTTTCTGTTTTTTTCCATCATCTTCGTTTTCTACCAGAGACCGTCTTTTTCACAGCCCCAACAGAGACTAAAAACTGATCAAGAGAAGAGAGAGTTCTCATATCGTCAGGAGGAAAGTAGCTCGCAGCTTTACCCATTAGAGAAGTGAATAGAAGAGAAAGCGAAGGACGAGTTACATATCTTTCCCCTAGAAGATCTTCAAGGAACCCAAACGCAGCTAAAAATTCTGATCTTCCTGCGTTTATTGGAGCCTCGAAGTGAGCTGGGATAATCCTTCTGAATCTCCAGTCACGGGCTATCTCATCGATCCAATCCCTCACCTAAATTCGTAGTATTTATCAAATCAAAACAAAACCCTATTGGACACACAAAAAAAAAGAAGAGGTTTGAAACAGATGATGCAGAGATAAGGAACCTTCTCAGGGACTTTGCTAAAGACCAAAGTCTTCACAATGGGAGAAACAATCAGCTTCTGCGACATTTGTGCGAAGCTTGCGTTTGGTTCCAAGAGATTAGAAGGGCCAAGAAATAGAATTTGCAGAACCATCCTTTCCCATCCTGCAAGTTTTAAAAACAAACAGAGGCAATTGGGATCTAAAGAGATCTTCTTTTTTTTTCCTTCTTCTTCTTGTTGAAAATCAGGGACTTTACTGACCTTTTTGGCGGGTGTTGGGGTTATCAACCACAGGGTCATTGGGTACTTGTTTTCCTTTGCTAAGTATCTTCACAGCCAGTCCGTTCTTAGCCGAGGCTAACAAGGATTCGTTGCTGATACTCGAGGGCGGTTTCTTTGGAACAAAGATCACAGCATCAGTGACTAAAAGAGTTCTTGACCGCTTATGGTAGAACGCTACTTCGACATACGGTCCAATTCCTGTAATAAGAAAATATGATTCCTGAATCTTTCAACCAAACCATATTGAAATACTGAAAGGACATACCAACTTCTGGGGAGCTTAGGACTTTCTGCTCGATCTCCTCAGCCCATGGCGTAGATAAGTCTCCGTCTTTAATGATTTTGGCGCGAAAGATACCGAAAAACTCGAGTGGTAAGTTCAGTGGCCAGCTCCATTGTCTTGGTGCCACCCATACTTGAGCCTTGGGGAACTTTCTTGAAAACGGACCGACAAAAATCTTGTGCTCATAAGCAAACGTTGGCAGGACAATGTACTCAACCGGAGCTCCCAACTCCTTAATTAGCTGCCACAAAAAATATAAAGAAGAAGCAAAACACCCACTAGAGTTCAATCATCTGCAGTGCTTTCTCATTTTTTATCAAATTCAACAACTTTTATCAAAACCCAAGTGTTATTTATCAAAATCATTGATACTTCATCACTTCAACAACTCTCTGGAGGCAAATATCAATGAAAAAAAAATAATGAAAAATGAAACCTGGATACACTCTTTGGTGGGAGCAATAGGAGCATGAACCCATAAACCTCCAGATTTCAGTTTGATAACTGTCATTCGTATATTCGTCGACACGCTACTAAAACCTAAAGCTTGTTCTTGTTCAAACATCCATATGCAACCTTTAACCGCCTGCAAACAAACAAAAAGGTTCGGTTTTTTTTCAAAAATCAGAGGGATTCGGGAATAATTGACTTGTGATTCTGAAATTGAAGGCCCTCTAATGAAATCTCAGCGAATTCGAATAAAAAAACCTAACCTCGGTTCTGATGGTGCGCCGGTTAAGGAACGGGCCAAGAGGAAACGGAAATCCAGTAAAATTGATATAAAACCGTTTGCTTGCATCTCCGTCTACGCCATCTGTAACGACGGTCTTGCTCGTCGAAGAAGCAGAAACCAAAACCGGACCTTTAATTTCCCGGTTTACGGAAATGGGTCGACCTAAATTCAAGGACCCACCGAGAAAGTTGGAATTTTGCTCCAATGGAAGTTTGGGTTTCAGAAGAAAAGAAGAATGTTTTGGGAGGTGAACGGACATGGCCGCTGCCGCCATTTTCTTCTTCGCTTCTCAGTTGAGCTAAGTTTTTTTTTTTTTTTCTTGTTGGTACAATGGAATTAGAAGCTGATATACGGACACGTGGATGGGTCTAATGGATATCTCTGTCTGTCTACGTGGATTTTACAACAGATATTGTGTGGACCAAACTAATGTGATGACGTCAAAAAGAAAAACACCATTAAAAAAAGGAATTTCAGAAAATAGGATTATACACTATCCATCCATTGGTTTTGTGGCGGTGGTGATAACGCGCTACGCAATGCGCGTGGAAGTTTTGATAGGACATAGAGATCACGAAACATATGCCTATGCTTCTTGTTATGTCGTGGCATCATAAACGAGTCAAAGGATGATGAAATTCCTCAACGGCTATCACATTATCAGAAGAATCGTTTCATATAATTTTTGTGATATATTACGGTTCTTGTTTTAATTTTTTTTTCAATTGAGAAGACCTGGTGGTGGTCATTTCCTATTCTCGAAGGAATCTATAATCCTAGATTTATTTATAATGATTAACAAACAAAAAAAAGGTAAGAAAAATATGACTAAAGAGAAAAAATTATTACTACTATTATACACTAGCAATTACTCCCTCGAGGTTTATTAAAGCAAAAATTATTCAAAGGGTAGTCGAAGAAATTACGGATCTAGAGAGATCTTTTTCCCCGGAAAAGAGAAATTTATCTCAGATTTCAAGATTTCATTTTTTTAAAACCCATTCCTCAAAATCTGCTATTTCTAGAGAGGTAGACAGAGAGTCAGAAAGAGCAGAGCTTTTTTCTTGAGTGATCGATGGCGAGAATTGCGTTGATGGCTGCGGCGGCGGTGCTGGCTTTTCTGGCGATGGCTCCGGTGAAGGAAGTGGCGGCGAAGAAATGGACGGTGGGAGATAACAAGTTCTGGAATCCTAATATCAACTATACCATTTGGGCTCAGGACAAACATTTCTACCTCGACGATTGGCTCTGTTAGTACTCTCTCTCCCTCTCTAAAAATATATATCGACATTGGTTCTTGTCACGCTCTTGATTAGATGACTGATCTCATGGCAAAACGGGTTTCGCTTATTCTGAAAATTTTGAAACTTTGTAAGATCTTTGTCGAAACACAATCATATTCTGTCCGAGTTTGGTTGTCTGAAAAGACCACTAGATTCTTCTCTGGCCGTTTTCTTACAAACAGTGGATACTTCACTTCTCCTTTGTACCCATTTGTTAAAGTTGAAGTTTTTAACCAATCTTTTCACATGTAACTCCGGATGTCAAGTTTTTTTGGGGGTTAATCTCTGTTTCTGATTTTCTTATCTCAATTTTAGACCTTTTAAAGCCCTAAGGTAAACGAATTAGGCTCTGGTTATGTCCTCCTTGTTTGCTTATAGAGTGTCTCTATTTGGTTTTCGTGGTTTGTTCACTCAGATTTTGTTTACGAGAGAAACCAGTACAACGTTATAGAAGTGAACGAGACCAACTACAGAAGCTGCAACGCCGATAACCCGATCGCTAATTGGACTCGTGGAGCTGGAAGGGACTTGGTTCATCTCAATGAGACTAGACATTACTATCTGATCAGCGGTAATGGTGGTGGATGTTACGGCGGTATGAAGCTCGCTGTTTTAGCTAAGAAACCGCCTCCTCCATCGTTGGCGTCTGCAACATCTATCGAGAACAGTGCAAGAAGAGCCTTCGCGATCTCGGGTTTTGCCCATCAGTTTGTTCTGCCAGTAGCTGTTTTCGCAGCAATTGGGACAATGTGGGAGGCGGTACTGCTGGTTTGGTAACAAGTCTTTGTTTCATAGGAGATGTGTTCATGCTTTATTGGTGAAAAGTAAAAGTGGAACTTGGTTTATATGGAGGACTTAATTGGGCCTATATTTTGGGCTTTCATTTGTAAGTGTTTACTTAAATGATTTGTTTCAAGCACAATTAGCTAGTGCACATATGCCCAAAAATAAAATATTAGGATGAACTAGCTAAAAGCCTAAAACCTTGATTAGGGTTTAGTCTAAACATCTACCTCAAACAGTGGACACCATGATTAGTCTCTTAAAGCTATCAATACCTTTAAATTATCGTCAACAACCAAAGACTATTTTAGTGGGTATAACTAAAGCTGGCCGATTATTAATTTATATCGCTAGTTCATCACATCGAAAATGACGTGATTGTAAGTAAATTAATTCGACCACGAGATACGGAGATGTTTAATTTTAGTTCAAACATTTTTAAAAAATCGCTATCAATTTTAAATGATTGTTCGTGTGGTTTTCGGATTTTCGACTATGTAAAGGGCCTAAAATAACGAATAAACTGGTTAAATAATAGCTTGACTCATATCCCAAAGTCAACCACACGTCACGACAAAACAAACAGCTCTTCAAGGTTTTTTTTGGTCGTCAAGTTTTTGTTCAACATGTTTCTTCTTACACACTATGTATCAACATTTATTTTTTAAACATTAATGTTTTCATTAGATCGGCCCGAGACGCATTCTTTTTGGTCGTTGCACTTCCTTTTTTGACCCTTCTCGAGTTTTACTGAATGTCATTAGTCATTTGAATACCGTAATACGGTGTACAATCTGTCAAAACTTTGTTAATGTTTTTATCTTTTGTCGGCTTCAATGTTTTATTTAATTTCAAAAAATAAAAAAATGGCGGTTTACTTGATTGCTTCCTTATTTATTGCGTCTATTACCTCCATATTAAATGACTCTAAAATAGAACCTCAGATTTCAAAGTATATGGTAATATGATTAGGATAATGGAACTGATAATTTACGTAATTTATGTGGTATCAATAGGCTGTCTCTTAGGTGTCAAAGAAAAATTGATTAATAATACTAATTGCAAAACGAATGTCAATTAAGTAGTTTATGTTGATTCCTTTTCTCTTAACACTCTCACGAACATGCAACGCAGACACTTCGTTATGTTTTGTTTCAACAAATCCGAAAATATAATTTAAGAAAACTGAAATCGTTGCACGGATATTCCCAAAATTACGTTAGATTAGAATCATAAGATATGTAGAATCAGCGAGATTATATTTTGAATTTCTGAGTCTGTTGACAGTTTTCAGCTTCAAACTTTCAGTTTGGTACTTAGTATATTGATTCGAGCGGTAAATAGTATATAATCAATTAATGGGACCAAAGTCGTGGGGGCAATATAAAATATGACATGTTAATAGTTAGCAAACAATCATTTATGAATTCGCAATCAAATGGACCCCTATTAAATATTTTTCCATTCAAAACTCCAATCTTAATGGAAACCTCTATCATTCATACACAAATTTCTCTACTGTTGACTGGAGGCAATCAACTCTACTCGACACTCGTAGCATAATTATTAATTGTTTCTGAACTATATGAAAATGTCGAAAACAAAAAGAAAAGTTATTTTTAGAATGTTACAAAAAAGTATTTTTAGAAATACAATTAGTTTTTTTGTCGACTCATATTTTATTTGATACAGTAATAATGTTCTACATGACATAAATAACATATGCAAGTTGGTCCTTTTGTGTTTGGCTTTTAAATGAATAAGGTGAGTGCTTATTGGCTATTCCATTTGTCAAATTTATTTCCCACCTGTAAAAATATTGACATTTGCTTAGTAAACAAAACAAAATCAACCCTCCGGTCGTAACGTTTGAATTCATACACACTTTTGTTCTAAGCTAATAAAAAGACACAATATTTAAAAAAAAAAGTAGTTATTTGAAAGAGAGAATAATTTAAAAAAAAACATACTGATAAATAATTTTCCGAGGTAAAATGACTACTTCGTTTCGATACATAGTGAATATTGAACTATATAGGAGACTCTAGCTTTGCATAGACCATATATAGAGCGCGAAAAAAACAATTTGCTTATTAGTGAGAATTGGACTATATATACACGTTCACTTAATCTAAAAAGTGTATTTTGTCGCGATTTGGAGTTGATGCCTTGCAGTGCCGGTCTTGTGAGGCAAACTTGGCAAAACAGCAGCATGTTGAGGGAAAAAAAATATGGTATAAATAGCATATAAGATGACTTTTCATAGTTAAACACCACCAATTTGGTTATCCAATCAACCTTTTAAACAATGGATGCAAGTTGAATTATTTTTCCATAATACTAATATAATAAAGCTCAAATATGAAATTCAGAACGGAGAGATTGGACCACAATAAATTATTATTGTAAATAAATTAAAGAAATTCTATCTTTAGCCCGCAGACTTTCGAACACCAATGTCAAGGCTGCACGAAACCGATCTAGACAATTGAAACAGAAGACTCTTGTCTCTTTGTTTCTCTCTATATATATATGCGCACAGTAATTATCAATATCCATAGAGAGGCATAAAATAGAAAGATCGAGAATTTATATTCAGAAATGGCGGTGGAGGACGATGTATCTTCGATGAGAACGACGACGTTAGTGGCTCCAACAAGACCCACGATTACAGTTCCACAGAGACCACCGGCGATCGAAACGGCGGCGTATTTCTTCGGCGGTGGAGACGGGCTTAGCCTGAGCCCAGGCCCACTTTCGTTTGTCTCGTCTTTGTTCGTTGATAACTTCCCTGACGTCTTGACGCCGGATAACCAAAGGACGACATCGTTTTCTCAGCTTCTCGCCGGAGCTATGTCGGTGTCTCCCGGCAGAGGCGGAGGACGTTCTACGGCGGGGATGTTCACCGGAGGAGGTCCGATGTTTACAATCCCTTCTGGTTTCAGCCCTTCTAGTCTTCTCACCTCTCCCACGTTCTTTCCTCCTCAGGTAATTCATTCTTTATTATCCTTTAATTAAGTAATTCAAGGCTAAACGAAGACACTATTTAATTTTGCTAAACAAAAAAACTTTGATTGTTGACTTCATTGATAGTCACAGACACAAAGTCGTTAAAAGTAGAACAAAACCGGAAAAGTTTGGGAAGTATATGTAAACTTACATATATATATATATATATATATATATATATATAGTGAAGTTATAACACAAATATATAAGTACTTAGTAAATTCATGACACACATTTACTTAATTCTTTGTTTTTTTTTCATTGATAACGCACACACTATCGAATTTGAATCACAAGCGACAACAGTACTACAAATCAACAAGCTATAACTCAGTTTTGGACATTGTTAGTTAGTACATATATAGTAGTAACAAATCAACATTTTCATAAATATTTCTTATATCAACTAACTACATATAAACTCTGTGACATCTAATTAATTAATGCAGCAGTCAACAGCTCAGACCGGCTTTGTCCAAGCGCAACCGCAACGACCAGACAGATATCCACACGAAATGCGGCCATCGACATCCACCACCGCCGTGCATGGCGGTCAATCTTTGGAAGTAACGCAAGCCGATCAGAGAGCTAGAAACCATTACAGTAATCATGCGGGGAATAGTTATAACAATAATAACCGGTCGTCGTATAACGTGGTGAACGTTGACAAACCGGCGGATGATGGTTATAATTGGAGGAAGTACGGACAAAAGCCGATCAAAGGGTGTGAATATCCGAGGAGTTATTACAAATGCACTCATGTTAATTGTCCGGTTAAGAAGAAAGTTGAACGGTCTTCGGATGGACAGATCACTCAGATCATTTACAAAGGTCAACATGATCACGAGAGGCCTCAGAACCGCCGCGGTGGCGGTGGAGTCAGAGATTCCGGCGAAATTGGTGATGTTCATTACATTGGTGGTGCAGGGCAGATGATGGTGGAGTCTAGTGATGATAGTGGTTATGCCAAGAATCATCATGATGATGATGATTATGATGAAGATCTCCCGGCTTCAAAGATAAGGTATCGTCCTAAGAGTTTAATTTATAAGGAAATTAAATTCAAAATACAATCGTATGAATTAACTACTATGGATTTCAATTAAGATATATCTCGATGATTGAAAAATTTAAATACATATACATACATAAGTACATAACAAGGTAGCATTTATAACAGAGTCAAATAATATTGGGAAATGTAGAAAAATCGACGGTGTGTCGACGACTCATAGGACGGTGACTGAGCCGAAGATCATCGTTCAAACAAGAAGTGAAGTCGATCTTCTCGACGATGGCTATAGATGGCGCAAGTACGGCCAAAAAGTTGTCAAAGGAAATCCCCATCCTAGGTACTATATATTTAGACTCCATATGTCGAAATCTTTTTCATTAGTTTTTGTATACATTTATTTCACCTTTTTTTTTATTTATTTGTTGTTTAAAATGTACTCCCTGTGTTTTTGGTAAAAATATATTAGGAGCTATTATAAATGTACAACGGCGAATTGTACGGTCCGTAAACATGTAGAGAGGGCTTCCACGGATGCCAAGGCTGTCATTACAACTTACGAAGGTAAACACAACCACGACGTCCCCGCCGCTAGAAACGGCGTCGGCTCCTCCGCAGCAGCGGCGGTAGGAACGTCGGACCACCATCGTATGAGATCAATGCCAGGGAGCAACAACATGAGTTTCGGTAACAGTAATAACGATACAGGCCAATCTCCGGTTCTTTTGAGGTTGAAAGAAGAGAAAATCTCTATGAACTAACTTTTTTAACCGAGGATTTCCAAATTGATTTCTTCGTATTATATTTGGTTTAGCCCCTTCGGTCATAAATTGATTCTGAACCGGGCTATTACTTATTGACTTGTTGTAACATGTGTGTGATGTGGATTTGTCATTTGAGTGTGCATGCTTATTGACTTAAAAAAAAATAAGAAAACAACCATAACCAATTCCCACCCTATTAGCTGCTTTGGTTTTCTCTACTTCTTAAATTTTTGAACTTATTTTTTTGTATATATATTTTGATTGAGAAATCAGGATACGAATGGATTTGTTTATCAGTGTATACAAACGAGATAAATCTGTTTTAAAATACAAAAGAAAAAGATTTGTTTTTTTTTTTTCTTGTCTCTTTCTCTCCCAAAGTTTAAGGAGGACTGTCTAATTCTCCGTAAATATCTATCTCTGGATTCGGTTCTTCCCTTATTTTACATCTAAAACTATTTTCCTTTTATTGTTTTTTTTTTGGGCCCTTTATTCTCGTTTTCTTTATGGTCTAATGCGGGGATTGTCCTCCCTGCGTTGGACCCGTTTGCCCGACCCGGGTCGATACTCACGCCGCCCGGAAACTCTCCTCTGACAATTAATTTTCATAATTAATTATGGGTTGCTTCCACTCCAAGCATTCTTCTCCGGCGGGTCCTCCACACCCTCTCCGCCGCCGTTTAGACACCGCCGTCCACCACCGTAGTCATCCCTCAAACCACCACAACCGCCATATCCTTCCCGTTCCGCCATCTCACCGCCGTGCAGTCGTCAACTCATCTCCGACGAAACATCGCAAAAACGACGATGATGCTCCAAGATCGAGGACGACCGGAGTTAGCCTGAGATCGGGGTTGTCGCATGGCAATGTAGAGGCTGAACAGGTGGCGGCTGGTTGGCCCTCCTGGCTCAGCTCCGCCGCACCGGAGGCCGTTCATGGGTGGGTCCCATTACGCGCCGAGGACTTCGAGAAAAGAGAGAAGGTAAAATATTAACCCTAAATCCTTTAAAAGATTTCTTGCGAGACAATTAAGAAGAAGCCCTATATATTGATGATCTCAACTATATTTTTAATAATTTCTACCATTTTAGTAATAAAAACAAAAACAAAAAAAATTGTTAGATTGGGCAAGGAACGTACAGCAACGTGTTCCGGGCATGTGAGGTATCGACGGGAAGAGTAATGGCTCTAAAGAAGATACGGGTTCAAAATTTTGAAACTGAAAACATAAGATTCATTGCGAGAGAAATCATGATTTTGAGAAGATTAGATCATCCAAACATCATGAAGCTCGAAGGGATTATCGCGTCACGGAATTCAAATAGCATGTACTTTGTGTTCGATTACATGGAACACGATCTCGAAGGTTTATGTTCATCTCCTGACATCAATTTCACCGAGGCACAGGCAAGACCTAACGACCGACCACACACAAAAACCAACTAACTCTGTTTCTTTGTTTAGGGTTTCCCTCTCTGATAAACCTAATAATTAATTTGGGTTTTCAGATCAAATGCTACATGAAGCAGCTTCTATGGGGAGTAGAACATTGTCATCTACGAGGGATTATGCACAGAGACATAAAAGCAGCAAACATTCTGGTGAATAACAAAGGAGTTTTGAAGCTAGCTGATTTCGGATTAGCCAACATTGTAACACCAAGAAACAAGAATCAGTTGACAAGTCGGGTTGTGACGCTATGGTACCGTGCACCCGAACTTCTTATGGGCTCCACCAGTTATAGCGTTTCCGTCGATCTTTGGAGCGTCGGATGCGTTTTCGCCGAGATTCTCACCGGAAGACCACTTCTCAAAGGAAGAACAGAGGTGAGAAACACAGATCGAAATTACTCATAACTATTCCAAAATAGAGACTGAGTTTTTTTTGTGTGTGTGTGTGTTTCGTGTGTTGTTCTCTGTAGATTGAACAACTTCACAAGATTTATAAACTCTCTGGATCACCAGATGAAGAATTCTGGGAAAAGAACAAGCTTCATCCTCAAACTAAGATGTTTAGACCACAACATCAATATGAAGGTTGTCTGAGAGAAAGATTTGAGGAGTTTCCAAAAACAGCAATTAATCTTCTCGAGAATCTTTTGTCTATTGATCCGGAGAAACGAGGAACTGCCTCTTCTGCTCTCATGTCAGAGGTGAAGGAAAAAATAAACCCCTAACATTTAAATGGGAAATCGAATCAATTTATAGAAACTGAAACTCTTTGGTCTTTTATGTGGTTTTGCTGTTGTTTCAGTACTTTAACACAAAGCCTTACGCTTGTGAACCATCCACATTACCCAAGTACCCTCCTAACAAAGAAATGGATGCTAAGTACCGTGAAGAACTTCAACGAAGGTTTCCATCAATCGATTTTCACAAGCTCTGTCTATTTCCATCTCTATGTAAATTTTCTATCTCTATATTTTGTTTTGCAGGAGAAGAGTTAGTATAAAGAAAAGAGATAACTTGGCATCCAAGAAATCTGGGAAATCACGTAGAACAATCAAAGAGCCTACAAATCTCAGCAAATTACCAACCCAACAGGTATAAAACTTTAGCAAATCATAATAACAATATCAGTTGGAGAATAAACCGATGCGTCAAAACCATCGGTTGGTTAATTATTCGTATGTAATGTGGTTCATTGTTGTTTTTTGCAGGAAACGAAGAAGGAAACGGAGACAGAGATCATTCTCCAGACGCCATCGGAGACATCTCAAGCGACGACTCGAAGCGCGTTTCCGTACACTAATTTATCACAAACGACGGCGCCGGCGAGCGGGTTCGCATGGGCAGGGACGAAGAAGAGGAAAGAAAACGACGCAGCTTCAACGCTGACTTATAATCAGCCAGCAGGATCAGCGAGCCACGTCAGTGGTATGAGCATGGCTTTTGCTAAAAACACTTTTGGGTTAACAATAAATGAAGACAAACCGAGCTTTCTTAGGCCGCACGTTTCTCTAGACTCCTCTGATGTGTTGTTGTTCTCTGGCTTGCATCACAAGAAAATATCGGAAGAAGATACGGTGAGTCTTCAATTGAAAAATATATTTATCTTCTCGATTCTTCTTTATTTTTTCTGGATTTGTCGCATTAAATTTCATTATTTTTGGTCTTTCTTAGGAATTGACAAATGTTGGGGCGAATCCGAAGATTTTTCAAACTAATGGGATGAATGAGATATTACGGAGGACAGAAAGTGATGTCAGAGTGGGTGTTCGAAGACCACCACGAATAGAAAGAGGTTAATGAATGGCAGTAACTGATATTACCATAACTTCTTTTTTTTAGCCAAGGACATATATATTTTTCACTTGGCATCGACCATGCATTTGTATAGTCCAAAATTAAAAATTTGTCACACACAAACCAAGGATCAGTCTCAGAAGTTTCACTTTCAGGTTTTCGAAATTATAAATTTTTGTTTATTCCTTACGAAGTCAATTTGATTTGTCACACTATATCATGTGCTGTGTGCAGGAGAAGATAACTGGTAGCTAATTAATACACACGTTGGAATTTTGAAAGATTTTTTGGTCTTGTTTGTTTTGATGATATAATTCTGAATCAGATAACAGATGTGTTTTCTAAAAATGTTTTATTGTGAAGTTTAATTTGTTGAAATTTTGAAAGGTAACCAATTTAGGCCAATTGGCGTTGGTTTCCCAAACCGAACCAAATTACGAGGAAACATTCAATACAAATAGAAATTCAGCATTTCACTTTTTTTAACTAAAGTTAAATGTTCCCAAAAAAAAAAAACTTAGTTAGTTTCTTTTTATATGTAATAGCGAAAAAAAGAAAAAAAAAAATCAATCTTGGTGGCATAATGCACTACAAGTTATGTACAAAGTTTTGATTCATCTATTTTGTGACTCGAGTCGGTCGGTCTTACATCTTAGTTGAAAGAGGAATTTTTGAAGAAGAAGAAGACAGAAAGAAATAGTAAAAACAAGTTCACTTTCTTAAATCAAGAAGACGAAGTGAGAGTGGGATGATTTATTGTTGAAGAGGTCGATCCGGTTTAAATATTCAGAGGACTCGGAGCTGAGCAAGAAAGGCAGCACAGAGATCCAAGAACAAGAACTGAGGACCTTGTACCCTCTGCAGATCCAGCAGATACTTGTCGTCCCGAGTTTTATACAACTGTTCAGATACAACGCGGGCAAAACCCATTTTCAGTTTTAGTATGATGAATGTATGTGTTGCTTTATCATCACCTAAAGTGGACTTACCTGGATTTCAAACTTGACAACATTAGGGGACTTCACAGCTGCGTCGTTCTCTATTATGCTGGAATCATCTCCAAAGTAGCTGTTGTCGTGCATCGAGTTACTGTCTGCGTTGTTAGGAACCCATCTGCACTTCATGTTGTAGTGCCCTATCTTCTTCCAACACACATTCAAATCTTGCAGGGCTTTCAGGACTTCTGTCATTATTTCACGCGGATGAGCCCGAGACTGTTGGATCCAGAGCATGTGTTATCAACCAAACTAAACAGATATAAGAAATCAAAAGCTTCAACCTTCATATAGCATAAATTAAGGAAAAACATCAAGACCTGAAGTCCAAGAGCCCATTTTCTCTCAACAGGATACTGAGATCTCAAGCCAACTCCTTGATATTCCATCAGTCCTGGAAGCCGATGGCTAACGGGTGACGCTATGCTTTCTCCTGGATGCATACGCGGAGTGCCTTCCTGATTAAACCAAACACTTAACTATTACTTCAAAGATCTTTTGCTACAATCAAAAAGGACAATGAAGACTCACCATGGTCTCTTGAAACTCGGCCCCGAGATAACCACTAGAGACACGGAACCGGTTGTCCAGTATCAGATAGTATGTCACCGTCCCCTAAGAAGACAGCAGGCGACAACAATTCAGTATCTTAGATATTTCCATGGAAAAATTTACCTTTGAATACAAAATTACAAAGATATGGCAAATGGACAAGAGGCTGATAGAAACCCATACATCATTCTGGGTCCGGTTGCGGAGGGATTCAATGAGGTGGTTTCTCTCAAATCCCATATTGATAACTTCTTGGAGAATCTCCTCGTCAATCTACAAATGAAGCCAGCGCTTTTACGCCTTTTCGAAAAAGGGAAACAGAGACAGTCTCTAATGAAAATAAGAGTAGATACGTTAGCTTTACCTTTTTCGCCTGCTGCACCGTATCTGGAGGAGGAACAGCTAAATACCTTGGAAGATGAGCTTGGAACCAAGGGTGTTGCCGGATCTCAGGAATGGTTACTCGTTTCATGGGGTCGACCACGAGCATCCGGGGAATCAAATCTCTAGCACCAGCAGACAAATGGCTAGGTAGAGTATATATCCCTCCCTAGAGGAAGAAAAGAGAAAAATGTAACTTCAAAACCCATATTTAAGCATTCTTTCAAAGATGTTAGAAAAAAGAAATGGAAAAAGAACAAAAAGGTCAAGTAACAGAACGTCTTTTGCAGTACCTTTATCTTCTTAAAAAGGTTGGGAATGTTTTCATCATCAAACGGTAGAGTCCCACAGAGAAGAGCGTACAGTATCACACCACAGCTCCAGACGTCTACTTCAGGGCCAGCATATAATTTGCCCGAAATGACCTGAAACAACTCACAGATCTCGATCATAACTGATCATTTGAAACGAGCCCTAATTATAGTGATCCTCAGATGCCTGAAGGTTAAAGCACATACCTCCGGAGCAGCATAATTTGGACTTCCACAACTTGTCTTCAAAAAATGACCATCTCGCATTATATTGCTCAGGCCGAAATCAGCAATCTTTACATTGCATTTCGAGTCTAAAAGCAAGTTTTCAGGCTTAAGGTCTCGATGAACAACCATATTCCGGTGGCAATATTCCACTCCCGATATTATCTACATCAAAGCCAAGTCACGGAAGTCTCAAATATACTGATAATTAAATGGGTTGTTTGGAAATTTACATGTTGATATAAGAAAACAAACCTGCTGAAAAAAGTTCCTCGCCTCGTCCTCCTGCAATCTACCCTTCTCTACAATATAGTCAAATAGCTCACCAGAGTTCACATATTCCATGACAAGATAGATATCTGTCGGAGTCTCTATGACCTCATAGAGACGGATAATGTGAGGATGCATAAACAGTCTCAAGATTTTGATCTCTCTCCTCACTGTATCAAAGAGAAAACAACACCAAATGATTTCAAGGAAATGAAGGTGAAAAAAAACTATATCCGACAGCATCGTAAAGTCATAATCGTCACAAAATCGTACCTTTCTCTTCCATCTCCATGTTCTTGATTTTGCGACGATTGAGGATTTTGATAGCAACTTTATGTCCTGTCAACGCGTGCTCAGCTATCTTCACCCTACCAAAGGAGCCAATACCAAGAGTCCTACCGAGCTTGTAATTTGGTAGAATCGATTCCACTCCACCTCTCCCACCTGATCCATCCATTTTCTACAGACACAAAAAAAAAAAAAGCCATTGCCCAAAAGAACTATATATTAGATCTACTACACAAGACACAAAACAAACTGCAAAGAGAATTATGATCGGAAACAAGTATTGTTTACAATATGAATATTCTGTAATCGATCGGTTGCAGAAAGAGTATTGGATACTAAATTTCATTCGTCACGAGAATTTTAGCGACAGTAGGAGCTTCATTGCGAGTTCAACAAAACATCAGTAGGTAATCGAATAAACCCTTTTCTATTCAACCCAAATTCCTGATTCTTGCTATTTCCACATTTCACCACTCAATTTCAACGTTTTCTATAAGAAGCGGGAGACGCCAAGTAGGACGAGAAAGAGACAAAGAATTAGAGAAGAAAACAAGTGAGAGAAACGTGCATGAAGATTTACACTAACAGAGCTTAAAATAGCAATTTCGACTATCCCCATTCGGAATAAAGAACCCTAATAATCCAATCGCCGGATATTGAGTAATGGATCTCTAATACCCGATAGAGAAATGACGATTTCAAGGACAATCAAACACACCCGATTTGCAAGTTAAAATTGTTTCCGAAATTAGAAGATTGAGATATCGAACTTACCAAAAGAGGCAGAGAATTGAGAACCAGAAATGCAGCAAGAAGACAAAAGCCCTAAATTTCTGAGCTTAAAAAACCAGAAAAGCAAAATTGAGATTCGAAATTGAAGATCCAGATCAGCTTAAACCCAGAATTTGAGAGATTCTCCTCTATTTCTCTCCCCTCTCGCTCTTCTCGTCGCGTGTAGCCTATAGGCGCATCAAAGAAAATTATTTGATTTTTTCTGTTTCCAAAAACGGGTTAATTGTAAATTAAATTGCCCTCAAAGTTACATTTAATTACGATGAATACCTCTATGCGGACGTGGCAAAGAGTCATCAACTTTCATCTTTTTGCAAAATATTCTCTGTTTAGCAAGACACTTGTAGTAATGATTAATCGTTACTGGTTAATTATCTAATAATTTACTTTATGAAAAAGGTACTGAGATGTTTACGTCTAAAATCGGTATACATAAGAAATAATGACAACAATTTTGAATGCATTCATTTTTTTTCCTTTCTCACAACTGTAAATAAATATAATACAAAACCGGTTTGATTCGCGGTTAAGCGCCAATGTACAAGACAACCCGTTTAGTAGGGTCGTTAAAGGGTCAAACCGGGTATAGCATTGCTTCAACATATAACAAGCAAACTTCAAAAGCTCAAGCAAAAGAGTTAAAGTTCTTTGAGTAGGTTTTTTCTCAGGCGCGATTTGAATGAAGAAGTGGACGATCTTCAGGTGAAATGTCCCGTGAGTATTGCGATGGAGAAAGCGCAGGATCACGATAAGCAACAACGAGTTTCGAATAGAATTCAGACATGTTTTGGTCACTCTCGTCTGCTCTGTCTTTGTTTACCAGACACTGCAGCAGGAAAACATATAAAGGTTATGAGAAGAATCTGTAATAACTTTATGCTGAGATTTATATATGAGACTGCAAAAGGTTCTTGTTCCGGGCTAAATCCAAAGGACTAGGATGAATTTGATTCAAAGTAGCCAGCTTTATGTTCCCAAACAGTTCTGAGGATAGAGCAATGATCTCTAAAGCATTTACCTCGGTAGGATAAGTTTTAAAATTTGGTAAGAAACGTCTCTGGCAGTAAATGCTGAAAAGGACAGTGAGAATCGGGAGGGGAATTGTTAAAGAAGATGCCAATGGAAGCTCTTTAAGCCCGAATAATCCGACTGCAATAATGTGCATTAGTACCAAAGAGAAGATAGTTGAGCTGTGTACTATTGGCCAAAATTTTCCACCGGTTTCATACTTAGCCTCATATACGTTTAGGAGCTGCAACACAAAAAGGACCCAAACAGTGAAGTTATTTACTACCACCAGGTTGTGATGAAACAATGGATTCATTAACGAATCAAATGACAAGAAAAGAAAATGGATTCTTGATGTAACGTTAGTGTCATGTCTTAAGCTCCAAACAGACTTTCGGTTTAAAGATGCTATTCGAGAATTTAGAAAAGGGTTTACACATAAAGTGAGATTCCATAGCAGAAAAGATGAGTAGTTGATTCACAGGTTATAGAGCAGATTCCTATACGGCTTTATCAGAGTTTTGAGGAGCATCAATGGAGAATATACTCAGCATTGTCCAAGAGAATACAATTGGAATCATTTAAGATTTTAAATTATTGGATACCCTCGACATAAAGAAACTGAAGAGTATGATTGGTTCCGTTACCTGGTTGCGGTAGATGACATATCCAAGACAAAAGTAGACCAACAAAAACGGCAGTATCAGTGGCGAAAGGAAGAAGTAAGTTGTACCGAGAAGTCCAAAAAAGAGAATCTTTGGTATTTCTTGGCAGAAGGGAGTCGAAGGGACCTCAAATTCTTTTTCATCTTCCTTGCAGAAAAGCTTTGTCATAAAACTCCAGAGAAGAGGAACCAAACGGAAGACCTCTGATGATAAACCAGTCCATCCAGAGGTCACAACATAAGATATAAAGAACGATGCCTGCACCAATGATTTAACATGATTCATGGTCCCAAAAAATTGAAACTGTGAAAACCTCAAAACTGGAATTTCTGTTTATTACCTGTGCTGGCACAGCTGCAGCAAGCACACGAGGAATATTCTTCGGTTCAAGGAACACATTAACGCGGTAAAGAGCAGATCCGGACAGTACATTTGCAAAGAAACTGTTCCATACGGTAAAGATTAGAAGCTTGATACATGCAGATTTCTCGATCTGGCTATGAGAAATGAATCCTTGCATTGAGGAAAGTAGAAGCATAATGGGTGGTACTATATAAAGGAAAAGCTGGAAAATTAGACTCGGAAGATATCCTGTAATCACTTGACTCACAACTTTCCTGCAAATTATATATAAGAAACAGAGATTAGACCTTCTTGTGGTTGGTTCAATTGTAAAAAAGAACCCATGTTTATCTGAATAGGGTTTTACTCACATATTTAGTATGCTTTTCAGAAAAGGGAACCATGTTTCTAACTGGTGAAGATTAGCAAGACCTTGAACCAATACAACAGGCACAATGTATAGGATTATCAGAGCTACAAAAGCCACGAATACCACCACATTGGAGATCCATCTTCTCACAAACGATGCGGTGAAAAATGGCCAGTGAACATCTTTAGGCTCCGGGGCTGTCTCAGTTAGCCATTGTGTAGGATCTATTCCTTGCTGAATGTTTAATGCTATTGCAGCACCATGTCTTGTCCTAAAGGAAACGAAAGCGGCTGGGACTTCCTAAAAGGGTTGCCGAAAAAAATAAACACAGGAATATATATGTTGAAGCATGCACTTAATTACACAAAGAAAAATTATCACCTCTCCTGCTAATAAAGACTGTTTCAATCTCATGTCATTTTCTAACTTCTCGAGCTTTTGTTCGTAATGGTCAACCACATCAACTTTCCTCCCAAATATCCCTAAAAACCCGTCCCGCCTAGACTTTTGGCGAGATATGCTTCCGGATTTTACTCGAGTAAGTTTCTTGTATAGCTTCTCAGCATCATTCTGAAAGTGCTAACGAATATATGAGATCCAGAAATATAAAAATTTAAGGCATTACAGAAACCTTAGTTGATAGAAGCTTTACCATGAGAATCTTTAACTTGTCTGTCCGATGAACCACTACATGAGAAAGATACGTGGAAGAATGATACTCCCTGAAAAACCTCTCCACTGTTTCACTTATACTGTTTCCAGACACAATAGGGACTCCACTGACCAGAACCGTAAATTCTTGTGGCTGAGGCTTGGATGAATAAAGATGAGCAATCCGCTTTGATGAAATGTACTTGTGCTCCTGAAAATTTACTCGAAACATTGTTGTATGTTCCCATTTAAGCACGAAGGAGCAGGACGAATGGACAAAACAAAAGGCTTCTTACATAGTAAAGCAGAGAGCAAACAACTGCCGTGAAGATGTATATTGCACAAAAATGGATCCACATCCTGAAGCAAAACACAAACAAGTATAAGAAATTGGTTAAGGATGATAAGAAGCTCGGGACTCTGTTTAGGCATGGCTTCAATATCTTACTTATTTGATCCATCGTTAACGTTAGAAATGCTGAAGGAATCTAGAGACTTCTTTGGCAGGTCGAAAAACTCTTCAAACTCAGTACCCATATAATTTACCGGAAGAAGGATGAAGATTCCAACCACAGAAGCAAAGCTAAATACTCGTATACTGCCAAGAGAAATACCGTTAAAGTTTCACACCAAAAAAAAAAAAAAAATTCAAACTTTAAGCAAATACTCAATGAAAGAATCACCTGAAGACGAAAACACGAGTGAAGACCAAAGCATCTAAGCCAAGATTCGAGAGGATTTCTTCATTGGTAGGTTCCAATGCTCTTTTGACCCAACCTGCTGTAGGCAAAAGCCTCTCGAGGTTGAATGCATTGGACTGTTGAGATTTGCCTTGTTGAATAAGCCGTGGACCGTAGACAGTGACATTACCAGGCTGCTTTCTCAATATTGAATACAAAGTGAAAAACAGAAAACAAAGCCCGAGATTGATTCCCACTGATGTTAAAAGTGCTGATAGAATCATAACTCCCAAGAATGGGCGCTCCTAAACCAAAAACAGGATTGATTGGTTTCAGCCTAACCAAGAGAAGCCTGGTAATAAAAACACAAATTGATTGTCAGGAGTTACATAGGATCAAAGTGCAATAGACTCTGCATTTTAAATGAAATCAAACACAACATCGATCATAATCATTGCAAAATCAAGAAGATATGTGAAATATCGACGCAGAATAACAAACGAATTCATAACTGAGGAGCATGGAGAGTAGGCTAAACCGAGTTAGGAACTGAAAAAATTACCACAAAAACCAGAAGCAATGTATGAGATCGAAAAGCTACTAATAAACGTTTTCTAATATTGATCAGATAGAAAACATTCCAAAAGGCTGAAGCTTTTTGATCACACAAACCGTAGGGGAAAAAAGCAAATAAGAGAAACCAAAGAAAAAGATCGAACCTTTGGCATGAACCAGTCAAGGCGGTGTTCTTTCTTCAGCTCTGATCATACATAAATAGGTCCTTAACGCGACACGATACCAATTTCTTGATTTCTCCATTAATTTACCCAAATCGGATAATTTTGCGTCGGTATTCAAAAACAAAAAGGATTGGCTATTGATAAATGTTACTTTGGGTCCGGAAATACTCGCTGGACAGCACATGGATTTGAGCAATTAAATTAAATATAGTACAAGATTTGATAAATTAGTCCTTTTTTATGTCACTAAATATAACTATGAAAATGATGAGATCGTAGTATAACTAATGGGCCTATAAAAGGGATCCTTACTAATGGCCCATTAATAATATCCCAAAAACTCGGATTATCTTTTTGTTTCATCAGTAATGACGATCTCCAATCATCCAATATCCAACAGAATTGGTAGAAAAAGAATGAGATTATCCCTAGACTTCGCTCGAAATATATGAGTGCTATGTTCGATAAAATGTTTTCGCCAAAGAGAGACACAACATTTGAGGGTTGCTCTTTTTTCCCTGTAGAAATTTTCAGAATTAAAAGAGGGAATAAAAAAACGAAAGGCATTTGAGAATGCCTCTAATGTTGAATCGACAAACTTGGAAGAAGCAGAGAAGATTGGGGTGAGTCATGACCAATGTTCGAATCCCTGACCTTGTGGTTTCGAACATAAGCATTCTGACCACAGGGATGGTCACATTAGTCGCTCACATGAAGACTGCTTTTTTATTTAACCTCTAAAAGACGGAGGCCTCTTTTTTTTTTATAAAAAAAAACGGAGCATTCGTGAGCCCAACAAACATAAATTTCAACGATTATTTCGAAAATGGTAAATGTCGCGGAACAATAGTTCAAAGACATTATTACTGATACTGAAACAGGGAGAGTTAAAAAAAAAAAAAAAAAAGGACAAGGAAACAGAGAAGACAAAGATCACATAAACGACAGCGTTTGGGGTGAAAGATTGCAGTTTCAGATGGCTTCGAGAGCTTGAAGAACGTCAGCTTTGACATCTTCAAAGTCTTCAACTCCAAAGCTGAAACGAACCAAGTTGTCTTTGATTCCATACTTTAGCCTCTCCTCTTGCGTCAGATCCCTAATATTCAACCACCCACCCAAGTTCAAATTAGTTTAGACCACAAATCGGAAAATCTGATAGATTTTGTTAGTCATACATACCAGTAGGACATTATGGCAGGTTGGTCCACGATGCTTTCACAGCCACCAAATGATGGTGCGATGTAAGGAATCTTGAGAGAATCCACAAACTTGATCGTAGTTTCAATGTCTCCATCAATCTACCAGAGAAATATATATCACCGTTGTGAGGATCATTTTTACTCTTAGTTTGAAGCTTAATCTTTACGTAGAGAGTGATTAATCATTACCTCGAAACTGACCACACCTCCAAAACCAGTCATTTGTCGCTTGGCGATGTGATGCTCGGGATGACTTGCAAGGCCTGGATAGTATACATGACTCACCTGCAAATCATAACGCACTGATTCTTATTATGTCGTGTCAAGAAATTTCCTCAACAAGTAAGTAGCCGCAAGGAATATTGCATACCTTAGGATGTGCCTCTAAAACTTCGGCCATCCTTGAGGCAGTGGAGTTCTGTTGCTGTACACGAAGATGCATTGTCTTCATGCCTCGGATGATTAGGTACGCTGCGTTCTGTTAAAAGACGTTTTATAAGATTCTTGAAATAAAGGCATGCATAAGAAGAGAGATTCATGAGATGGTCAGGTGTTTCACCGGGTTCAGTGTGCCTCCCAACACATGATGCAGATTGCGAATTTCTGAAATCACCTTCAGTGAGCCACAGATGCATCCGGCAAGAACCTAAGGCAACGAGAAACCATCTTTGTAAATAAACTATATAACCAACGAGAGCAATATTCGATGTTTTACAATAGTTGCAACATTTTGTACTCACATCGTTGTGTCCTCCGATGTACTTTGTAGCAGAGTGCACGACAAGATCAGCACCAAGAGCAAGGGCTTTCTGATTCAGAGGTGTTGCAAAGGTGCCATCGATGCAAACAAGAGTTCCCCTTTTGTGGCATATTTCTGAAACTAGCTCAATGTCGACACATCTAAGGAATGGGTTTGTCGGGGACTCAGTGAAGAACAGAGAAACCTGTAGACCGGTTGAATGAAGCTATCAGACCAACTATTTTTCCAGTTCTAAGAAAGAATATGAATGCCTAATATGCTACAAAACTGACTTTATACTTATTCACAGCAGCTTCAAGCCCAGCGATATCAGCAGGATCAATCACAGTGACCTGCACATAAACATGATATTAATCATTCAAGTTATGGATCTCTTCTACAATTTCAATAATTAGAGAAACTGGAAATGACAAAAGGAAGATTCTTACGGTGATCCCCAACTTGGGAAGAAAATTCTCCATGAAAATTCTTGTCTTCCTGTAGCAATCTGTGGTTGTCACAATGTGTCCACCAGCAGGAACCAATGCCAAAAGCATCACAGTGCTTGCACACATCCCAGATGCCATAACCAAGGTTGATTCGGCACCTTCAAGTGCACTGCACAACATATATAAATTAATTAACAAAATTAACAGCATTAACAACATAATCCTCCGGAGAAAAAGAAAATAAAGCCAAGCATAAAAGACATCATCATTAAGATAATTATAATAATAACCTGATCTTCTCCTCAAGTACCACAGTCGTAGGGTTTCCATAACGACCATACTCGAAACTTACACTCCGTTTCTCCTGCAAGAATTCGAGTGATTGAACAGAAAAAGTCAATGATCTTGTCAATGTAATCTTTCAAACCTTATTCTAATCAAACTAGGTGATTATTATTCCATAAAAGCAACAGAATCGATCAACGACATAAACAAACGCACCTTGAAGTCAATAAGCTCAGCAGTTTTCTTGAAGAAGTAGGCAGATGTGTTGACTACAGGAGTAGTGATAGCATCCGTGACTATACCACGACCCAATCTTTCACCTATTGAAAATCATAAACCCACGAGACTTGTTATCTCAATTGAAAATGATTCGTAGCAGACAGAAAACAGGAAATGATTGCAGAAATGAAAGAGGAGGGCAATGGATCTAGCTAATGACGTACCAGCATGAACAGTCAAGCTCCCATCGGAGCTCAAAAATGAGGGTTTCGAACCCGTCAGATCCTTCAACTGTACACTACCTATCTCCCTTATCCCCTCGGCTGCGGCAACCACAACCTCCTCATCGACGCCATTCAGCGCGACGGGAGGAACGGTAACCGCCGGGGCGGAGGCGGCGGCGGCGGCAGAAGAGGCTGCGGCTGCAGCTGCGGAGGAAGAAACCGCAGGAGCAGACGAGGCAGCCGCCGCCGCCGTCGATGGTAACCCGGAGGCAGGGTTGTTGGACCACTTAGCCGCCACGATCTGCGCAACACCGATGTTGCTACAGTTTCTGCGGGCTTTGATACTCAGCTGACGGACGAAATTAGGCGGAAATCTCAAGATCATTGAGGATATCCGACCGTCGCCGGTGAATGACGACGACATACCGGCGGTGGCATTGAAACGGCGGCGAGATGATCCTCCGATCGGAGAACCGACGAGATCTGGATCAGAACGGCATTGGAAGCTGGGGATGGAGGTTGAGGAGAAGATCGTAGGGCACTGGAACGACGAGACGGCCATTTTCTCTTCTCTCTTCTCTCTTCTCTTCTCTCTTCTCTCTCTCTCAATGGGGTTTGGTTAGGTGCGTGAGGGCTTTCTCCTTGGGCGGGTGTTTAAGAAGCCAAATTGCTTTGTCGTTTTGCGTTTCGGTGACTTAACCACTCCTTGGGTTTAGATTAACTTAACCAAATTCCAGACTAAACCACGGTTTTCGTTCTAAAATGTTTTCTAATTTTTTACATTACAGAAATAGAATACGTTTTTTTGGCATATTTTATCTATTTGTTAATTTTGACAGAGGATGAATTTCTGTCAAAGTATATTTCTTGGAATTGGATTAGTGAGTTGGATCATTAAAATTGTTATACATGCATGTTGAAAATTTTGCTTAAGAGATAGAATCTTATATTTTCATTGCTAGTGGTGACTGATTACATGATAAATATTTCCAACATATCGCTCTATTCAAACTATTTAGTATCTTTCAATTGATTCCAAATATTATAATCCTACATAGTATTTACATAGTATTTAAGAGATATGATGAATGTGTCGCAAAAATTATAAGAATTCTTTTTTCTAAATCTAATAAACAATTTACTAAAATGAACATTAGGATATTTGTTGTACCTCTAACTAATTAGCTGGCAAAACCAATTTTGGTATATTTTTTTGGCTAATACATCTTTTTTTAAGCTTGTAGTCTTCAAATAGAAGATACATATGTTTATATTTGCCATAAAATTGTTAAAAGTGCAACTAATCCAAGTCTAAGCATTATACAGTATATTTAGAAGTTAAACATAACGGGAAACACAGGAATATCTTTGTTTACCAAAGCTGACTTGAAACAAAATTCAAAGATGCATCTAATTAGATCTTTGTGTTTAATTGTATTCTGTTTAGCAACTGTGCCAACAATATAAAAAGTAAACGTGAAAATAAGTCCACTAGAATGTCTGGGTCCAACGTTTTTTACAAGATCATCCCGCTTCAAAGCTTCGGGTGGTGCATAATATGGAAATTTAATATATCAGAGGGGAAAAGGTTAAAAATATATGATAAAAACTGATTTAGCTGATATTGACTAAAAGAAGAAAAAAAACACAATTTATTCCTCAAAAAAAAAAATCAGAATTTATCAACGTATAATCCGGAAAAAAACACACAGTTATACCTCTTTTCATTTAAGAAGTTAGGATATTAATCGAAAATAACAGAAAAAAAAAGATTAATAGACATCATCACATCAATCACTTTCTTAACCCTGAGCTTGATAAAGGTCACCGAGTAATTTAGACAAACTTGTATTGAGGTTATTTACGGAAATACCACTTCGAAATTGTGAACGTGCGTTTTGGGACATGCGGGTAGGTCGCGTTGCTTTGATTATGGATTTGGGTTAAGATTTAATTTATCTTTTTTTATATAAAAAATGTGATGTAGGGTATGGAGCACTATAATATTTTGTGTAACTCGTATGATTGACTTTGATTATGAGGATTTAATACAGATTTAAGACATATAACTTCCTCCTGGTATAAAAGGATCTTCTATTACTAGTCAATAGTAATTAAAGATTTGATTTGATATATCTACTCAAATAATTTCAATCCAAAATTTGAATCGCATACAATGTCTACACCTCTAGTTGATGATAGCCAATGGACCACAAAAGTCTTTTTTGAAACGATATTTCTTTATATATATGAAAAGCATACAAATTATTCTTTAAGTTATCATCCATCCAATGAAGAAAGCACCAGCAACTAAATTAATCGAAAATACGTGGCCCACTGAATGTTGATGAACATAACAGTAGTCTTGTCTTTGAGTCATATTTTGATATAGGTGTCCAAAATACATTAAAATATACTAAAGATAGGAATTCTTTAAGATAAGAAATCAAATAACAGCTTATATATTGCAATTAGTAATGTTAGTTAGGTAGGCACCCGAATCTGATTATTACTTCAACTAGTGAAAGATCGGATAGTGATTGATGCGAGTCTCAAATTTGGAGTATTAAATTATATATCCAAATTCATTATTCGTAAAAGCATAATGACCGATTCATATCCAAAACATGAATCCTTTAAGAAGAAAAAAAAAGTAACAAAACATGAATATGATTTATCGGAATACGATGGGAATCAGCTTGGTTTCTGTTAAATTGTAGAAAATGCAAGAGTAGAAAGAAGGCATTTAAGGATGCCTCGTTTGTTGTGAGAGATCTCATCACAGTCAAGAGTCAGAGACATGATGGTCGAAGCCACGACCTTGAGTTTTCAAACACAGAGTATTCTTACCACAAAGCCATAATCATCGGTCCTCTGGAAATAGACAACTACTTGATTTAACTCTACATCGGGGGATATAAAATCTTTCTTTTTTTCCGTTGGTGTTTCTCAAGAGTTAAAATACAAATCGGATATTTTAAGCAATAATAATTTGAAAGCATTTTGTGTGTGTGGTGTGGATGTACTGAAGTTTCAAAAAAGGTTTGTATACAAAGCTCGTTGAGTTTTTGGATAATGCTTTTCGGTTTGGACTAAATCCGGTCTGGTCAGGTTGAACAGAAGATTGACCAGTATTGACACCCCTTCTGATTACATAAATGCGGTTGTTAAGAGTTAAGAAACTTAATTAGAATCGCTAATTTAGGGCAGTAAAATCAATCAATGATAACTATCTACTAGACTATTAACAATTTTCGATTGCATAATCAATCTGGTTAAAATGAAAAGCGGATGGTGTTTATTGAACAGAAGAGCACCAAAATGGAACTCGGGTTTAAACCAAAATGGTATATAATTTTTGCTTTTTCAGATAAAAGGTTTTGCTCTTCTTCGTCAAGGGAAAAGAAAACAGAAAAATCGAGAAAATGTCACCGAGGGAGATATAGTTCATGACGTAAGAGCTACATCTGGAGATAACAGTCACTTGGCTTCATCTTCTTATTGGAGAAGGGAGAGGAAGAGTTGGTTTAGTGATGAGCCTTGGCTTCTGCCTTCATCTGTGAGTTCTTCTTTATCTGCATAAAGATAGATCATTTGTTAGTACCACTTGACAATTCACATCATAGAAAGATAAAAGATACAACTTGTCGGCTGAATAGTAAATGTGCAGAGGTAACGAAAAGGAAGAAAGGAGAATTGCTCTCTAAACAATGGAATGCTCTTAAACGGAAGCAATAGACATGTATAAGTATCTTGTTAGGGTTTAGAAGCTAGACTTATACTCATTATCTTAGACTTCAAAAAGAAAATAGATACATTGCAGTAGTAAACAAAGTTCAATCAATGAGAAAACCAAGCTGAATATGATCATTCAATGGAGTAAGCGATAAGAACTCATGCATAATCATTGGACTAGTAGATACTTGCAAATAGATGACCTTAAAAAAGGAGTAAAGTGACGTCAATTTAGGTCTCTAATTAGATAAACTATCATTCAAAGCTACAATATATATGATTCGATCGAGAGAGAATGTGATGTCCCCATCAATTCAAAAGCCACAATCTTTCATTGTACTGTGATGGAAAATATCGGCATCATGATGTTGAAACCCTTTTTTAGACATTAACAACAGATCATAGGTTCTCTCAGTATTTACGAACAAAAACTGATTCGAAAAATTTGATTCATTAAAAAAACAAGACAAGGAAGATAGAGATGTACCTTCAAAGCCTTGAGCTTCACGTTCCCATAGATGAGACCCAGCCCGAAAGCTGAAGCACGAGCCACCTGATCGATAGAGAAGACGATGATGAACTCAAATCCAAAATTCGACAACTGAAGACGAGTTAAAGATACAGATCGAGAAAAGATTGATACCAGAGCAAGAGTGCTGCTACCGGAGTAAAGTCCTGCAGGCGGCGCCATTGATCAGATCAGATAATTAGCAGCTCGTCGGGAGAGAAAAACCCTAACCCCAAAATCGATCGAATCTTCCGAAGTCTCAGATTCGCGAGTAGAATGAAAGAACAGTCTTTCCTTGTCTCCGTCTTCTCTGAAAGGTATCACTGGGCTTAATATGGGCCTTATCAATGGAATACCGTAGCCCCATTTTTGAGAGCCTTATTACGCCCCTGTTCTTTTTTTTTTTTCTTTTCTTTTTCTTCTTCTTGTACGCTGAAATCTGTATGCAAATTAACCAATTTCAGTTTCGTAATGTAATTTAGTTTTTTACAGAGTAATAAATTAAATCTATTTATTAATAAGAAAATCACATGCAACTACCTATCATTTAATCTGTTTCTTTTATTCGAAACTAGATTTTTATCCGTGCATCCGCACATAAATTTTATCTTTTTACCAATCATATTTCTTAATATAGTTTGTACTTTTTTATCGATATAATTTTTTTAACAAATGATACAAATTTATATTTAATTTTGTGTTTATATATATTTTGTTTTTTAGATTTATTTTTTCTACGACAAAAAAAGATTTATTTTTCTAGTATTAATATGACCATAATTATAAAAAAATTCATCTATGAAAAACTGAGTGAGAAAATAAATCAACAAAGACAAAATATATCAATGAATACCAAAAATAACTCAACAAAAACAAAAATTAAGTCAGTAGAAACAAAATAAAACAACGAAAACAAAATAAATTAACAAAAACAAAATAAATTAACGAAGATAAAATAAATCAATGAATACCCAAAATAACTCAACGAAGACCGAAAATAACTTAATAGAGACAAAATAAATCAACAGAGACATAATAAATCAACTAAAACAAAATAAATCAACAAAAACCATACAAAATTTAACAAAGATAAAATAAGTCAAGATAAACTAAATCAACGGAGATAAAATAAATCAACGAAGACAAAATAAATTAACAAAAATAAAAAATAACTCAACAAATAAAAAATAAGTCAACAGAGACAAAATAAGTCAACGGATACAAAATAAATAAATGAAAACAAAAGTAACTCAACAAAGACAAAATAAGCCAACGGAGATAAAATAAGTCAAATAAAAACAAAATAAATCAATGAAAACAAAATAAGTCAACGAAGATAAAATAAATCAATAAAAATAAAATAAATTAACGAAAATAAAATAAATTAACGAATACAAAATAAGTCAATATAGACAAAGCAGTCCATATATTGAATTTAGACAAAAATAAATTAATATAGATAAAAATATATTTCTAATTCGTCTATTTTATAAATTCAAAAAGAACAATGTTTATAATAATATAATATAAAGTGTAAATAATTCGAAATGGATTTGCTACCATTCAATTATTCTAATGAGTAATTGCCAAAATGTGGAATATAATATAATAAACATATGTATTTTTTTTGGTTGGGTTTAAAAGGTTATTTTCATGAAATTTCATCTTAATACCAGAATATATTAAAAAAAAATGAAAAGATAAGGCTATCGACAATAACAAACTGAGAATTTTAAAATGTTTGAAGAAATCACTGTGAACCCTTAGATCAGAACATCGTTGGGGAATCGGACGGTGAGGAATCCACCAAGTTGAGGATGCTATTCCAGTAGTTCTTGTTATCCTCATAGTAGCTATAGTCACTCCCGTTGGCCGCGACCGCTCCGGTGACGGAGGCGGAGAAACCCCGACCGATTGAATCAGCGAGCAGTAAGCTCGTGAATCCTTCTTCGAATCCTTCTGTCTGACTGTTGATTTGCCTCATCCAGTCGTGTTCGGAATCTTTGACCAAAGTCGCACCGGAGGAGGTGGAAGAAGTGACGGCCAATTCAACCATATTCGCAGGAATTCCTGAGGATTCGTTATTGTTTTCTCTGTTGATTGACTTGATTCTGTTTTCCGTTGGTTCCATTCCTAAAGGCCTAGTCACGAGAGGGAGATTCTCGGAGGATGTCACCGTCGATGTCGGGGATTCAAGCTGTTGATCTCCGTTTCCTGTCAAAGTTTCTATTTTCATGCATGAACAAATCAACTCTACACATAAATTCGAGTTTTCAAGACCAGTCTCTCTTACCATCGTTTGGTTTTGTCCAATTTGCTGGTGTTTTGTGAGTGAAGCACTGTTTGTCAAGGTTGTTGTTGTTATTGTTTTGGTAATGCTGTAAATGGAGAAGCTTTGATTCTCTAGCTAGCCTTGCTTCAGCTTCGAGCCGAGCACTCTCCCATTGAGCCATGTGGCTAAGCGTGGCTGCATTCTTGGATTGACCCGTGGGAGACAAAAGAGTTTCGTTTTTGTGTTTGTGAGTCACTGGATCTATCCCCATTTTAACCAGTCGTTTCTTCAAGTGTGTGTTCCAGTAGTTCTTGATCTCGTTGTCTGTCCTTTTTGCTAAATGAGTTGCAATTGCTGACCACCTATGAAAATCAGGACACAACACAACACAACAGAGACCGATTTTGGTTTAAAAGCAATTACAAAAGACAGGCCTTTTGGTGGTTGTTTCAGAGATTTTTTTGACCTGTTTCCGAGGAGAGCGTGAAGTTGAATGATGGTTTGTTCTTCTTGTACAGTGAATTTGCCTCTTTTGATGTCAGGTCTAAGGTAATTAGTCCATCTGAGCCTACAACTCTTTCCGCACCTTTGAAGACCTATTATAATGTAGGAGTTGAAGAAGGTTTGAGTAGAGATAGAAGAAGAAGAAGGAAGGAAGTGTGGAAGCAGAAAATGTGGGAGTTACCGGCTTTCTCAGGCAGAGAGCGCCAGCTTCCATGGCCATGGTCTTCAATGTAAGCCAAAAGTTTCTGATCCTCTTCTGGTGTCCAAGGCCCTTTCTTTAACCCAGCCTTATCACAGCACGGCGATCTTCCCATTATTTACCACACAATTAGGCTTATCTACTTTGGAGACAAGGCTTCTTTTTCAACAACAAAAATATCTTCAATCTGACCATCCACGGTGTAATGTAATGTAATGTATGAGGTAGTAGTCATTACATGATCATGATAATCACAAAAACTGCTCTCTTGACTTAAGTCTGATTTATAGAGGGAGAGACACAACAGAGGATGTCTCTGTTTAGGTTCTGTAAGCGCCCGGTCTTTGACATGGATTGGTATTCAATTAGATGGGGCCGAGAGAAATTATTACCTTTGTGGTTCCAACACCTTGATTTCCTTTTAAAGACTCAGCAGAGTCCCCAAAAAAGTAGCCATCTTTACATAAGGTAAAACGGTTAATTTCACAACCAGGAGTAAGTTTTCGGGTAGCCCTCACTTTGATAACCGTCTAACTTAGAGAAGAAATGTTCTCTTCATCGCACTTAAACAAAAACCTGTGGTCCATTCAAATCTTTGGCATTTAAACCATCCTTTGTTATTTTCCAGGCAGCTTTCTCGCCTCAAGGTTTGCTTATCTACACTCTCTGATACCTACAATGCCTTCATCGTGTAATCAAAACCCATTTAAACTTAGCTATTAAATCTTACTCACTAAATCTCAATACCTTTAACTTACACTAGGGTCAAAAAGTTGCTCAAGGTTTCTTATTACAGGTAGCCTAATAAGGTCTGGTTTCTTGAATGCTACAAAGTTCTTATTGTTGTTTTCTCTCTCTTAGCCATAACTAGTTACCCTAAGTAAGTTACACTTCTTTATCAAAAACGTGTTTATTGATTTCTATCTTTCACAAATTTGTTAGCTTTTACTAGAAACTCCACAGTAGTAAATGCCGTTAAATGGCGGTGATGCAGAGGAAGCTGGCACTATAATGGGAAAAGCAAATCAGATAGAGAGGCTTGATGATATTTGGAGTAACTTAGAGCAAAAAAAGTCTTTACGATTTATATTTAGAAGGAGAAAAAAATAAAGGAATGCAAAGTAGTTGCAAGTAATTAATTGGTTGTCTATGATGGCATTATCATAGACTTCTTCTTTATTCAATTAATAATCATTGCTCCGCAAATGGTAAAATTCTAGCAACGATAATATGTCAACACACTTACACTAAATGGTCATCCTCTCTCTAAAGATTTAGATAGAAAAAAAACTACATATGACCGCCGTAAATCAATTTAGAAATTCTACAGTGTTGTTGCAAGCCACTGTAAATTTGGAAGAGAGTCTAACCTTATAAATGAACACATTTGTGGTGGGGAGCAAGAAGAAAGGAGATGAAAAACCTTTCCTTGTGTGATTCCTTCACCATTTAATGAAAGTCCCGCTAGCTGATGCACTGTTCTTGGTGTCAACTCATCAGAAAGATCTATTTTTTCACAAAGATAAACAAATATTGACAATGAATGATGAAAAGCATCCAGAAACTTAACCATCAAATAGCTATCATTTAACCAGAAGCATATCACAAAAGCTACACAAAAATTTTGATTTCTGCAACTACATGTCTCATCAATCTTGCTGGAAACCGATTAATTATGATTAACTCAGAATCTATACCTTATTTCTCAACTGTTCATCTTTGAGTTTAAATCATATCTGGTTTGGATAGTTTACAGGTGATCAAATGTTGTCGACAAAGGTAACTTTTGCTGCCAAGAAAGGTAGACTATTAATGGCGGTGACGGTGACATTAAAGAGATTTTACTAGACCAAACTGAGAAAGAGTATCCTAGTGTATTCCATGGCAGCAAAGAAGGATTTATTGAGGTGGGCTCCAAGATTGTAGGTAGAGAAGAAAGTATCTTCATCGACTCAAAGATGAACCATAAGACAAAATCATATAGGCCCAAAAGGATGGATTCTACAATAAAAAACAAAAAGAAAAGCAATTCATTCTTTTATCAAAAACAAACACACCAGAAACTGGGGGGAAAAAATCATATTGGCTCAAAGATGTAAAGGACAATGGGGACAACTCTTTAAATGTCTTGCTGATTTCATATTGCCAGCTTCTAGTCCTTATGGTCCTCCAAACAGTTCTCAGTGAGATTCATAGACGATGATGATGCCACTTGTCACAATCACATCCATCCACGTAGCTGAACTCCCCTACAAATTTTTTTTTTTTGAGAGAAGTAAGAAAGCCAAGAAGAGTGGCCAAAGCTTTTAAAGTCAACTGATAACCAATTTCTTTTCGTCATCATCAGTTTTTTTTAACCATAATTAATTGAATACCATCATAGTTTCTTACACTTCCACATCAATGGTCCGAGTATTTTGCATTGATGTGCTCCTTCTATCGAAAAGAAAAAGAAGTCACACGCATGCAGATTTAGCAGGAGAACAACAAGTCACACAAATGAAAAACCACATTAATGCTCCAAGTCTTTTACCTCTAACTGATCTAAATTTGTTTTATGGAAAACACTTCTAGACTGGCTTAGTTATTACTTAACTCAAAACATACAAATACAGAGCCGGTTCCATCTGTTCCCAACTTCAGTAACCTGTCACTGGATCTAGACATTTCTTTGTCCATTGAATGGAGAGGCTTTTTAGATTATTCCCATTTCTCCTAATGGTAGTAAGAAGATGGAAACAATGCAAAAAGGAAGCCATTCTGCTATCTTTTAGGAGTTAAATAGAAGTAACAATAACTCACCATTGTCTAAACCCAAACTTGCTTATTCTCAGTTAAATTTGCCTTTCAACGCTCTATCTTGGGCAAGACACGACCAAAATCATCCAACTAAAAGTAAAACAAGAGAAAAATAAAAGGAAAGAAACCAAACAATACAACTTTTTCATCATAACCACAGTAGGCCAAGCATAGGGATTATGTGAGAGAACTTATATGGCAAGAAACAAGCCACGCAAATTAGAAAGAGACTAGAGCAAACGTAGTACAGTGTTAAAGACTCTAGTTAATAATACAATTAAACCAGTTATTAATGTATGAGTCACTTCACAAACAGTAGAGACTATTGAGACCCTCTCGACCAAGACTTAAGGATATGAGATTTAACTGACTGTTAGCTCATGTAGGGCCAAGAAACAGAGTCCCGATTCCTCTGTGACCTTATTAACTTGTGTTTTGCTTTTTCAGGTTTGATTTAGAATTTTCTTTAAAAGAGTAGAATTAAATCATCTCGCAGTAAGTTATGCTCAAACCTTTCATGACTATCTTTAGCAACACATAACCAAATCATTCAAAAAGTCAACAAAAGAAGAAGGACCCAAACAACACAACTTTCATTCAAGTCACAGTAGATCATTGGAAGATTGATAAAAATGGCTTGTGATTTCTTTCAAGGGCCCAATTTCCTGAAGATTATTGGGCCCTTGATACAGAGTCAAGTGTACTAAGTGGGCTTATAAACTTTTTTTTTCGTCGCATCAATCATAAATTAAATCATTTTTGGGGACCGATTTGCAAATTTGCGTGATATACTTATTAGCTGTATAGTTCCGATCACAATTCAGCTCAGAGAGAATCGAATCGAGGGCCGTTTTCGCGTCGGCCTTTGCTCTGTGTGATTGTTTTACAAAATCGGACAAAGTATTTATAAACGCCTTACCGGAGATGTCGAGCTCAGGCCAAACCCAGTTTCGCTATACGCAGACGCCGTCGAAGGTGGTGCACCTGCGGAATCTTCCATGGGAATGCGTGGAAGATGAGCTCATCGACCTTTGCAAACGATTCGGCAAGATCGTCAATACCAAGAGCAATGTCGGCGCCAATCGCAATCAAGCCTTCGTCGAATTTGTGAGTTTCGTTTATTAATTCCCCTTTACCCAATTTCTAGTTCCTGGGTTTTGGTTCCGAAATGATAAAGTAGATATTGGAACTGCTTTCTGGTTGAAATTGAAGCCCTTAAGCAGAAAAAAATATACATAAACGTATATTCGGAGTTTCCCTCAACTGTAGTACCTCACCTGGAATCATCACCATGTCCAATAGATTTCTGAAGCTTTAAGTTTTGAAAATCTATGGTTGACTCTTCTTCTAGCTTCTAATTCCTTGCCCTTTTCGCATTTTTGCATGTCGTTTTGGCCACGCCTCTTGACGAACAATTAACTTGCTTTACAGGCTGACTTGAATCAGGCCATATCAATGGTTTCGTATTATGCTTCATCTTCAGAGCCCGCACAGATTCGGGGAAAAACTGTTTATATTCAGTACTCGAATCGGCATGAAATAGTAAACAATCAGAGTCCTGGAGATGTCCCTGGAAATGTCCTTTTGGTTACCTTTGAGGGAGTGGAATCTCACGAAGTGAGCATCGATGTGATCCATCTGGTAAGTTCATTAAGCTGATTTTTACTTCCCAAGGGACTCCGAGTGTGACCTTCTTTCAGTGATTTTTTTTTTTTGGTCAATGAGTATCTTGTCGTTGGGAATTGGTTCTATTTTATACAACTTGAGATTGATGGTTACACATGGGTGAGGCAAATACATGAGACAGTGTGTTGTGCTTCGAGCAGATGAATATATAAAAAGATCTCAACTTGATATTAAGCAAACTTCTTTTAGTAGCTTTTACTTAGACATACTATTCCAATTACAATATATCAACATTAATGAAATGCTCGAATCACAGATGTTGATGCCTCTTTATTAAAATCTTTCTGGAGAGAGTTTGGAAATAGTATCGTGTTCGTCATTCTCCTATCTATGGTCTATCGTGCCCATAAGTGGACAGGTGTCACTCTGTACTCATCTGGGCTTCTCTTTTTTAGTCCCCATCCGGGAACATTTGAGTTTCTTTAGACCGATTTGGTTCCCTTAGTTGCTCTCCTTCCACTGTATTATGGTCACGACTCATATCTGGTCTTATTGTTTGTTTCAGGTATTTTCTGCCTTTGGATTCGTCCACAAAATTGCCACATTTGAGAAAGCTGCTGGTTTCCAGGTTAGATATCGAGATTTGTTTCAGTCTTGCTTTATGTAGAGAATGAAATGATGTTAAACTTATTATCTGCCTTTCATAACCTGCCAGGCACTAGTTCAGTTTAGTGATGTGGAGACTGCATCAGCGGCAAGGAATGCGCTGGATGGCAGAAGTATACCCAGGCATGCTCAAAACTCTTTATTTATGCCTTCGAACCCTGCGTTCACGCCTAAAGATATAGCTCTATTGATGATTTGTTTCGTTTGTGAAACATTAAAATTCAGATATCTGCTTCCAGAACATGTTGGCTCTTGCAATTTGCGAATGTCTTATTCAGCTCATACTGATCTAAATATCAAGTTTCAGTCCCACCGTAGCAGGTAGAGTTTTGAGCCCTTGCAATTGTATACTACCAGTAATGTTGGAAACGTGATGTTAAAGTAGTTGATTCATGTGTTTGATTCTTTTACGTACCCAGGGATTACACAAATCCATACCTTCCAGTGAATCATACTGCAATGGATGGATCTTTGCAGGTAAATTTTTCCCGCCTCACCACTACTTTTACCTTTCTTACATTGATTGCGTTGTGTTACATTACTGATCGTCTTTGACATCACTGCCTTCAGCCTGCTTTGGGTGCTGACGGAAAGAAGGTAGAATCTCAGAGCAACGTCCTTCTCGCTTTGATTGAGAATATGCAGTATGCTGTCACTGTGGATGTTCTTCACACGGTGAGGAACAATAAATTTCTGCTTCTCAGCATGCTTTAATCTCTCAAAATTAATAATTTCCTTTGCTTCTCGCAGGTGTTTTCTGCGTATGGAACTGTCCAGAAGATTGCGATATTTGAGAAAAACGGTTCAACGCAAGCCTTGATTCAATACTCTGGTACATGCCATTGATTATCTGCATAAATGTCTGATTGTGATCCGATCAAACCCCTTTATGAACTCTAAACATCTTTGAGTTATTTTGCGAATCGTCTTATTGGTATGCTGAGCATTTGATTACAGTCGTCGTTTGCTTCATGATTCTTTTAATATATTCGCTGTAGATATACCAACGGCGGCAATAGCTAAAGAAGCGCTGGAAGGACACTGCATATATGACGGTGGCTACTGTAAGCTTCGACTATCATACTCTCGTCATACTGATCTCAATGTAAAGGTACATAAGATCGGTTACATTTCTTGAGTTGTGTACGTAAAACAAAAACAGAGAGTAATAGCTGATGCCTGCAAGAACCGTATGCTTTTTGTATTCAACAACTGAGCGAAATCTGAAATCAAAGTTTCTAACTTAAAACTAATTTTCTTCTTTCTTCATCTGTTTCCGGTGTTGGAATGAAGGCTTTTAGCGACAAAAGCAGAGACTACACACTGCCAGATCTAAGCCTGCTTGTGGCCCAAAAAGTGCCCGGAGTCTCAGCGTCTGCGCCAACAAGTGGTTGGCAGAATACGCAGGTGCAAACTCAATACGCAGGTTATGGTGGAAGCCCATATGTCTACCCATCAGCTGATCCCACTGGGGCTTCACCTTCTGGCCATCCTCCTCCTCCTTACTATGGTTGATAATGATTATGTTGCTGTTTTCTTTAAATTTCGTTTTTTTTTGCTGTCGTCTAAGACCCGTTTAACTGGGGAGTTTCTATGTTTAGGTTTCACCAGTAAAAGTGTGATTCTTCTTCCTTTTTTTTTTCGTTTAATAGACATTTAAGTAAACCCAATAATAATAAATCAAAACCCGCTATTATGCGAGTTTCATAAATTAAAAAGACTCACTGATAAGATTATTTTACCCATTATTTATGGTCTGACGATGGCCAATAAAAGTAAACCATCTTCGAGAATGAGCTAAAAGATGATCTAACTTGGATTCCTAGTAATTTTTAGATACACTATTTGAATCAGAGGAGAAGTGAAAAATTAACCGGAGTCCCGAATCAATATTAAATGAAAAATTGTTAACATCTCTTAAAAAAAAAACTAAAACTAAAATTGATTTGAAGGAAACATAGACACTATTACTACTTGTTTGATAAAGCTTTGGCTTTGTTCTTCATACGCTGAGCCAAACCAGCAGTTGCCGCTTTTTTCTTGTCGGAATCCTTCTGCTGAATCTTGAGCTTCAGCGATTTGACAGCAATAGACTCTGCATAACTCTTAGATCCCAACTTCCCATCTTTAGTCGACTCTTCTTTCGCCTTTTTCACCGTAGCTTTCGCTTCCTCGTGGCTTCTCGGATCTTCCTTGTGCTTCTGAGCTAATTGCCTAACATAAATCGCACTCCTGCAATAGTACCCCAACAAAATTCATTAGAAAACAGAACCTCACCATAAATCGCAGCAATATACAATATTCTCAAACTTTGCAAAAGAATTAGATTCATCATCCATATACCTTTTAAACTGTGGATCTGTAGGGTCTAGAGCAAAGTCAGGATCCGAGATTGCAGCTGAGAATCTCTCTTTAATATCATCAAGATCAACCGCAGGTATCTTCTCTTCTGCCATCTCTTCTTTACTTCTCTTTTTACCTTTCCGTTTAATATTATACCCTTTAAGACCATCTCCTCCATTCTCATCAGCCAGTAACAACTCTAGCTCCGCTCTGCTTCTTTCTTCCGTTGCTACTTCCTCCTCTAAACCCTTCTTCTTCTTATCAGTCTTTCCTTCTTTCTTTTTCTTCTTCTTAAGACGGGGTTCCTCCATAAAGAAATCGTCATCACCATCGTCTTTCACCGCCTTTCCATCAACGTTGTAGTCATCCTCATCCGAAGATGAAGAATCATCTTTCTGTTTGTTCTTCCTAGCTCTCTTCTTCTCGCTTTTCTTCCTTAGATACGCATCCCAAACCGTTTCTGACTTCTTGTCTTTCCTTTCACGAATTTGTTTACTCAGATCTTCTAACCCGGTATTGAATGTTACTTCCATATCCTGGCCATTCTCCTCCTCCTCCCCGTCTTTATCAGAACCAGCATCTTCAGATTCGATTAAAGCTCGGTACTTTTCTTTTCTTTTTTCCTTTTTACTAGCTTCGTTGTTGTCCTCATCAGATTCACTCTCATCAGAAGCCAAAAATTCCTTCATCTCAAGTTCTGCCAGCTATGATCGACAGAGAAATTCACAAACAGTATCAGAACACTAACAACTGCAGTTAATAGGAGATGCTTCTAAGTCAATATTTAAAAAAGTAGACAGACCTGATCAGGGTTGAATTTCTGATTTAAGGTCTTTATGCGGTGCGGCTCATCTTCATCCCAAGAAAGATTAACTTTGCTCAACTGCAGTGCTCGGCTCTGAAAATCTAAGCCTTCATAATTAGAAGGCGCCTGTAAATTTTTTCAAAATTATTAGACCACCATGAAACCACAAGATCACAGTTTAAAGGAAAGAAGCAGCAATGCACCTCGGTGGCAATATCACGAGGCGGATGTTTAAATTCCATGGAATCTGGAATAAATCTCAAGTCGAGCTTGTTAGAGGATTTCTCAAACTCAAGTCCATCACATGATTTGTACAAGAAATCTGCAGTAGCAGCTGAATCACATTCGGCAACAGCATGATAGTACCTGAAACAGAGCAACAGTAACTGTGAGTTTTAGAAATAAAAGCTCTTGGACATATGTATAGCCTTGAAAGGCAGATCTCAACTTACTTTAATCTACTTTTTTCGTAATCACGTAATTTCTCATTGTTGACGTCCTCGTCTTCTTCTTCCTCCTCCTCGTCATCATCATCATCTTCTTTCTTTCTGTCGCCATCTATTGCCGGCCCATGGATTTCCTCCTCTTTCATTCGCTCCAGTCCAAAATCGGTTGGATAGACCGCAACTGACAAAATGCGTCCATCTTTGGGCACAAACGAATTCAAAACTACGTACAAGTCTTTGGCCTAAGTAACAAATAAGAACAAATGCTGATAAACTCATAGAATACTAAGTGCAGACTAGGCAAAGAAACAAACAAGCTAGCTAAATCCTTGAGATATAGAGCTAAATTGAAGCAATGCAATCGTCGATTGAGAACTTACCGAGACATGTCTCCAGTCCATGCGAACAATAGCCAGTCTGTGAGTTTCTTTTTCGATATTCGTAATGTTCTCTTCCTACCAAAATTTGAAATTTATTATTTCTCAAAAGCTAGAATGATGATATATCGTATAATCAAAGGCATAGGAGCAATTTACCTCAACTTCTGGTCCATCGTCTTCGTAAATAGCTTCGTCGTCCTCATCGGTATCCTCCTCCGATACCTCTACGCTGCCGTCAGACTCTGATTCCTCATCAGATTCTTCATCCGAAGAATCCACCACATTCAGACTCTCACTCTTGATCTCATCCTCTTGTGCAGCCTCGCCCTCGTCCCCAGATTCCTCTTCTTCGCTCTCCTCCATCTTTCGCTTTTTCTTCTTCTTCTTCTCGTCGTCGTCTTCTTCAATTCGATAATACTCTCTAAGAGAATCCTTGGCACTAGCTCCTCTTCTCCGCTTGCCACGCTTATCGACCGGAGCAGAAGCCTTATCGGTGAGCACCCCCGGGAATCGACGAGGATCAATGGGGACTTTGGAATCACGCATCGGAAGCCTACGGAATCTGGGGTCAGTGTGCGCCGACGAAAACCTTGGATCCGAAATCATTTGTTGTCCTTGCTCGGCGCCTCCACCTCCAATGGATGCTCCCTTGCTTTGGTTTTTTCTCTTCGAACCCATTGTTTGATTGAATCAAAGAGCAACGGATATTGGTTTTTAGGGTTTTGAGGCTGTGAATAGGACGACGAGGGAGAACAAGAATCGGAAATTTTAGGGTTTTTATATGAGAGCTCAACTCTGCTCTGTAATAAATACTCTCGTGACCACTTTACCCGACTTAACATAACGCAATTTTAATACACTAGCTTTAATTAGGTGAATTGATAATATTTTTTTACACAAGAAAAAAAAGGCAACACCTACGCACGAAGGAAGGCTTATCTCTAAAACGCGTGTCACTTGCTCTCTCTTTCCCCCTCCCTCACATCACATACGAATATACGATTCCATTCCATTCCATTGGATTTGGACCCAAAACAGAAATCAAGAGAAGATTTTTTGATATCATGACGACGACGACGACTCAGTGAGGGAGCTTCTTCCTACACGTTGTTGAATTCTTGCTTCAGGAACCTTCCCTATCCTTTGTTTGGTGGTTGTCGTAGCCTTCAATCTCGCTTTTTCTTCTCTTTTTTTTATTCTTCAATTCGTTTCAGCTTCTCATTTCAATCGGTTTACGGGTGGATACGAAATCCAATCAGTTTCTACGAGCTACCAAGTTGAGTTTTTTTCTCTTCAGTTGCGGAGAAAGAAGTGTTTTTTTCTTTTTTCTTTTCATTTTGATCGATTGATCTGATTTCGGGGGAGTTTCGATCAGATTGAAACCGAGCTTTTCTATCCAAACCATCGGCTGATTTCGAAAATTTCTCTTACGTTTCAGGACGTTGCTCGATCTGATTTCAGGTTTTTTTTCAATTTCTGGGTTTGGTCTTGGATCTGGAATTCGATTCGATCGAGTTTCATAGATCGATTCAGATTAAAAAACTCGTGGATCCAATCCCAGAAATAGTTCGATTTGTTGGTATAGAGGGGGAGATATCAAAATCGAAATCTTGATTCGAATCGGTTTCGTCTTCTGTTCTGGCTCTGAATTTCCTCGATGGTATATTTGCACAGCTCAATCTCGGTCTGCAATTCCGTCGACCAAGCTCCTACATTGATCATGTCGAACTCACCATATTTGCAGCCTAAATCGAGAAACAGCCGAAAATCTTACACAACATCTCCTAGCTGTTCCAAATTCCCTGTCTGCGACGGATCTCAGTCGGCTGCTATTGATGTCGTGATCTTAATCGCGGTGATCACGGCTTGCGGGTTCTTGTTCTTCCCCTACGTCAAACTCATCACCCTCAAATCGTTTGACATCTTCTCAGATCTCTCGGTTCTAGTCAAAGAAGAGATTTTGCAGAACCCAATTGTGTATGGATCATTAGCTCTGAGCATCTTCTGCGCTGCCATCTCCACTTGGCTCGTTATACTCTTGTGTACAATGCAGAGATGTGGTAAACCGAATTGTAAAGGCCTTAGGAAAGCTGTTGAGTTTGATATTCAGCTAGAGACAGAGGAATGCGTCAAGAGCTCACACAACAACAGCAACAACAACAGGAACAAGAGGGGAATGTTTGAGTTGCCTCGTGTCCATCACCGTGAATTGGAAGCCGAGCTGAAGAAGATGGCACCCCCTAATGGGCGAGCCGTGCTGGTTTTCAGAGCGAGATGTGGTTGTTCTGTAAGGAGATTAGTGGTTTCGGGGCCAAAGAAACAGCAGAGGAAGATCAAGAAATGAAAAAGTTCAAAGAAAGAAAAACAAAAGGTTCCATCTTTGGAAATGAGACGGGATCGTTATACTTTTCTTTGGTTAGCTTTATTCCTCACACACACTTTTTTTACAAAAACTTACAGTATATGTTAATCTATGTGTTTAAATAAGGTACAATGGGAATAAGCATTGTAAGAATATTGAGGGAAACTGGTTATAGTGAAGAACATTTTGGTTATAATCTTCTAGTTGTGCGCCCGAGCACTATGGGAACAGAATATGCATTGATGGTGTTTTTGATATTGATCTGTTTAGGTTTTCAATCATGAAGGTTGAAACTTTTGTGCAGGTTAGCTAAAGAACTGTCACTTACATTGAAGAACATCAAATGTGCGTTTGTGTGTCTATTAGTTTCCCTATGTTCTTCTTATGTGGCTTTGTTATGGAGCTGGAGAAGTGATGAGATTCGAACTCAAGAGACCTCTCGTTCTTTAAACTGTTGAATTCCTGGATTTGGCCGTCTTTTGTTTCTTGATTCGTTGAAGAATCTGCAGATTTACACTTACGTGACTTTTGGTATCCCTATATACTGGTCAATTTAGATTTGAAATGGATAGACTTTGTGGAATCTGACAGTAAAACTAACCAAGGTCGACAATTCAAGGCCCTTTATTATTTTTACTATTTTATTACAACATGTTGTGCTTATCTCTGTTACGGATCAATTGATGGATGAAACAGAGCAAAGTACACGTATGAGTTCCGATAATTTAATAATACCACAGAATGGCTGGACTATGATATTTAACAGAATTTTACAGAATAAGTTAAGAGCGGGACCATGATATTACACTTAAGTTAAACTTTTATTTATATATTAATGAATCAAAATTAAAAGTTGTGATTTTCTTAAGACAAAATATAGATTATGATTGATAACAGAGTTACAAAATCGTGATACTATGGAGGGTCAACTTGGCTTAACTTGTAGGTATAGTTAACGATAAACCAACGTTCTTTTGTTACAAATTGGTTTTAATTTAGTTATAGTTCGAATATTTCCAACATGTGTTAACCCAAAAACTGCATCAATAAGGAAGAAACACTCAAGATTAAGACGACCCTTGAACAACTTTATTTATTAATGATTAGTCTGAGGGAAAAAATCCCAACAAGGCTCTTTCTCAGCAGCTTCGTCGTCATCATCATCATCATCTTCTTTTTCTTGTTTATAAAGGCACTCTCTTGGGTCCTCCTCCTCTCTCTCTCTCCCTCCCTCTGAAATTTGATGGCTTTACTCTCAGCATGTTGGCTAATGATAGAATCCATAGTGATCCAAGATGGTTTCTTGAAATGGTCCTACATGAAATTATTCATGCACCCTCTTCTTCTCTTTCTTTGTCAACTATTTATATGGCTCTATCTCTTCTTTTTATGGCTTGTCACACCTTTTCAAACGTTTTACAACGCCTTTTTATCGTTATTGGTCACGTTCTCTAAGCTATTTAGCAGTTTTATCCGAGTCATTGTGGTTAGAAGAGAGGTTACATGTAATATTGAACCTCGGCAAGAGATCAATAATACCCTTGTTAACTTGGAACTTTCAAGGAGTATTCATAATCCGGTTCCTACCTTTAGCTTTTCATTTAAACATCAAGTGGATAGTCAATTAAAAGTTCTTCTAGCTATGCAAAAAGGCGAGATTCTTGAAGACGAAGAAGATTTTTGCTGTCAATTTGATCAAGAAAATGCTGATGCTCAGCTTCTTGATGGTAAGGTAAACGAGGAGGACGAAGATATTGTCAATGTTGATGTTGTGAACATGGAGAAGAACCTTGAGCTGAAACATCAGACTATGCCAATCAATCAAGAAAATATATATTCATTAGCCAAAGATGTTGAAGAAGAAGAAGAAGATACTGTAAACTCAAACGTGGAGACTGATCTACCTTCTCTAGTAGCTAGTGATGATATGAACTCACTCTATAGCGATGGAGATCATCCCTCTCCTTTGTTTGTTGCAAGCTTGGATTCAGCGGTCCAAGATTCGATTGATATAGAGAATCAAACTCATCAAGATGAAGATGATGAAGTATACAAGAAATACTGCGAAAGAATGAAATGGTATGACATCCTAAGCCGCGATAGAACCTATGGGCTAAGTAAGTCTTTTTATTTTATTTTTTTCTTTTTTCTTTTTAGTTAGGGATTCTTGCACGGAAACCCACACTTAATCTCAGAACCTATTGAATCATCTGTTTTTTTTGTTTATACTAAATATTTTTTACTACAATTTATTATATCATAATGTCATTGATGTTAATTAAAATCCATTTTTACATCCCTAGGTGTGATCATGAACCAAGAAACGGCAAGTGGTTTGAGCTTATGGGGAATAACGGCAGAGAAGAGGCTAAAACAAAGCATAGAGAAGGATCTCGAGCTAGTATATGTTGCTCAATCATGTTTATCATGGGAAGCTCTTCAGCATCAGTACATAACAGTCAAAGATAGTTTGAAATCCGCTGATTCGGGAGGCGGGTTCTATAACGATGATATATCTAAAGAATTCCAGAAGTTTCAGGTTTTATTAGAGAGATTCTTGGAAGACGAAAGGTGTGAAGTAAAAAGGGTCTTGAGCTTTGTTCAAAGAAGGTTTGAGCTCATGAGCTTCTTTCAAGTCCCAAGAATTTCAGGTAACTGATTCATTTACTTATCATATATAAACATTCACATCATATCCCTAGCTATTAATAATACTAAGAATTTTGTATAAACTTTTATATATGTTAGTATTACCATTCTTGGTGGGTTACATCGTGTATGAATTGAGAGGTCATGCAATATAGTTTTTAATTACGTTTGTTGGAATCATAGGAACCATTGTCTAATTTTATTTAAGTAATGATAATTGATTATTATCTCGTTTTCGTTTGTTATGAAAATTATAAAGTTGTGGTCAAAAGATGAGCTTCAACAGATTCCTTGACTCTAATATTGTCTAAAATTTCAGTTAAAGAAGAATGACTTTACTCCTTAAGAAAACATTTTAAAATTCCAAGCAGCTTTCATTGTAGATACGACGAATCTATCAGTTAATTTTTAAAATATATGTAAATATCTAAAATAGTCAAAATTTTATGTTCTAACAGGTTATGTGTCAACTCACAAGAACACCCTTATCTATAACGTATTTTATTCAATCAAGAACTTGAAGAATTGTCAACTCTATAGGTTGACCGAGAAAAGAAAAAAAGTTCTTACAAACTTCATAGAAATTAGAGGATTAAAATGTGTAATCCATTTTGAATTAACCGTCGTATAATTTCACATGACACTCTAGATTTTTTTTCTCCATATATCATTTTTAGTTTATGCAAAATTAGATTTTTTTCTTCAATTATTAGTATATATGTGTTTAATGGGGATATATATTCATTCATGAAGGAGGAAAAGAAAGAAAGGAGAAACAAGTGGTGAAAGCAATAGAGAGATGCATTGAAGTCTTCTATGACTTCGTGACAGCAGACATCAGGAGACCTTTGATATGGGAAAGACTTAAAACCTCATTCGTGAATTCTCCTCTTATGGAATTGGAAGATCCAAGAGACATTAAACTTTTTCTTGACCTTAAAAATTCACTCCAAAAGGTAAAAAATTTATAAAGTCTCTTTACTTTCCTAATTTCCTTTTAGAATTTTGCTAAAATAAATGTTAACATTTTTGAAATTTCGAAGAAGGAACGGTTGTTGAAGGAGGTACAAGGGAACCAGAAGAAGATTTGGTTCAAGAAGAAGAAATCTTTTAACGTTGGAGATAATGAGATTGAGAAAGAGGAAAACTTTATGTTAGTGAGATCTCTAATGATAGACTTAAAGCTTGTGTCTAGAGTGTTACACATGTCTTTGGTCTCATCTTCTCACCTCAAGTGGTGTCAACACAAGCTCAACAACATTGATTTCAGTGGTGGCAAAATCTCTAGAATTTCCTCGCCTGTTTTATTTCCCTCTTCTTAATAAGGTACTGGTAGTTTGCGAGTGCAACTATTTGTACTACAGAGGGAGCGCAAGAGATTAAAAAGCTTGATACTTTACCACAAGGAGCTTACAAAAGCATGATAAATTTGCCAAGCTCCAATGTAGTTTTCATCACCAATCTACACAACTATGCTTCTTAACAACTTTCTTTATAGACAGTAACCAAAAAAAGAAAGAACTTTTTTACTAACTCACCACTGATACTTAGCAGCAACAAGAACTTCTTCGTACTTCTCTGCAGCATTATCCCAACTCAAATCTTGTGTCATTCCTCTTCTCTGAAGCCCTTCCCAACTCTCCTTATACTCTCTATATGTCAACAAACAGTTTCCTAAGGCATGAATCAACTTACCTGCTTTCGCGCTATCAAATGTCCATCCAAGACCAGTTTCACTATACGGGTCAAACTGTTGAACCGTATCTCTCAACCCTCCCACGGCGTGGACCACTGGAATGGTTCCATAGTTCATTGCGTAAAGCTGGTTTAGACCGCACGGCTCGAATCTCGAAGGCATCAGCAAAATGTCAGCACCAGCTGTTATTCTGTGAGCTGTTCTAACCGAGAAACCAACCCATCCCCGTGCTTTATCCCGGTATTGGTGCTCCATTTGTCTGAGGACTTCTTCAAGATCCGGACGCCCTGTGCCTAACATAACCAGCTGAACATCCTGACTCATCATCCATGGAACCGCCTCAGCTATCAAGTCAACACCTTTCTGATGATCCAATCTCCCGATAAAACCGATCAGCGGAACATCAGGTCGAACAGGTAAACCGAGCTCTTTCTGTAATGCAGCTTTACACTGGGGTTTACCAATGTGAAGAGTCTCCAAGGAATAGTTTGTATACTCATCAGAGTGCAAGTGAAGATCAAATTTTGGGTTCCATTCCTTTGTATCTATACCGTTGACGATTCCTCTAAACTTCCAGTCGTTTTCATTAATGATGTTATGCAGACCCCAACCTCCCTCTAAGGTCTTAACCTCCCAGGAATATCCATGGCTAACAGTGAGAACTCTATCCGCAGCCTTTAGACCAGCCGCAAAAATGTTGAAGTGCTCACCTCCCACAGGGTCATATAACTTGAAGCTATCCAAGTAATGGCTCGGCAAATCCACGTACGAGAAATCATCTACAGGTCCCCGACCCTAATTTGGCACCAGTAGGTTACGCATAGATCTCTGGATATTAGAATGAAGTAGATCATTTTTTGTTTTTGATGGAATGGAGAATTACTAACCTGGTGAGCAATGTTATGGATTACAAGAACAGATCGTGTGTATTTCATTATTCCGTGATCTCGGTAATAGGCTTTCAGGTAGACAGGCAGCAACGCAGTGTGCCAATCATTTGCTATAAAAGCCAAATTTCCATCTCCATAACACACACCTCCACAAGGAACATACCAAGGAACCTGCCAAAACAAAAAATCCCCAGAAACCGAAACTGGTATAAGAAGAAAGCAAAATATCCAATACAGTCATGATACTGGAGCAGATTTTTACCTCAACAGCAGCTTTGCAAAATAAAACCATCCGCTTCAAGATATCCTAGATTTACAAAAACCAAACTTAGTATATGTACTGTAGGCTGAAATTGATTTTTTTTTGTTTTGGGTAAAGAACAACAGGGAGAATAAAATGTAATCTTACAAGTCGGTTTCCACCGTAAATATTATTACTCAGATGCCGAAACACAGGGCTCTCAATGAAAACAAAATCCACACCATCAATATATGCATGGAAGTACATTACTTCCATATCCTGCAATAAAGTGTACTCCATATGAAATTTTTCTCCACCTCAAACTATTTTTGTTAAGGAATTTTTATATGAAAAGGAAAGACAATTCTAAAGTTGATACATTAACAGCTGTTATACCTGCCCGGCCACCTTATATCTCTTCCGTATACCTACATCTTTGGCTTCGGCATACTCTGCATACCGAGGAACCACAACCTAACAAGAAAAATAAAGAGAATGATTTTACTGACAAGTTTGAGTTGCGATGTCCATAAGACCATAACCACCCAGAGGGCTAATATGACACGAAAAAGGCACTCTTTTATAAATATTACCATAACCCTATGTCCACGCCGAGCCAAAGCCTTTGGCAAAGCGCCAGCTACATCTCCGAGGCCACCTATAAAATTTATCAGCATTTAGCTAGTGTACTCCAAGAGAAACCTACCTATGGACAAGCAAAACAAAACCTTACAATCGATCAAAGATTACAAATGGAAAAATTACCTGTTTTGGAAAATGGAGCACACTCTGCTGCTACCAATATCACATTCATGACATTTGCTCCAGCCAGTGGAGGCGGCTTCTCTTCGTTTCTCACAGGTTCATTAGTATCACTACTGGCTTCTTCATGTGTTTTTTCCTTTTTTGTTTCCATGTACTTCTCTGTCTGTATACTTGATGTTTCAGGTGTTTTAGTCAGGTAAGACGGTAGTGGGTCTGACCAAAATGCACCAGCGTGAGATTTAGTCGGATTTCCAGGAGAAGTTACAGGATCAGAAGTTTTCTCCGAGGAGGTCATAGTAGAAGATGGTTTATAAGGAGGATCTATACTGGAGGCTACTACGCTAGACCAAGGTTTTCCATTAGTGGCTACAACGGATGGTTTCTCAGGAGAGGGAGTGGAGGAAGATTTCACAGGCGCGGAGCTTTGTTTGCTCTTTTTTGGTGATCCAGTACCAGGAGATAAAGTCTTAGCTTCTGGTTCTTTGTTTAAAGATGACTTGCCATAACTGCTTGGGCTAAAACTACCGCTTCCGTCTCCATCCATCTTCTCTTTCCTAGTTGCATCAGTATTTGCATTCACAGAAGAACCAAAGTCTTCTTTTGAACAAGCTATATGATCATCCAAGTTAGGTGTGCTCTCTTTTATAGATGATACCAGCTTCCTCCTTTCAGCAATCTGAAGAGTAACAAGATAGATAAAGCGAAAGAATCTTAACACAAATGTCAAAGAACAATTCAATACATCTAAACTACCAAACGGACAGGCTCCAAAAGTGTAGAAACACCCAAAATCGAGTTCACTCAGACACCATATTTTTATCACGTTCTCACTTACAGCTTATAGTGTAAAAAGATGGTCTTTTCCTACTCTCAAGATCTCTAGAAAGCAATTCATTGACCTAATTCTCACAATGAATAATATACAAAAGGTTGATTTTGAAGGATTAAAAAAACAAAAAACAAAAAACCTAAAAAGCTAACTTTACCAAACCCAGGACTCAACTAAAGTTGGGGAGTATGATAGAATGTAAGGACTTTGGAAATGAAGTTTCAACGAAACCAACAAAGTCAAGGATCGATCTACCTGGTGAAGAAGGTTCCTTTGCATATCAAGAACCTTCTTGCTTTTCTCGATGGTAGCTTGAAGCGCATCCTCCTGCTCATCTCCACTCGCAGCTTCAGAAGAATCTGGGCCCGTAGCCTCCACGCACCTCACAAACTTCCATCGATGTCCCAGAACGAAGCTCCGGCCACGAAATGAGAGTGACCCAGAAGCGAAATCAGGAGAAGAAACTCGGACAACACTCGAATTCCTCAGCGTAGTAGACGAAGTGACGCGACGCTGACTCTTGATTTGACACAGAAGAGGGAGAGAGCTCTCGGCAACTGATGCCATTTACTCGTTTAAAACTAAAAAAAAAGTTTCTCTTGTATGAACAGATCACACAGACTCCGACAGGTTTCACTTGCGAAATTAGACAGAGACCTAACTGAGAAAACCGAACTCAGATGATCCAAAGACGACGGATTTGACAGAGAGTAGCGAGAAAGACGAGAGCTTTGTGAGTAAATTTACGGCTAATCAAACAAAATGGGGCCACAAAGAGAAATCACCATAAACTCTTAGAATACCATCGCTGCTCGCGTGATTCATGAGAATAACATGGGATTTATATTATTTATTTATTTTTATTAGCTCTTCGAAAAACATTGGATTAGGCAGATGATCCATCTATCGCCACATAATTTGATTCCTCGAGATTTCCCAGAAGCAATGGGAATCGTCCACAATATTACAGATATCAAGACTCTCTTCTCTACAAGCTTCACCCTATCAAACTACTACTTTAATTTTATTTTCTAAAATAAATACCATTAAAAAGAATTTTAAATTCATCTAAATACATTTCATTCAGCCATATGTTTATTAATTTTGATATCTGATTGATATATATGTTTATTAGTTTTGATTTCTTTTTATCACTTACTACTATTATCAAATTATTTCTTACACATTAAACAAAGTTGCATGGTTTATTTGTTTGAGAAATTACATACAGCTTATTCCCAAGAAATCAATCACATTTAATTAACGTTTTAAAAAGAAGAAGAAGCAAACCATAACAACAGTTGTCCAAAAAAAAAAAGCAAACCATAAGAAGCAAACTCGGCGAGAGATCGATGTTTTCATGCTTTAAACTCTTAATTAGGAACACGACACATCTTACGGATCTCCCCGGCCCGACCCGTAAGAACTTCGATCCGACCCATTTTCACCATCGAGACACCAAAGTCATGGAAGAAGGTTGACCCATGAGTTCTTGCCTGCTGGAAGACATAAGCCCTTGTCTTTGAGTTGTCCAATAGAGCAGCATCCGATTGGAAAAGCCCTCTTCTCTTAGCCACTAGCGTGAAGTAGCTCTCGTCGAATGTCTTGAAACTTCCCGGATCCATCTCTAGAGCCGTCGTGGTATCCGTCGGCTTGCATTTCTTCCTGAGGTTAGCGGCGTACTCCGAGTCCAAACTCGGGTCGCTGTCTCCTCTTCCGGTGAAGTTGTAAAGCCGGTTTGACATTAGGGGACAATGTCCCATTCCAATAGTGTGTCCACCTTTTATTTAGAAGATACAAACAAAAAATTATGTATATTTTTCCATCTATCAACATTTTATATTTACTACCAAAACGGGTTTCTAGCTAATTAATCCATTTCTTGAATTCAAATATTATTTCAGACCAATATCGTTCATTTGTAAATACGTACCTGAAAGAACGACTAGATCTTTCTCGTCTAGTCCCTTTGAGCGAAAATCGGTGATAAGCTTGGCGATGTTGTCAAAAGGTGATGGCAAGATGACCTCATTGATATTAGAAACCCTACCGTCTCTTCTTCCCGTTTCCACTTCCCATGATGGTCCCTCAAGCTAATTAAAATCAACCGGCATATATATTCAAAGTGAATTCAAGGAGCTCCCTACATGTATATATAAAATTCTCGGATTAATGCGAAGATATATTACTTACTGCAACCATTGCGTCCCTAGCGACAAGGGCTAAGATATCAGAGCAAGAAACAATGCCCGGACACACTTTTTCAAGAGCCGCCTTGGAATCGTCTATGATTCCAAACCCTCGAAGACTTAGGTTAGGAACTGCATTCTTCTCATCTTGTTTGTTCGATAGCTCTAACAAAACTGATCCGTCACATCCCTGTTGAGTACGATTCACTCAATATAAGACGAGACATAATAAAGAAGTGTATATATTTAAAAGTCATGAGCCATTTGAGAAACATACCCGAACGAAGCAGTCGTGGAAGAACATTCTAAGCAAAGGAGCACCAAGCGTAGGCGCTTTCTTCATCGCAGCGAACACTATCTTTCTAACAATACCCTCGGCTTCAGGGCATGTTTTGCCGTAGAAACCTACTTTCAAGCCTTGTGCATTGGCTTCAGCTAGCAACAACACTAAGAACAAGCAAGAGACAACCAATCGCTTACATGCAGCCATTTTTATTTTATTTTTAGCTTCTACTTCTTAGCTTTTGGTTTTTGCTCGATTGATGATGAAATGGTTGATGAGATTAGAGTTATTTATACTAATTTAGGTAAGAGTAACTATATTTTTTTCTAAAACGAATATTGGAATATCATAAGAGTTTGTGGTTAGAACATTGATATTAACTAACATCAAAATGTAGTTGACTACCATCGGTCTGCGGTGGAATGCTTGTATTTTTGTTGTTCTTATGATCAATCATTGCTAGTAGATATAAAAAGAAGGCAATTTGTTAAAAGTCGTACCATATACAGGTATACTGTATATGTATGCTTGTGTTTTCTTATTGATGATGTGAACTGCCACCAGAAAATAAATGGCTGCCTAATTTTAAAAAATAAACTTAAGCAAAAAACACACGCACAATTGGATTTATTGTTTTTGTAAATTTCGTGTGTATATTGTCAATCGTCACTCAGACAATGTCTAAGGGGGTTATTGGGGGGTTATTGGGAGTTGGATTTATGAAGATTTTAGTTGATTTTAAAAATCATGAGATTTGTCAAATTTTTAAGAGTTTTGTTGGATTTGTAAAATTTAGAGAGAATTTTATGGATTCAAACAATCTATTAAAAAAATTTTAATATGACAGATTTTGAGAATCCAAGGGATATAGGTAGTATTTTGAGAATCATAATTTATGAGTTAAATTACAAAGAATCATTATGCCAATAACACTAGATTATAACAGAATCATAGAATCATTAAAATACAGACTTTTTGAATAACAATGGATTTTGATTAGATTATAAAAATCATCATATCAATAACAACTGATTTTTATAATTTCTAAATGAATAACAGATGAATCTATTAAGAATATAAAAATCCACAAACCAATAACTATATAATCTTAAACTCTAAAAATCTTTATAAATCAATTCTCCAATAACACCCAAAGAAAACGAATATAGTTATAACAATGTCTAAAAAATCAAACGGTTCCAGAATGGGAATGGAAATATAGTAATAAAAAAAAAATAGTAATCAAGATGTTGATACTTAGTGTTAGAGAACAACTTCTGCTTGTAAAGATTAACTGACCCTTAGGTAACAAATGATACGTTAACTACGAGGAGACCCAGAATGTAATCATATTAATTTCATATATATTACTTAATTTATTGCCTTAGCGGGGCAGGGGCCGGGGACGGTAGTTTACTAACACTTGGAAGTATTTAATCAAATACTATTAATTTTCTATCTTATGAAGTATATACATATAATCTTTGTCAATGGAAATTTTTTAAGTCCTGGGCGTTATCGCAGACAATAAAGTATATAAAATCTTTTCCAATGAAATGTTTAATTCCTGGACGTTATCGCAGACAATTATTTGATCTCACATGCATATCCATATGCATTATAGGTTTCCCGTAAATGTGACTTGCATGTTCTTCCAATTACAACAACAATCATCTGACCGCAACTTTTTAACCTTTTTTTAGGTGGTAGCGCCGCCTCCGTGTGTCTTAACATCCTATTAATTACTCATGTCGATGAACAGATAACTAGTTATCATCATACATCAAAATTCATAATCGAACGGCATTAGAATACCAAATTCAGTTGACATACTAGATTAAACAGAGCTCGGCGGGAAAAAAAAAATAACAGACCTCTAGAAAAATTCCTGTTTACGAAGGAATCAAAAACGTTTGTTAACAATTTGCTATAACACATCCAAGTTGCAAGCTTTCAACTAATTTTGCTGACGATAGCTGCTACTGTATACATATATATTAAGTATCCTAATAAGAAAAAAATACTAAGTCAGCTAGCATGAAATTTAAAATGTCTAGAAGTTAGAAAATAAAATCATAAATGATGATGCTGATCTTTAATTTGTTGGTTATTACCTCCACTATAAACCTAAAAATCCCCTTTTTTGTTTTTGTTTTTCTGGGTGTTATTCCGTCACCTCACCCTCTAACATTCATTTAATAGTTTGCAGGAATTTATACCACAAGAGTATAAAAATTTGAAGAATTATTTTTCATATTTCTTTTAAAAAAAAAAACATTTGAGTAAAACAAAATTCCCCGCCTTAGTTTGATTTGTTACCTATAATTAGAGACAAGTATATGTGATGTCCAAAAATAAAATAAAAAGAAGACAAGTAAAATATATAAATAAATAAAAATAACAGACAAGTATATTTTTTTTCCTCAATAAACAGACAAGTATTTGGCAAGACTTTATTCATTTGAGACAAAACTCTCTTTCTCTCTGTCTTTAGGAAATAGTAATACTAAACTGTTTCATCCGACCAAGGAAAGGAGCTGAGCTTAGTAGCGTTTTGATATACACGGTACACTAGTACTACTCTCTCTACCGTCATGGTTATAAAGCCGCAGAATCACAGCTGCGGTTTCTTCAATCGCTTTATTCGTCACATCTGCAACCGCCACAACCGCAATTAATAACATGAAAAGAGGGCAATACTTTGTATAAAAACCTTTCCTTTTTGTTGCCAACATTGAAAGAAGAGAAATTTTGAGTAGTGAAAAAGGGAGAATGTGGTGTTTACCTATTACAGACCATCCAGGGTTTTTGGCATAGATCCTTGATGCGAAATCTAGTTCTTTGCGAACAAGATCGAAGCCCGAGTAATAGTTCTCTGCTACCGAATCCACGCCTAACGTTTTAGCCCTTGTTCTCCTAATCGCTTGCAGAACAACAAGCTCAATCTTCAAAGCAAAAACTTTTCTCGGTTCAACCTCAAAAAGCGTCTTGGGCGGTTCCACACCCATCACAAACGGCACATTTGCGACTTTGTACCCTTTTTGAGCAATATAAGTCGACAATGGCGTCTTCCCTGTCCTGGAGACCCCGACCAGAATAATATCAGCCTTGCCTAAGTTCTCGGGTAAAGTCCCGTCGTCTTGCTTGATGGTAAACTCAATGGCTTCGATTCTTTTGAAATATGCATCATTGAGAGTCTTGACCCTACCGGGAGCTGCTCCACGTGTGAGACCTGACGGAGATACGCCTAAGTGAGACGCGATCCCTTCGATGATTGGTCCTAGTATATCAACCGAGAGCACGCCACTTAGATCGCAAGCTTGCTTTGCGGATTTCGCCATTGAAGGGTTTGCTAAAGTGTAGAAACACATTGCCTTTTCTTTAGCCGCCTGCTTGATTATCTCCATTAGCTTCTCCTCGTCCTCAACCTGACCAACAATACCCCAAAGCCAAATCAAAATTCATTTTTAAACTCAAGAAACCAAAGTCATCACAACTTTCGAAACCTTGCAGTTTAAATATTCAAAGATCCAAGTTTTGTTCTGTTCCTATGATCAAAATCTCTTACTGATAACATATAAAGAGAATTAGCTCTAAATTTCATAAACAGCATATTTTTTCCCCATTAGAGAAGTGAAAGTAGACGAATTGGTTACTTAATCCTATAAAGATTTTGACTTGCCCAGATCGTAACTGATGATGAAAATGAAATGAATTGCCGAGAAAAATATGATATATTTTTGTTTTTGTTTGATAAATACCCAAGAGAAGAGGTGTGTATTAACAGAACAACCACGATTGACCAAGCGATCTTCGAATTGCCCCAAAGCGGCGTTAACGGAGTGCTCTGCCGTCCACCCAGTCCCGTCGGAAACCAAATATATCGACTTTCCCGCCGTTATCTCCACGTCATCACCGTCAATCGTCGACGTCTTCCTCTCAGCCTCCTCCGTCGTTACTTGACGGCAAGGTGTGTTATCACTACGGTTAATCGGACGGTCTATCTTAACACCGGATCGCAAAGCACGGGCCCTGGACCATCTATTCAATTTGGCACTAATCTTCAGCTTCGGAGTCGGAGTCGGAGGACTCGAAGCTGTGATCGGAGGTTCGGAATTAGGCTCGGGATGACCTGAGACGCCGTGTAAATTCATCGTCGACCTCGAATATACGAGCGGTGGTTACGGTTTTTATCTTGTCAACAATTTCGGTTTTTATCCATCCAATCACGGCGGTGCAAACGCGTTTAACGCTAAATTGGTTTTTCAGCGTTCCAACACTTATAATTGTTCAGCGTTTTGAACATGAGATATTGACGGAAATGTCCTCACTAATTACTTGGGCTTTTTAAAAGCCCACATATATGTATATCCAAGGCGCCAAAAAACACCTGGATAAACTAACACGTACAAATAATATAACATGCGTATCATTAGAGCGTGGTGTTTACGCGCTAATTTTCCGGAAGCTTTTCAGAAATTGGTGACGTTAAATGGCGCGTGAGAACATCCTCAACCACAACATCAAAATCGAGCCGACAAAACAAAAAAAATTGTGAACATTTTCTCTCTCCTCTCTCTCTCTCTCTCTCTATCTATCTGTTCACACTAATTCTGTGTTCTTTCATCTCCGTCTCTATCTCTTGTGACTTTCCTGAGGTATCTATCAATCCATACCATAATCAAAAAACGGGTAAGCTATAAAGGACACCCACCACTACTATCAAATTATCCGTGCGTTGATTTCTCGAAGTTTCCAATTGTTTGGTTTCTAATTATTTCTACTTTGATCGATTATCTCAGTCTGAGCCTGTTTCTGTGTTTTTGCTACCGTTACTTACGTCTATGAACAACTTTTTTCAGTTTATAATTTAGGATTTCTTACTCTGTTTCTGCTTCGGTCATATCGAAAAGTGGCCACTTTTTTTTTGTTTTTGAATAATGACCTAATTAATAATCTTGGTAAATTAGTCAGCAGTTTTGATTCAAGAATATTCTGAGTTGTGATTTGTTATCTGATTTAGGCATCTGGGTTTGTGTAAGAAATGTATCCCTGTGGTTACGTTGCTGAAGTCACGAACTTGTCTCCTCAAGCCACTGAGAAAGATGTTCATAGCTTCTTCTCTCACTGTGGAATCGTCGAGCTCGTCGAGATCACTGGGTATGCTCTTTACGGGACATCCTAATTTCTTGGATTCTTGTATGATGTTTGTTTCTCCATGGTTTTCCAGGTCCGAAGGTGATGCTTTAACGGCCTATGTGACCTTCAGAGATGCCTATGCTTTGGATATGGCCTTGTTGCTTACCGTAAGTCCTTGTCTTTTCCCGGGAAATTGTCAATTGAAACATGATCTTAATTATCGGCAATCGATCTCAACGTTTTCAGGGATCAACGATCGTTGATCAAACCGTTTGGATATCTATGTACGGTGTCTATTTACACGAATCCAACAATCTCACACAAGAAGAAGATTCGTATAGTGTAACGGTCCGTATATAACAACAGAACTAATTCAGATTTATTGGGTTTGTTATAATATGATCCTTACGTTTCTCAAAATGTTTCTTTGTATTTTTGTCATTTTTATGAATAATAGGTGACTCAGACGAACGCATTTGCTTCATCGCCTGGAGAAGCAGTAACCATAGCTCAACAAGTCGTCAAGACAATGATCGCGAAAGGCTACGTTCTAAGCAAAGACGCGATCGGTAGAGCCAAAGTTTTGGATGAGTCACAGAGATTCTCAAGCTTGGTAGCGACCAAATTGGCAGAGATGAGCCACTACATTGGCCTCACACAGAACATTCAGTCGAGCATGGAAGCCGTGAGATCAGCTGACGACAAGTATCATTTCACGGATTTCACAAAGTCAGCGGTTCTTGTCACCGGAACGGCTGCTGTGGCCGCCGCAACCATTACAGGGAAAGTGGCTGCTGCTGCAGCGACCAGTGTGGTCAACAGTCGATACTTTGCTAATGGAGCTTTATGGTTCTCAGATGCTTTGGGCCGGGCTGCTAAAGCTGCGGCCCATATGGGTGGTGGAGGAAGCCATTAATTTTTAAAATCGTCTTTGGGCTTCGTTTGGATACACAGTTACATGTCTATATATATATGTGTGAATGTGGTTTTAAGCCATGCATAACTGGAAAAAGATCACTGACAGGATATTTTCTATATGTATTATGTATTTTCTTTTGTTAGATTATAGAGGTTATACATGGAATGTAATATCTATGAATAATATAAATAAGCCTAAAACTTAATTTATGAAAGAATGATGGGTCCTAGAAACCTCCCTAGCCTTGATCCTTTCCACCTTTTCTCTCTTTCTATTATATGAGAGGTTGATGAGATCCACAAGAAACTCCAAATTCATTTGTTACTGTATTTTGATCATTAGATTATAATAACATTATAATCCAATACAAGCATATATATATATATATATATATGTGTGTGTCAGTGATTGATCATTGGTGGAGTTAATTATTTGTATATACATGGTATGTGTTTGATCCAACTTCAGACGCAGCTGCAGTATTGAGATTGGAGATGGCGTTTCCTCAACATGGTTTTATGTTCCAACAGCTCCATGAAGACAATAGTCATGATCAACTCCCTTCTTGTCCTCCTCCTCATCTCTTCCATGGTACTCTCTCTCTCTCTAGATCTCTCTCTCTCTCTCTCTCTCTCTCTCTCTAGCTCGCTGAATAAAAATAGATTATGAGGCGTAATAGTTACTGAAATTTTGTTATCTTGTTGGTGAATATATATATACAGGAGGAGTAAACTACATGATGAACAGATCTCTGTCTTTAACGAACGAGCAAGGGGATCATCATCAATCCGTTGATGAAGAGAATCTATCAGACGATGGGTCACATATGATGCTAGGAGAGAAGAAGAAGAGGCTGCAATTAGAGCAAGTCAAAGCGTTAGAGAAGAGCTTCGAGATTGGGAACAAGCTGGAGCCAGAGAGGAAGATACAACTAGCTAAAGCATTGGGGATGCAACCGAGGCAGATTGCGATTTGGTTCCAAAACAGGAGAGCTAGGTGGAAGACTAGACAGCTCGAGAGAGACTATGATTCACTCAAGAAACAGTTTGAGTCTCTTAAGTCTGACAATGATTCTCTTCTTTCCCACAACAAAATTCTCCTTGCTGAGGTATAGTTTCTAATATATAAAGTATATATGTCTATTTTAAATGGTGCTTTATCCAACTTTCATTTCTATTGAGGTTTGAGTTTAATTTTGGTATTAGAAGACTAGTAACCAAAGATTGAAAATATGAATCTAACATATCAAATAAGCCAAAAGAAACGTTTTTCTAATTATTTTCGTATATTTTGACTTGTGTGTGATGGTCAAAGGTAATGGCTCTAAAGAAGAAAGATTGTAATGAAACAAGCATAATAAAGAGAGACGCAGAAGCTTCATGGAGCAACAACGGAAGCACAGAGAATAGCTCAGACATAAACTTGGAGATGCCTAGTGAGGCCACTACGACACATGTGAACACTATCAAAGACCTTTTCCCTTCATCTATTCGATCATCTGCACATCAACATGATCAAATGGTTCAAGAAGAGAGCTTTTGTAACATTTTTAATGGCATCGATGAAACGACGTCGGCTGGCTACTGGGCATGGTCTGACCCAAACCACAACCACCACCACCAATTCAATTGATTCATGATCCTATAGCTCGAAATGATCACAACCATCATGGCATTATCGTAATCAACATCATCAGAAAAAAATAAGAAACAGTTCATCTCTGTTTTGAATTTGGCTCTTTGGAATTATTGTTACTCTTTTATCTTGCTTTCTTTGGGTCCGTAGAGTATTGGTGTATAGTGCGATTTTTTTTTTCTTTTTTGGTCAAAAGGCATAGTTTCGAAATTTTTTTGTTGCTTTAACTGAACAAATAAAGTAAAATTTTATTTTATGAGTAAATTTTATATATGGATGGGGTTTACAACTCGAAGCTAATCATAATTAGAGCAACCTACATTAATTGTTGTCGACGTCGCAAGTGACAAAAAAATTAGACTAAGTAAGAAGCATATCATCAAATAGTAAATACGAAGTTACGAACACACTCAGCAATTTCTGGTAACATGTGTTTTTTTGTGGGTACTTATAACATGGGTTTCTCCCTTTAAGTTTTTGTAAAAGCTCTGCCTATGTAAAGGGTACATTTTTTTTTTTTTTGAGGACTAGATTCTTTTAGTATTTCTCCAATAATAAACTTAAAAAAAAAAAAAACTAAGTGAGATTAAAAGTCGTTATCTCCTCAAAAATTTCTATATATTTGTCCACTACTATATTATGTGATGGGTTGGTACAAATTCATTAAAGATTAGTAACTTAGAGCGAGAAAGATTCATATATGCATGTGACTTCGAGTGGGATTCCAGCTCTGTCATTGACGTAACATGATCCATGACTTATATTATATGCAAGGATTTTTTAATATATATTTTGTTTGTTTATTTCTTTCCAAGTTGCAACTAAAACAACGAACTTATACAGAATTACAAATTTACAATATATGCTGACAGTAAAATTTATCATTATTATAATTTAAAAATACTGAATTATTACACACAGATGTATCTAAATCTTTATGGACTAATGGAGAAACATAATTAACAAAACACTATGCCATGTGTCACATATACTTGCATGTTTTATGTATATATGGACCAAAAATACTAACTTAACACGTAAAATTACATCGTCTTTAACATAGACTCCCTGCATAGACTGTATATAATTTGTTGCTCTCAAAATCTATCTGATTGTTGTTGCTGTAACTTGTAAATTCTTACATTTTTAATATCCCTACACCTATTCGACATTTCTTTTCTTCCACTAATTACATTATGTATACAAAAAAAAATCTAAAAATAAAACTGAAGATAGGAAAGTGGAAGCACACGTTCCAAAACACAATAAAGAAGAACATACCAAATTTAAAAAAAAAAAAAAAAAAGAAGAACATACCAAAAAGAAGAAAACAAAAGAGATCACTCTTCTTTTGGGTTCTTTCTCTTTGAGACGAATCTTCATTGTTTTTTTAACAAATTTTATTAACTAATAAGTTTTAGAAAGCTAAGGATTTTTTTTGTTTGGGGGGAGGGGGGGGGGGGGGCAACAGAGCGTAGGAGTTATTATTGTCTATTTTTAAATTTTACGTAATTTACATAAGAGACCATTGTCATCCCATATATAATAGATTCTTTTTTTTTTCAAAACTAATAGAAAACCTGAGTACCGAATCGGTTGTAAATTTTTTACACTTAGAATACTATAAATGTGAGAATATATGTATGCATGCATATACAGTTTTGGCATGTGGAATAATCGGTTTCTCAAATATTCAATGGATATGAAAAAACATAATGATCTAATATTATTCATAACTGTTACATTGTATTAATAACTAATTAACAAAATATTAGCACAAAGATTTATAAGTAGTACATTTCATTTAATTGAATTACAATTGATAATTTATTCAATTGATGCAATTAAATAATTATATATACTATGTGTAAATTATTTGCTCCTCTCATTCGTAAATCAAACTCCATGGGCCAATTTGAAACCTCTTTTAAACGCATCAAAACATCCATATATCAAACCCTAATTCTTGATTGTTTCAATCATCCTGATCTCTCCCTCCGTTTAATCCCAAATCCTTCAAAATGGATCGGATTACGGATACGTATCTCAGTTCCTCTGGCGCCTGCTTGATCCTCCTGTTGAATTTCTTGAGCCTTTTCCCGAATGGCTCTAAACTCTTACCACTTTTGTAAGCTTCTCCGAGCTGAATCAACATCATCTCCGATTTGGTTAACATACTCACCTCGGTTTCCAAGTTCTTAATGTTCGTTTCCTTTTCTTTCAAGTCCTCTTCGATCAAGTCCCTGGCTTCGTGCAGGTCGTTTTCAAGTACTTGTTCGTCCAATTTTATCGAACGATTAGCCTCAGAGACATGTAGAAAGGCAATAAGGGCGACAATGAGAAGCACAAAAGAGATTTTTGCCATGTTCAATGATTATTTTCCCTCAACTTAATTTGAAATAGATCAAACTATATATAATAGTTTGTTAAAAGGAAAATATTAGATGAGAGGAGTGAGTCCGCGTGTTCATTTCTTAAAGCATTTATAGCTTTATCTTTGCGTAAAAATAGTATATATAAGTGTAACCTTGTTTTAATGGTCAACGAATGGTATTGACTTCATTAATAATTTTTCTTTGGTTATCCATACAATTCGCAAAATTTTTGGTTGTCATCTTTATCCATGAATTTCAAATTTCCAACCTTCACTTATGAAAATTCAAGAAATAAGATTCTTGCTTTCTATATTTAGATATGTAACGGTTTAGCGGTGAACCAACAGAATTCACTAACATACATAAATACTTGGTTTCAACAAATAAAAAAAAACTGAAATATAAATTAAATTAATCTTCTCTTAATTAATGATAAGATATTAACGAAAATTTTATCATTATGAATTGTAAAGATAATACTCGATCACTTCAATGTAGGGAGTTTTGTCTACCTTCCTTTTTTCCTCAACGGGAGTTTTTTTTCTATCCAGTGTTGAAAGCTAAGAAAATTGAAGAGAATCGCTGCTTATGGTTGCATTTGGGAAACAAAGCAATTCAAAGCAAAACTTAACCAATTCTGTAGGTAGATATGAGGACCCATGAAATAAATCGCAAGATAATTAAGGGTCATATGCAATTGCCTCACGAATTTGCCAATAAGCATCTAATAGGTGACATAATTTTCTTGAGAATATTTTGTTTCCAGGTCCTAAATGTCATTATCCTGAACTAAGATGTTACTCAACACGTTTTTATTTTCAGGTCCTAATGTCATTATTCTGATCTAAAATATAACTCATTATGTTGCATATTCAAATATAAGCATCATATCGTTTTATGGTTTTTCCTCCATATTAAAACACCTATTCTCTCAATATTTCATATTAATTTTTGTTACAGTGCTAAAATTGTGTTTCACAAAAGTATTGATGAAAATATTTAAACAAAATTCTATTTTATCCCTATTATTCTAACTTGTTAGTTAAAGACATAAAATGATCAAATATACTAATAGAAGATATCATAAAATATTTTTTTCTTAAGTCGACACAAGTTAAAATGATTAGCCTCTATATTAGTAGATTTAATTTTAATTTTTTTGCCGAAGACCACATGATTGAAAACTGTTATAAAAAATATCGTAGGATATACCATAAGCAGTAATATTTCATTAAATTACATTATGATGCAACTAATATACTATGGGGAAATTATTTGCTCTCCTCACTTGTAAAGCTAAACTCAATGGCCGAGTTCAAACCTCTTTTAAACACATCCGCTATAACTATTATTTTTGTTGTCATTCCCTCCCTCTGTTTAATCCAAAATCTTTCAAGATCGATTGGATTATGGATACAGATTTCTTCTTTTTCTCAGGTGCTTTCTTGAGGTTCACTATCCTGCTGAATTTTTTGAGTTTCTTTTCGTAAGGCGCTAGATTCACATCCTTTCTGTAATCATCTCCGAGTTGATTCAGCATTTTCTCAGATTTGCTTAACGTTTTCACCTCAGTTGTCAAACCTTGAATGCTCATTTTCTTGGCCTTTAAGTCTTCCTCGATCATGGCCTCGGCTTTACGCAAGTCTTTTTCAAGTGCTTCATCGAATTTTCCAATGCGATGAGCTTCATAAGCATGGAGAGAGGCAAAAAGGGCCACTACGAACAGCAATAAGGAGATCTTTGCCATGATAGAGCTCAATTTTCCCTGAACAATCAATTTGAATTTAGATTCAAATAGTTTGTTAAAGGAAAAGAGGTGAGAAGAGATGTGAGTGCTTGACTTTTCTTTTCTAGGGCATTTAATACGACCATTAATGACTAATAATAGTATGTACATATCTTGACAAAAAAAAAAAAGTATCTACATATAGCCTTAAATTGATGGTCAGTGAATTCATTGACTCGATTATTCATCTTTCTTTGGTTATCCATAAAATTCGCAAAATCATTTACTAGGCTTATCTAATTCATTTTGTTATAATTATAGCACTTACTAATAGAACATTAAAAAATCAAATTTAACCTTCTACTTTTAGACAATATTTTTTCCGTGTAAAGGCTACCACCAAAAGAAGTTTCAATCCTATCATATATATGACCCAAGAAGATTTGCTATGATTTGAAGCAATAAAATGGCAAACAAATCTTCCATACTTTCTGGTCTTATTGTGATCCTAGTCATTGCATTGGGGTGCAACATCGATGAGGCTGTGGCAAGAGACGTGAAGCTAGTTAAACTCCGCGATGTAAAACCCGAAACTTTGACAACATTGAAAGCAGAAGAAGAAAGAGAGCTCATGAAAGGAGAATCAAAAGACAATCTACTAAAAGAGATTGGGAAGGCGAAGAATATGCTCGGAGAATTGAAAACTTTGAAGAAGCAATCAAATGGTGATATGAAAGATGAGTTGAGTTCTTTGGTGAAATCTGAATCTCTACTTAATGAAATTTCAGATTCTCTTAAGAATGGAACGTGCAACTCCAACAAAGCTAACATTTTTGTTGAGAAAGAATCATTTTTTTACCGAGCATGGAAGGAGAATGCCTATCATTCGGTGGTTCCGGAGAAAGAGAAAGAGTTTATGTCTACGATAAAACGTATTGTGAAGTTGTTGAAGAAAACTTAGAAGACAAATGGGTGAAATTTTGTTATTTAAAAGAGAAAATCATGTCACACACATACATATATATCAGTGGTTTGTTGTGTAACCATTTTTTTTTTTGTAATTAGTAATTACATAGTTTTTCGTAATTCCAAGTTGTAATTGGTTGGAGATCCTATAAATAAGATGTATTGTGATTTAATTTTATTATATGTGTTATGTTCTAATTCAGCTTTATATAATAAGTTTATTGTCATATGTCAATGTCTAAACTGTTGAAGCAAAATTAGAATCAATATCATAATCTAATATGTATGTCGTCAATTTTATAACTCATATCAAAATTTATTATCAAATAAGATATATAAAAATAAAGAATAATTTATGTTTCTTTTTGGAACTTTAAGAAAGAAAGAATAGTATATGTTTGTGAACGATCGATCAAAATTATACCATAGAAATAAATGATCAACTCTAACAAAATTTGGAACATATAACTTAATCTTTCTGTAATGTTTTTGATCATAAACCTAAAAGTCTGATGAAAACGGATTAACTCAGCAATGTTGAATTTAAATATATGTGTTAGCAAGTGTTGGTTTTGATAGATTTTTTTTTTCTTTTTCAATTAAAAAATGACGGTGGCGCCAAAAATTCATTTTTAGAAAAAATGAAAATTCGAATCGATAAATCGTCAAGCTGATCTTAAGTCTTTATTTTTAAAATTAATCACCTTGTCTGTTTTTTCATTGATATTTATATATGTCGCCAAAAGAAAATAGCTAGTGAACTTAAGACGATCACAATCAAACACATACACAACAAATGGAATACAAAACATAATAGAGAAATACAAAGTATCCAGCCGTTGGCATTTTCATTCTTTACACACAAAAAAAACCTCATAAATTAGACTTAGTTCCAATTTTCACCCCATAATTTTTAATATTTTCGTTAAGTCCCTGGCCTGGCCTAGATACAAGAGAAAATGTAATAGTGAGTTATATAATTAGCATGGTTTTCCGACCCGGCAATCCAATGCTCCGGCGTATTTGGTAAGCTTTGAAACGGCCACACCATGTTTGGGTTTGATCATCTGTTGTCTTGTGTGTGAACACTTGAACTTTGGATTTCCAGATTGTCTGAAATATGCTCCGTTCAGGAAGAAATCTTTTTCGGATCTCCAGTTCCAGTTTTTCCACTCGCCTTCTGAAGCATAATCCCTCTTTGTCACCTATATACACGTCCATCTTTCTATTAGGTTCCCCACAAATTATATATACCTCAAACTTCCATTTAATGAAAAAAAAAATGAAAATGCACCAAACCGTTAGCTAATTAAACTCGTATCAATTAAAAATGTTGTGTAACCTCTCTGTAATGAGGCTTGTGAGGTGGAGCGATGAAACGGTTTCCGTGGCTGAGAATGGTAGGACCTTGGCTACCGCCGATAGCGTAAAGCTCCCAGTGAGTGTAGTCATTGTTGACAACATGGACGAAACCCCACCGGATCCTCGGCATCCTCTGCACAAGCCCTTTTCCAAAATGGTTGTAAGCCACTGTGACTTGCATCTTCTTGTCATCTTGGTTGTGGTCTTGCGCCCCAAGCAACATCACCTAAAACATACAAAAGACTTCATTAGTTTACTTTGAGCTAGATCGAATGAATAAAGCTCAATCTATATATACTCTATATATAGATATAAGGAAATTGAATACCCACATCGTTGTGGTGGGTGAAATGAGAGTTAGAGATGGTGATCCCGGTGGAGCCCATGATAGCGTCGATGAGACCATCCTGGCATTTAGACATGGAAATGTGGTCAAGCCAGATGTTAGTTGCTCCAAAGATAGAGATCCCGTCTCCATCAGCCTTTCCTCTTTGCCCAAAGTGGTCAATCGAGTCTCTTATCATACCGCCACTGCTGGAGAATATGTGATGGACGTGAAGCCCATGGATGATGATATTATGCACGTACTGCATCGTGATCCCGGCACCGTACGCGATGTGCACGTTAGCACCGCGAGCATCGATCGTCTTGTGACTGTTAATCATCAGCTCTTGGTTCAACCTAATGCTCATGTCGTGCTTGAAAATGATCCAGAGCGGTTCTTTCTGAATCACTGCGTGACGCAGTGTTCCGGGTCTAGGGTTCACCACATCATCGTCTCTGTTGCTTGTGACAACGTAGATTCTTCCGCGTTTGCCTCCTGTGGTCTTGTGTCCGAACCCACGGACACAGTGGACGAGCTTCTTGCGACGCTTGGCCCAATCGCGCTGGCAACGCCAGCATTTATCGATCGGGTTGCTTGCGGTGCAAGGTCCCTTCAGCTTACTCCATTTTCCTCTTCCTCTACGTTTACCGCTTAGACTCCGCCTTGTGCTGTTGCTCGGATTAGACATCATCTCGATGAGGTCCTCTTCTGGCTCGTCTCCTTCCGTCCCCTCAACGTCAGTAGAGTTGCTGAAGATATACACCAAAACCATCATAAACCCAATATATTTAAAATTAATCCCTTTTTTTTAAAAAAAAAAAAAAGAGAAGAATTAGTATAGCAAAACCATGTCAGGTTCTTCTTATATCATATCTTAGCTAGCAAGCCCGAGTCCGACTCAGGGTATAAGTTTGTTAATTTGCATAAGATCAAATAAAGTTAATTTCAATCGGATTTAAACAGAACACACATATATGGGAAAAAAAAAATCGAATAGATTAACGGAGTTACTCGTAATGACGCTCGTGGAAGTGGTCGACGATCGCATAAGGATCGGAATGATAAGCCATAAGGGTGCGTTTACGAGCTTCATTGGCCTTTTTAACCCAATACTCATCGGTCTCCGCAACATTGGCTCGTATGGTCGGAATCAAACTGGCAATACAAATCAAACACACTAATTTGAAAAGCCTAGCCGTCTCCATTTTCTTTGATTACCCCTTTTTTTCCCCCAAAGAAAACAATTTATATTATACTTTTTTTTTTTTAAAGGGGTAATCTTTTTATATATTTAAATATAAATATATATATGGAGAACTGCTAAGCTTTAAACATGGCTTTAGGTCGTTTTTCTGTTTGGCCTAAAGCCTTTTTTTGGTAGATGAATCGTATTGCGAAGTTTGGCAAACGTGAAGGTTGGTGTTTAAATAATAATAAAAAACTTGACGAAGAATTTTCACTTCTATATTTAGAAAGTTTTCCCGTTATGTATGGAAAGCCATCGTAATTTACTTGTGGACAGGTTTTCTTTGTTTCTCTCTTTTTTTTTTCTCTTTTCTATATTTGGATACTTCTATAAAGAGAGAAAACCTTACCGTTTTCTCAATCATTTCAACCAATTTTAGCAGCAAAACAATTACTTTTAAAAAATGATGTGAAAAAGACAATTACTGCTAAATTATCTATCACTAACTTGTAAAAGTAGTGAAAATGTCAGACAGTCTAATATCAGCCACACTGACTACAGTGAACTAAAAAGCTTAACAATTTTCAGTTCTTACAGGAGTGTAATCGCGAACTAACTACAGTGAAATTTTGAATTTGACTAATAAACAAACCGATTCAGACAACTTATAATCGCGAATTAATTTTATTCATATCTGAAAGAATCACATGGTTTTCAGACTAATTAATACATTTAAAAACTCAATCGAATAGTCAACAAACCGAAATAATTAAACTGTAAACCGATTGAATACCTGTTCCGTTCAAGACAGAACACAATTTTTTAATTGTTTTTTAGAGAGGAAAAAAAAAGAAGAAAAGGTCACTAAAATACGCCGCCGGAGTGCCACGTAATGATTACAGAAGAGAAAGATATCGACGGCTGTGACCTGACGCAGCGAGTCTGGATCCAACGGCTGATAAAGCTTTACTTGATAAGGTAGACAAACCCTCTCTGATATAAATCGGAAAAAGAAATAAAAATTAGGGCTTTCTTCATCAATCTCTTATATACGCCACAACTTTCATTTCGTCTCTACTTGCGATTCTCAGACTCTGTCGAACTATCTTTTCTTTCGTTTACCACAGAAGCAAAAATGGTGAAAGGTCCTGGTCTCTACACCGACATCGGCAAAAAAGCCAGAGGTAAAATCTCTCTCACTCTCTCTCTTTCTCCTTCATTGCGTTGAATCTCTTTATGTCAATACGATCTGAATTTAGGGTCCATTTAGGTTTTATTGATCTGGGTTTATTCTTAGATTATTGCATTTGCTTTGGATTTTTTTTTTCTTTCTGGGTATCTAAACCCAGTTTTCCGATTCCGATTGGAAGGAGATACAAATCGATCGTTTCTAGCGATATTTGTGATGGATATGAATAATCCCCTGGGTTTCAGCATCATCTCTGTATTTTTTTTCCTCAGTTTATATGGCTTTCAATCTATTTGTGTGATCCCATCCACTTTTGTTTTCGAATTTGTCCCCGATTTGGATCTGGAAAAATCAATTTGATATGCAGTCAATAATGTTTAGGGGTTTCTCACCAGTTGATTCTCCTTTGAGAATGTTTTGGTAGATTGTTTAAGTTCTGAATGTTGTTACTATGGATTTGCAGATCTTCTGTACAAGGACCACAATAGCGACCAGAAACTCAGCATCACTACTTACTCTCCAGCCGGTGTTGTAAGTTTCAGTCCTGAGTTTTTTCTGCTTATAAACTTCATTGTTAACTATCAGCTCTGGTTAATGGAATGAGGTCTTTCTCGACTGTGTTTCTACTTTTGTTTTATTGATTAGCTTTAAGTTTACTTACTTTTGAGATTTGAGCTGTTTAAGCTTTGTGATCTAGCTTCAGCAATTTTACATGTATCTATCTTGACCACCGTTACTCATAAGCTACTTCTTTCTTGCGTTACCCGTTACAATCTTAGGCCATCACTTCAACTGGAACTAAGAAAGGTGACTTACTGTTGGGAGATGTAGCTTTTCAGTCGAAGCAAAAGAACATTACTACTGATTTTAAAGTTTGCACAGACTCTACGGTACGCAAATTCCTACCCAGTATACTGTACCTGAACGTGTTTTATATAAAAAAAAATTTTTAGCTACTTAATTGTCAGAGCTACGTTCTTAACAACTATGTGTGTGTATTGGTTGCAGGTTTTGATCACTGCTACGGTTGATGAGGCTGCACCTGGGCTGAAGTCAATCTTCAGCTTCAAGGTCCCTGACCAAAATTCCGGCAAGGTATAGTATTAACTACTGTTCAAGGGTCTTTATCTGTTATAGGTTTCTAGTTTTGTCGTCTGGATTTATATTCTGTGGTGTTTTCTCTTCCATACAGATTGAGCTGCAGTATTTGCATGATTACGCCGGTATCAGCACGAGCATGGGATTGACTCAAAACCCAACTGTCAACTTCTCTGGTGTGATTGGCAGCAATGTGGTGGCTCTTGGTACTGATGTTTCATTCGACACCAAATCCGGAAATTTCACCAAGATCAATGCTGGCCTATCCTTCACCAAGGATGATTTGATTGCCTCCCTTACCTTGTAAGTGAATCCGTGTTAGAAATTTGGGATACGAAGTTTTTTTTGTCATCAAAAAGAAAAAGTGTAGCTGAGATTGTTGTTGTTTGCTAGGAACGAGAAAGGCGATGCGATGAACTTGTCGTACTACCACATTGTTAACCCGCTGTTCAACACGGCGGTTGGAGCAGAAGTGAGCCACAAGTTCTCAAGCAAGGACAACACCATAACTGTTGGAACACAGCATTCGCTTGACCCTTTGACTTCAGTGAAGGCACGTGTGAACAGTGCGGGAATAGCCAGTGCACTCATTCAACACGAGTGGAGACCCAAGTCGTTCTTCACAATCTCAGGTGAAGTTGATACTAAGGCTATCGACAAGAGTGCTAAGGTTGGATTGGCTCTCGCTCTCAAGCCTTGAAACAGAGATTGAAGAATCCAAGCTGCTATAGCTTCTTAACTAGTTTTTTCTATGCGGTTCTGTTTTTTTTTCTCTGCTTGGGTTGGTGCTTTTAATGGCTACTACTGATCTTTCCCATTTTCTTGTCGGATTTGTAGAGAATAAAAAGGTTGAAAAAAGATCATCTTGGTGATGATGAACCCTTAAAAGATCCTTTCTATTTCTTCTTCTTTGCTATGTCACCGTGTTCGTTGGATTTGTTTTCGGGATTTTTTGTGGTCCTATGGGTCTGGGCTTAACACAAGCGTTGATTTTATATCGGAATTTTTTGTTTACGCAACATCCGAATTTAGTATTTTGACTTACTTTATAGTTTGGGCCACGCCACAAAACTATAAAATCAATGCTTGTATTATATAACTAAGCGTTGAATAAAAAGATGGATTTTTTTAGGGCCAACGTACTTATAGCTTGGGCCACGCCACAATAAATCAAATTTGAATGGTTCAAACAGGGCGGTATTGTGATTTAAACATAGTATTTGTAGTATTCCCAAAATTAGTGAAAATGTACGTACAATTAGAGTCTTGTTGGCCAAAAAAAAAGAGATAGTTTACTTATATTTTCAATTTTCACATACAAACTGAATTTTCAATATAAATCAGTACAAAGGCACACAAAAGACAGACAAACAAAAAAACGCCAAAACACCATTGTTAAATCTGGAAAAAGAAAATATAAACAACCACAATCAACACAGCATTATAGAGATTTTTGGAAAATTATCATTTAATAAAGAAAATAGGGATATAGACAGAGAGTTGTTGACTGTTGACTGAGCCCTTAAGAGGTCTGGTGGGCCTGCAACAATCCATTTCGAATCTGCGTTGCCACGTCAGCGACGGCGCCGGGACCGTGAGGGATAAACACCGACGATGATTTGGAGTGAGCTCCGATATCTCTCATCGTGTCGAAGTACTGAGTCATCATCACCATGTCCAAGACATCCTTCGCCGACGTTCCCGGCACGTTTCCGGCGAACCCGAGAACACTGTCTCTGAGTCCGTCCACGATCGCTTGCCTCTGACGAGCGATTCCGAGTCCCGACAGGTACTTTGACTCAGCTTCACCTTCTGCTCTCTTTATCTGAATTATTTTCTCCGCCTCTGCTTTTTCGTTCGCCGCCACTCTCATCCTCGCCGCTGTAACCGATTCCGATATTTGTCAATGTAATTAAAAACCACCATCATCAGAGACCATTCATACAGAGATACTCAATCAAAGATCCAACTTTTGATTCATATATGACTTACCGGCGTTGATTTCGTTCATGGCACGTTTAACCTGTTGATCAGGCTCGATGTCGATGATAAGGGTTTGAAGGATTTCATAACCATAAGCAGTCATGGCTTTGTCTAGCTCTTCTTCCACTGATTTGGCGATTTCATTCTTCTGCTCAAATACATCGTCCAAGTTCAGCTTTGGAACACATGCTCTGATCACTAAGAATAAACACATTTAACCCAATATCAGAATCTTTGAATGACTTGGAAAATCAAAAAAGAAGATGAAGAAGAGGATACTGTAGTTAATTACCATCAAAGACATAGGCTTTGATTTGGGTCGTTGGATTGCTAAGTCTGTAAAAAGCATCACTTGCCTTATCAACTAAGACTCTGTATTGTATGGATGCAACCACTGTCACAAACACATTGTCCTGAGATACAGAATCAAAGATGAATCCATTAGAAGAAAGCCTGATCATATGTGTAATAATGTGTCTGTGTTTAATGTTACCTTGGATTTGGTTTCACATTGGACATCGAGTTGCTGGAGACGGAGGGTGAGATGACCGGCGACGTAATCACCGACGATCCACGGCACAAATTGAAGACCTGGATTAAGAACTTTTTCAAATTTTCCAAATCTCTCCTTGATCGCCACATCTGATTGCTTCACCAGCACGCAGCAGAAAAGATTCCCCATTAAAAATAGGAATTCTTAGGCTAAGAATAAGAATGAGTTATATATATTACTTATATATGTCTTGTCTTTTCTCTCTATTGCTCTCTAAAGTTTGTGGAAGAGAGGAAAGTCGCATTATGTATATATATAGATAAGAGAGCCTAAATGGGAAGATCATGTCAAGATGTCATCTGATTATTCCTCCGAAATTTCGTATTTATCATTTGATAGTGACATTTCCTTTTGAAAAGTCAAATCAAGTATATCCTGGTCGTTGGAGATAAGTAGATTATCAAATTGATAAAATATTTGTCATTTATGAACAAGTACATTTGCTTTTCATATTCTTTTTTTGATTATGACAACTTCAGTAAACGGTTTAACAACCAAATATGCTTATGTAATGTACAAGTTATCCGTGAAAAATAGTTCTTGTTGATACAGATTTTAATTATAAAAAAGTGAACTATATTTGATTTTATAGGACAGTTTCTTGGTAGTGAGAGGATGGAACATAGTTGGATAGCCTTGTCAGACGACAATAAACAATAATTATTCTACAGTTTGTATGTTCGTATATTTTAAATTATGCAAATTCAAAAATCGTAGGGAAAACCGTGGACTGGACTTTCATTATTTATTATTACTCTGCAGCTGTAATGTGTAAGGTTTCCAAATTAATATAAAACAACATGGTTTTAATATTGGTTTCTGATGTTGGAAAAAAGGTGGTGCGAATTAATGTTTTTTTGGAAAATTGGAAGTTTGGAACGGTCCATTATTCTTGAATAGTTGAATGTATAGTATTTTTTTTTTTTAAAAAAAAAAATCATTTAGTAAATGAAACTATAATTTTCTTATAAATTTATAAACAAATGTTAAAGTTACACCAAAAAACAATAAAACAAATTACAGCAAACGTAAGCGACTTTCAGAATACAAGTTTTTGAATAAAAGTCATTGGTCTTTGCGGCTCGCATGTTTATCAATGGATTAACTTGCAGTTAAGTATGCTCTTGCAGTTGAGTAATTGAATAATTATAATTTCACGTAAGAAATGGTGTCATTGTGACATATTTATGTGTTATTCGAAAATATATCTAAAGCTTACAAGCGGATAAGTCCAAAACTCAAAAGAGAAAAATATTAAAAAATTAAAAGCTACTAAATTTCATTAATCATTTCTTTATATTGAAGATTAGGTTGCGTACTTGGAATGTTCAAAAACAAAAAGGTTGCGTACTTGGTCAAGCGATTGTGAACTGCGATGACGATTAATAGGGAATGACAATATTACCCTCTGACAGATAATCATTAAGAGTACAATAGACGAAAAACATGAGGTCACAAAGGTAAATCCAGAACTTCGAATCTTCTTTCAGATCAATCTTACATCATCATAATTTTGCCATCTTAAAATCGGTTAAGAATATCGGTTTAACATCGGTTAAAAAGACGCTTCCTTGCGTCACAAGAAAGAGCCTCTGATAGCTTCGGGGATGAAGGAAATCTTTTTTAAGTAGTTGCACCCTTGGGCTTAGGAGACGGAATCTGATGACGATAAGGTGAAGAACCAGTTTGGCCATGAGGACTAGACAGAGTCCGAAACACGGGTTGCCCGTTTCTTGACCCGAAACCACGACCCGACCCAGACCCAGACCCAGCTTTCAGCCGCTCAGCTTGCATAGTCTGGAAGTAGTAAGAAGAGCTAGCCATGTCTTTGAGATGTGGGAGTGGTTTAAGGACTTCAACCACTTCACTCATTTTGGGTCTAATTTTGGAATCGCGGCTAAGGCATTGAGCTGCAAGCTGGGTCACTTTTTGAGCTCCTTTGATGGAGAAATGACCCTCCAGCCTCGGATCAAGTAGCCTGTAGAATCTTCTCTTGTCAAGTAGATGTGGCCTCGCCCACTCCACGAGGTTGTGCTCTCCGTTAGGTCGGTTTTTGTCCATCGATCTTCTACCAGTCAGCATTTCGAGTAGAACCACACCGAAACTGTATACATCGCTCTTTGATGTCAAGTGACCTTATAATCAGCGAAAAACAGAACACTAGTTAGTTATATACAATCTTTCAATGAACCAAATATCAACCGAAGAAAAACTCCAATGAAAATACAAGACTTACCAGTCATTACATACTCAGGAGCAGCGTAACCATAAGTGCCCATGACTCGAGTAGACACATGGGTTTTGCCTTCATCAGGAGCATCTTTGGCAAGCCCGAAATCTGATAGTTTGGCATTGTAGTCCTGAAATTGGGATATTGGCAAAGAGTTTAGAAGCAAGGAAGACGTATACGTATATGCCAAGGTAAAGTAAAGGAAACATACTGCATCAAGTAAAATGTTGGAGGTTTTGAAATCTCGATAAATGACCGGCTTTAGAGCTTCTTCGTGAAGGAAACTGAGACCCTTTGCAGCACCTAATGCAATCCTCATCCGAATTGACCATGGAAGAGGTAACGACCCTTCAACACAAGTTAAATTCACAAAGGAGTATATTTAACATCAATTCTAACTGAGAAGACAAATCATACAAAAGGATTATGCCCTTTTAAACACACTTCATACACCAAAAAATCTTAGAACTATGGATCTAAGGGAGTACTTATAGTGGGTCAATATAGTCCAGCAATATCAACCATCTAAGATTTGGAAATAGAAAGGTTCCAACTTCATCAATATAGAGTAGAAATCCTCCAGTTTTAAGAATGTGCAGTAGTTGCATTTTTAGTTATTAAACACTCGCTGTCTGAGTGGCAAACACATAACGAAAGAATTAAACTTTACTGCGTATATACAGCATGAAGGTGGTACATGTTTACTTACTTCTGAAAAGGTGATTCTCCAAACTTCCTCGAGGCATAAACTCATATACCAGCAGCCTTTGATCATCTTCGATACAATAACCCACCAGTTTAACAAGATTGGGATGGAGAAGATTACCGAGATAATTAATCTCAGCCTGCAAGCGCACAATAATAGAAGCCTTTTAGTTGTGGGATAAGTTTCAATAGATATATGGAAAAGCAAACAAAACAAAGGATCTTACAAGCCACTCTTTATGACCCTGAAGTCCATCAGGATTCAAGGTTTTGACGGCCACAGTAAGCCCAGTGCCAGGCTTAACAGGAGCAGTTCCGTTCTCCTCGACCCATCCTTTAAAGACACAACCAAACCCACCTTCACCGAGAAGACTTTCCGGTCTGAAGTTTCTAGTTGCCAACTTGAGATCAATGAAAGTAAACTTCTTTAGGTGAGAATAGATCTTAAGTTCTTCACTTATCATTGGAGTCGACAAAGAGCTTTCTGCATTGCTAGTTGTTGTTGTAGAAGAAACCGGGCCAACCGGTTGATCGTTTGATTTAACAATTGCCGACTTACTTCCCACTGTTAAAGCCCAAAAAAAAAAATGTTCTTACAAAACCATTAAAAAGGTCCTCCCTACAATTGCCGTTTTACGATTCTCCTGACTCTACTAACTGGTAAGGCAAAAAAAATAAGACTTTTCTTCCACACTATAATGGATCTAACTAAGGACACGAAAGATCACCTACGGCAACCACATAAACCATAAGAACATTGCACAATTTCACTTTGAAGCAAGAAAACCTCAAGGAGACATAGGCATTATCAGAGCTTCAAAGCAAAAGGAGAAGAAACCGTTTAGCAAATTTTAAAAGGGAAAATCAAGATATAGATATTTAATTTGGATTAGCATCAAGTTATCTGAAGTTAGGTAAACTAACCACAATGACATTGAGGTTTTGCTCAATTTGTCAAATGGGGAAAACCCCTTATATGGAAAGATAAGTCTTGTGACAATTTGGGAAACAAAATCTCCACAAAAACTACGAAGATTGCATTCCAAAGGAAAGGTTTTATTTTAACTCAACGGCACTGAAATCCTATCTGGAGCTCGAATTGCAGAACAAAATGGACCAGAGAGAAGTTTGAAAGAAGAAGAAGAAGAAGAAGCCATACCAGAGCTTGTAGAGACACTGAGAGAGCTATCAACATCTGATGTTGAAGGTACGCAGCAAACCATAACCCTAAATTTGACCCAGCAACCAATTGCTTCTTCTTCACCTTCACTGTTTGTGACATTGTTCTTCTTCTTCTTCCTCTTCTTATTCATCTCGCTCTCATTAGATTTCTTCGATTGCCAATTCTCCATAACTTTGACGGAATCTAAACTCATCCCCACAAACCCAGTAAAACGAGAACAAAAACAAAACTCGACGGAACTTGATCAGACCAGGAGAGACAACAAAAGAAAAACCCTACAGAATCCAAGCGAATTATAGAGAGAGAAAAAAATCCCAGTTGAGGAAATTTTCTGGAGAGCCAAAGAAAAAAGGAAGCGAATTTGGTTTAGAGATGAGTAAGATTCACTTGAAAATGGATTAAAAACCCCAAGTCGCGGAATTTTAGTCAAAAAGGGGAATTGATGTCTGTGGAGAGATGGAGAGAGAAGTGCAGAGAGGAGAGAGAAAGAACGGGCAAAGCGGGCAAGAGAGAGAGATTGAGCATGTGTTTGTTTGCTAACTCTCAACAGTTACAAAACGCATATTTCGTAGCCTCAAAATATGAGTATCTTATTTTTTAAATTGACATACATATATTCTTATTATATACTCACTTTTTATAATCAAAACTATCGCCTTCATTTGGTAAACAAACTACAAAATGGCTTCACTTATTTTTGTTGGAGTTTTTGTTTTTTTTTATTTATAATTATTACTTTGTTATTTTCCATTTGAAGAATAAGTCGTTTCATTTAAGTTTCTAATTACTTAATTATTCAAATTTGTAATTAATAGTCTAATCTCCTGAGATTTTGCCAAAAAAAAAAAAAAATCTATAGAGATTTGATATCTATGGTTTATTTGTTCTGTGCTTTCTTTGGAAAAGAAGCTCCTAATCATATTGCTTTTCATTTCACTTTTTTCTTTTTCGATATAAGTGAAGCTAAACCATTAAAAAAGGAAATGGGAAAGGATCAACATTGCCTGCAAATTAGTTTTACTGTGAAATGACAAAATCATATGACTGTTTTTTTTTAATTCGGTGATTGGCCAAAAATTAGTATTTTAGTACTATGCCAATTAAATTTGCAATTTTTTACAAATTTAAATTTCTGAGTTCCAACAAATTCGCAAGTACTTTAACGTGAGTGATGAAAAATACAGTTTTTACTTTTTACCTAATCAAAGTTCAAAACCCATACTCAACAAAGGAGAAAGTGATAGAGAAGATTAGAGTGCGTCACAGGTGATTTATTTATGTTCCATGTAATAATATCATAATTCAAACCCGTTCCCTTTCACAATTTGACTACTGTATAGAAGAAAAAGAAGAAGAAAAATAAAAAATTATTCAATCATGCTGAAGAAAAAAAATAGCTACATTTAAAATCATTTTACAGCAATTTAGGGAGAAAAAGAAAGTTGAAACATATAGAAAAAAGATCAATGATTTGAACTGCACAAAAACAAAACAAAACCATGAGTGAAATGTCAGTAGAAGTAAAAATAAAAGTACCCCTCCCCCCCAAAAAAAATGGTTTCTCCCTTTAGCTCTTTCCATTAGAAGAAGAGTTTTTGTAGTTATGGAAGAGGTTAACGAGACGCTCGAGGACTGCGGCGCTTTTGGAGAAGTAGCCGGAGAAACCAACCGGAATGGAGGCCGGAGGGAAATCTTCCGGCGGCATAGCAAAAGGACGAACCATTTTCTCCATAGTCTCGAGTGTTAAACAAGAACCAACCTCTTGAAGCCTCTCTGGTCCCATTATCGGGAGCGTGTGTTCCCTTAGCAATGACTCTGCCTCGTCGTCATTATTCTGTCCTCGCCAATTTTTTTAACAAATTGTATATTAACGTAACATCTAAAACTGTTCCTTTAGTTAAACAAAACCAATAAAGGGCGTGTCTGCTCTTTTACCTCCAATGGAGACAAATCAGCTCCACGGCTAAATGTAAGTTCAATGCGGAATCTCTTGGGGTCTTCAAGTGATACCTGAACCCATTTTAATTTATTTTCATTGAAACCATATAGATGTTGGAGCATATGATGTGAGAGTGAAAGGGAATATATTGTGATGTAAACCTCGGTGTTTTCAAAGAGCCTTAGGACAATGTAGCTCATGTAATCGAGTTCCTTTGTTTTGCAAAGACGTTCCAATGCGTTTTGGCAGATGAGACTTTCTTCTCCTTGAAGTGATTCGTCGAGGTTACAGTATCGAAGTACGTTCATCAGCGAATGAATATGCGATTCCTGTTGCATCAATTCAATGCCACGCAAAGAAAAGAAAGAAAAAAAGATACAGATCAGTTTCACTACAAGAGTGTAAATCACATACACACTTGAAAACCATCCATAGAAAGCAATGGAGGATTACTTACAGATGTGAAGTAAAGTCGAGTCCTCACATGACGTTCCGGTGTCTTCACATTTGCATACCTAAAAGGGAAATGAAAATCAATTCGTAAGACAACACTCTTAGGTAATATGCAGAAACCGAAAAAGAAAAAAAGAAGATTTTTTTATAAACCAGAGAGAGACTATTACTTTGGATCTAATCGGTATTTGGTTTCTTTATCGTCATCTTCATCTTTCTCACTTGTGCCAGGTCGTCTCAAATCATCGCTATTGATAAAAAGCTTTGGTTGACTATTTCTATCTTCCTTTTGCGAGGCCGATAATGACAATGTGACTTGTTCCTGTTCCTGGCTTTCTTTCAGTTCTGCAACGCTCATTGCTTCTTCTCGAGTATTCCTCAAGTCTATCAAGATTTTCCCCATTAAACGCCGAGCAATCTTTTGTTTAACGGGAGGAAAAGAAAAACACACGAATAGATTTGACAAGATGTGAGATCCTCTGGAGACAATTAATCAGGAATCAAAATTTTCAAGAGAGGAAAATAACTACTCGTAGTTAGAAAATGCCACCTTTGAACCGATTTTAAGCTTTTGTTGCGGATTTATTCCATACTCATTTGGGATTACTCCATCTGCAAGCAACTGCAGCCACATAACACATAACTCAGTCACAAGCGACCACAGTCAATGATACATGCAAAATAGAGATCTACCAAGAATTGTCATAGTTTCAACACCGTCAATAACACATAAGTGCATGTGTATAGTACAGTGCCTTGGAAGATAATGCGACAATGATTATAATAGATACAGAAAAAGGGAAAGGGAAATATAGTTTGTACCTGTGCAACTTTGAAGAGTTCATCTAATCCTTTTAGATCGAGATGGGAATTATGCAATAGGTCGTACCTGGTGATGATAAGAGACATTACACCATATTCAGTGACGATTAAGTAAAGCTAGGTGTAAACCTAGAGATACACCAAAGACACCTAACATATAACTTACTTGCATGAATCATAAACATCCGGAATCTGCGTGATGTCAAATCGGCTGCAATTTATTCTCAACCATTAGTGTTACTACTCACTCACAAACCTCTACCGGATAGAAAGATGAAAATTTAAGAAGCGTTGCTAAAATAAAATTTAATGATAAACTTACTCTTTTCTTTCATTGTAGAGATCCCTTGCGAGTTTTATCCACCGAGCAAACATCAGAAGGAAACCTTCACTACCACATGGTAATCCAGAAGCAATCCGATCACTGTCAATGTTTGTCTTGCCAAGGGCCTTTGCTTGATCATATGGAGGAATTATATCATATGCCTCAGTGAGGTTCTCGTCCTCATCCATTGCCAGTAGTCTTACTTGTTCAGTCACATTCTTAGTCAATTTCACCTAATTATTTAGAAAGAAATTCAACAGATAAGGGATGTTTATTAGAAATAAATTTGTGGACTCCAATAAACCGCTTTTGATGAGGGATACGAATAATGGAAGATATAAACACCCACAAAATGAGAGCAATGCCACAGAGGTAACGTATGTGCTCAGTGTACTATGCAATATTACGTTGTTGTGCATACAAAAGTAAAAAATGGTTGAATGATCTGTTTCACATTAGTTTAATTAGTATATGGAAAAGTGTGAGTACCAATTCACGGAGGAGTTCATGAGCATTGGGAGGAAGTCCAGCTCCATCAGTCATCCAAGGGAATTCTTCAGAGGAGCCATGCTCATGTATCATCTGTGTGCCAGAAGTTACAATCTCGTTTAATCTAGCCTGCAGTGCATGTAGTGTAAATCAAAAACTGTCAACATATTCCAAGAGAACAAGCTGAAATTAACCCTTATTTTATGAAGAAACCAACCATATCTACAAAAATCATTTGAGATACAGTATTTGAGAGGATTTTATTAGGCCCCTTTGAGAAAACAAATAGTAAGGTCTTGCAGAAACAGTCAGTTTTGATCTAGTAGACAAACTACCCGATAGTTCAGACGAGTTGCCAAAACGTGATTGATGCACAATAAAGATGACTCATCAAAGAGAGGGAAAAACCTTAGCCGCTTCCATTTCAATGCTGGCATTGTCAAGACCATCCAACATGGAAGAGTCCTTGCTAACCAAAGAAACCTAGAGAAGGGAAGATAAGAAATTAGTAATCATACGACATCGCAAAGCACCACGGGATCTCAGTAAGGTAAAAGGGAAAACCAGGATTGGCGTCAGCTGTCCTTCTAGGTCAAGCAGGCCTTTAGCAAAAGCAGCTGCAGACATCTGTCAACAGTGCAGATCAGTTAATATTTTTTCGATCAGAGGAACTCTTCTATATCATATTTTGGTGCAAACTGTGAAGCATAGTGAAGCTTGAAGTATATGTTCAAAAGCTGAATGCTAATGCTCATCATCTTCACTACTAACAGTGTGACGCTGTACCTGAACACGCCCCTCGTCAGAGCTGTAAATTTTAAGGTCATGACGGTATGTACTATGGAGACGAAGCAAGCCGGTCCCTTCACCTGCAAACATATCATATGCCATTTCATCGTGAAAATACTCAGAAAAGTAAAATAAACTGCTTCAGAAAGTTGTATGTGACAGATAATAAAGATTAGGTGCCATTACCTGGATACATATTGTTTCGAAAGTACCTACCAAGTTCTTCTGCCTGCAGATGAAGCAAACATCATAAATTCAGACAAGATTACACCAAGGGCCTGCACTGGTGTTAGATAAGCTACTACCAAAATATATTCCTATTTAAACAATTCCTTTTGAATTACTGAATGGTAAGTATACCTGCTTTCTACCAGCGTGTGTTAGAACACCCCCATATTTCAGTACCATAAGGGCCTCTACGGGTCTTTCTTCTTCACCTTCACCGTCGTTTTTTGGTATTTTAACCCACTTCAGCGGCTTCAGTTGAACCTTCCTGTATATACCAGAGAAATGTCCACCCTGCATATCAACATAGCGGCTTCAGTTAAATTCAGATAACTGTTAAGCCAACGAAGAACATATGACCGTACGTAACTTCGGTCTAGCCATGAATTTAAATCCCCAAATGCTATTATTTCGAAGAACTATATTCACCACAATATGAAACTGGATATTTCAAATAATGA